TAGTGGCATCAGCAACAACATCAGAACCAGCAGAAACCCCGAACAGCTCCCCAGCAGAAAAACAGACAACAACGGCCACTCGGGGAAGGGAGAGTTAAGGGGGAACGACGACGGGGTTTGGAAGCTTGTTAGCAAGGGAGACATGGCCAAGATGCTGCTGCCTTGGCGATGGGCAACTCCAGGGAGTCTCTGGCCAGATAACTATCGAAACATGGCTAGCATGTTTTTAAGCCAAGTCGCCAGTAATTGAAATATAGAAAAAAGTGATTTTTGAATTTCTATTCTAAAATAAATCTTTACTTAAGACTCTATTACCAAATTATGAGGAAATATCTTCTTAACTACCTAATAAATATCTGTATAATGTTCTTGATTTATCCCACGTTTTTTGATATATCCAAAGCCTATTCAGAATTTTAAAATCTCCTTGAAAACTGCGACTCTTGCCACTACTATGACTGTGAACATATATCGCTCATCCCTGAATGTGTTCCCCTTCGTCGAAAGGTTGCCCTGTTTTTGTTTCGACTTCTCGTTCAGTTCGTTAGTTGGCCAAAGCCAACGGCTATGTTAAGTGGCTCATACTCACAGATACACACGCATACGAGGGCACAGCAGTGCAGAGTTGCCTGCGCGCCTTTAGATATGCAAATTGTATAGAAATTTAATTACTTGCTGACATGTTTGGGGCCCTTAAATTGGCAACTCGTTGGTTAAATTATAGTCGCATAATCAACATGTGCAATTTAAACTAAAGCAGCTGTTCAGGAGGGACAAAAAAGCCAAGAACAAGACTGCTTTTCCCCAAACTTTATAAATATTATATATTAAATATCATGGCTCTGAATAAGTTCAGTTTATTTTTAATTAATGTACTTTTCCTTTTGTAGTACCTTATGGTTTTCTCAGAGAAGTAAGTTTATATTGTAAATCTTGATTACAACAATAACTTATCACCATCTTTCAGTCTATAAAGCCTAGCCTATATAATATAAATCCTAGTTAAGCTTCTTAAAACCAATGAACAGAACTGCAATGAAACAGTCATCTTTATTATATACGTTTTTATACGCTGTTATGCTGATCATCCAGCGAATAAACCCAATCGTAAACTTAACCATTAAACCCGTTTAAGCCAGAAAAAGCGAGTGTAAAATGAGGGAATGAAGATGGTGGGAATGCCTTTAGCCTATCGATGTTTCCCTTTTGCAATTAACATTTGCGAAACACACGTAATTACAAGATTACGATAAGTGATAAGAGTCAGGAGGCAGATGCAGGCCGCAGATCGGGGAAGATGGCCAAAAGCAGTCGGTGGACGACTGGTTGTTGTTACTGCAGCAGTTGCAGTGGCATTGGCATATTTGCATATGCAGACCGCAATGGAATGGTAGCCAATTTGCTGGCAATACTAAAACCGATTACGCAGATGCACAGAGCATAATAAATAGGGGAATTTTCTCTAATTGATAATTGATAATTGCTTTTTGGGATTTTCCAAGGTTTTTAAAGGTTTTAAGTATAATAAACAATCTAAAAGAGATTTTATAAAGCCAAACCTAGACAGAAGTTACATAAAATATTAAAAGTAAGTAAAAAGGCATCAAAGAATAAAATACAGTCAAATCCTCATAGTGATTTGTATTATAGAAAACGATTTGGTTATTTTGGCCTCCTAATCCCAATAAATACTGTATTCTTCAGATCTATATATAAACTAGAACAATGTAACTGCTAATTTCCCTCAGTGCTAGCACACAAGCCACACACACACCCACATTTCCAGCCAATGCAGAGGTCAGTGCCAGGCCAAGCCGCCCACACAAATTGGTGGCAGAAGGGGACTCACTGGCGTTGATGAGGCTGATGCCATGATGATGACGATGATGATGTTGATACCGCTGCTGCATTGCATCCAATCTGCTGGCCAACACAGATGCACTGGTCTTACGCACACACTCACACACCGCAACGACCACACCACAACATTATTGTTTAAATTGCAAAGTGATACATTTGTGCCGGCGGACCAATAGTTTGCCTTTGGTTTTAGCAGTTTACACACGAAATGTGCCGGCTGGGCCCCAGAATGATTGGGTTAGTTAAAGCACAATTGTGTTTGCCTTGCGTTCTCGGACATTTGTGGCTGTGTGATTTTGCACGTTTCTCAGCTTAAATTTGAGATCTGATATGGTTCAAACTTCGAACTGCGATGGGCAGAAATTAGAGCAAAGGTTATGAGTTTTATTAGGCACTTGTCATATCGATTACAGAGATGTGGGTTTGTTAAGTCAATCAATTTTGAGTTTAGATATTCCAAATTAAGTCGAAGGAATGAAATTTATATTCTCAAAATTTATTTGAGACATTATCCGTTGCATTTTTGTGCAAATAAGAACTTCAGTAATAGAATGGCAAGGATTAGGTTTATAAAATCAAATCAATCCTATTAAATCCTAGATATAATTTAAACAAATCCTACATATAAAAACATAATTCCAATACATAATTTATAATTGGATAATTTGCGAATACCACCAGATAATAGTCCCTGGGGGCAGGACTCACCCGGTAAAGAAAGAGAATGTGTCGCAAGTGCTGACAGGCGTTCTAAGCCAATGTCAACGCTTGTGAAACTGGTGCACACATAAATGAAATCAAAATCAATGTCAACAACAGTGAAACGTCGAGTGTGTCCCGGGGGCCCCAACGTTGGGTATTCGGAGGACGGGATGTGTGATGGAAGGATGCAGTGGGAGGGTGATGCTGGGATGTGGCGTCAAAGGCGCCGTCGCCTTTGAAGTACTCCCATTACTACTAAACTGGCGTACTACGGCGTAGTAAATAGAAGCTAAAGCAAATAGCGTAGGGCTCTGGCGTAAAAGGACGAAGGATGGGGAAGTCCCCCTCCACAACATACACGGAATGACAGCGGGAAAAAACGTCAGTCAGTGGCTGCAAAAAAGAACAAGGCTTAAAGTGGGCTGAAGAAGGAGAAGGATTTGGAAAGAGCAGAAGGGAATCAACGCAGGCAAAAAACACTTTGTGCGCGCGTCAAAGTGTTAAAGAAAGTAAGCACCAAAAGCAGGGGCGTAGCACAGAAAAGCTTTTAAGGGGTTTAATCCCTTCTAAGAACATAATTTTAATAGGTACCATTTACTTGGTCGGTATTGAAAATATTTAAGGAAGTCTGTGTGCTAATTGTGCCAGCATTTACGTAAAAGCAAAACATTATTTTAAATTCTTATTTCCATTCAAAGTTTTTTATAAGTTGAGATAAAACGGGTTTGACGGGCATTCTCTGAGAGAAAAAGCATATTTTTTAAACAAAAAATAACACTTTTCCCACAGAAATTGCTTAATTTTAGCTAAATTTAAACAGTTAGCATCTATAAATTGTGATAAATAGATAGGATTGATAGGAGTAATAGAGTCCCGTCTGCGCCACTGACGCATCCCTACACATACATCCGAACATCCACAGAGCACCAAAGAAGATGGAGAGTTTGCCCGGAGCTTTGTGTACATATTTGATGCGCTTTTTTTACTGCGCCCGAGAGCTCGACAAAATTTAAGTTTCGGGTTTCCTTTTTCGGGCGGCACTTGCTTTGTGGGCGCCCCAATGCATGCTGGAGTACTCCGTACGCTGTACTCCGTACTCCGGGCTTTGCTGAAACTCCGGACAGCAGGGGAGTCGTCGAATGGAGGCTTATCTTTTAGCCAAACACTCGAGCGTCCACTTTTTGGGGCTTAACGATGTTTGGTTGGCCTGTGTCCACTTACTATTTCCATATTGACTTGACCCGTGGAGTGTCCCGTGCCTTGCCTAGTCTTTGTGCCCCATTATAACCCCAGGATTTTTTCGGGGTCCTGAACCCCCAAACGCTTTGTGCATTTGAAATATGCCGGCAATTACCGGGCAACTTTGCCGTATTACAACTGCTGAATTATTAGTGAAGCTGGTTTTTTCAGCTCATTAGCGTCGTCGCATCTACGCGGAAAAGTGTGGGGGTGCGAGGCCACTAAATTATGCGCAGTGCAATCAAGTTGAGTGCGTACTACAGTCTAAATAAGTTGTAGTAGTAGTTGTTTATTCATAAAAGCATTGCGCCGGAAAATTGTCAGCCTTTGGGCCTTTGACAGTGCGAAAAGCGCTTAAAGGAAAAACGCAAAGCGGCAAAGGAGATGCCAAAGCAGGCTGGTGAAAAGGGGAAAGGTTGAGGGAAGCTCACAAGTGCAGTGCCAACCACACGGACAAACGGAATAAAACGAAATGCTTGGGGGAGGCGGGTGGTGGTGGTAAGAAAACAGCGTCATAATGGCAACAATGGCGGTCAAAATTATAGTGAAAAAATATAGTTTTTTTCACTGGATAAGATATCTCAGAGACAGCTAGACCCAGAGCTCCTTCGGAATTTTGGTAATTGTTTAAAGGCTTTTTTTAGTACATTACAAAATTTTAATGAAATACCGCTCACTCTGGTTTAGAATAAGAAAATATATTCATTATTTACTTTTAAATTTAAACATAATTTTATGACAAAAATTAATTAACATATCAATATACATATGTACATAGATCTTCAAAATTCAGTAATAGAATGGCAAGGAATACGTTTTTCATTTTCTTTTAAAATCTCTTGAAATTAATTGCATCTGTCTTTTCTCACTTTTATAAGAACTTTGAAGAAAGAATTTATTTAAACAGATTTCCTAATATGGAAGTCAAAAAAAGGCTTTCTGTGCCATTATTTTGACCTCAACTGTAGGTTCCTTTGACATCAAGTATCTCTACCGGCCTCCCACCTCTTCCGCTGTGTTAATAAAGGTTTGTGTGTGTTGCAATTGTCCCGCTCGAACACCCACCACAAAGTACCATCAATTCCTTTGACAAATCGCAACCTTTCAAAGCTCGTCAAATTAATCGAAATGCCATCAAATACCTTTCTTTCCTTTGCTTTACTTTGACGAAACGCAACCTTTTGTTCGGTTCTACTCACCATTTTTGTATTGCCAACTGTTTGAGATGCCAAAGCAAATCAGTAGAAAGCCGATCAGCAGCACACCTCGCATTCCTGCTCCCGCGCTCGTATTGGCGCATCTCTTCGCTTTCGTTGTCACATCATTTGTCGTCGTAACTTGGCACAATGGTGGTTCGATTTCAGCAGACTTTATAGACTTTATGTATGGCTCGAGAGCCATCTTATTTTGGAAGCACTATCTCGCAAATTCTAAGACATTTGGCGCAAAAATATGGAGAACCGATAACGCGAACCGATCTTTAGTTTTTTGTTAGGCGCACATAATCGTTAAGAAAAATACTGCAAGTGGAAAAGAGAGCGATAATTAGAAACTAATTTTGGTTATATCATTGTTGGGTTTTTGGGGATTACACTGGGGATTTTAATGTGTTTCAATTTATTTGTATGGTAATATTTTTTTATTTTTAACTTCGACTTTTGCCTGTTTTAGTCTTAGTTTTTGCGCGGAATTTACGACATATTTTTCGAAGTTTGGTGGTTTAACTGTTTTAAATTTAGTGTTTTTTCTGCTTTAAAATCAATGAACGTTTTGTTGAACAGTGTTTTGTGCTTGCTTTTGTTGCTGTCGTAGAGTAATTATACCCCAACATTTAAAAAATATTGTAACATATTTAACATTTTTTATTTCTCCTTTGTTGACCAGTGTGATCGCCTTGCTCGCTTTGATTATTCGATTGTGTGCGTTTGTTGGCACCCATTGTTGTTGTTGACATTATTGTCATAAAGTAGCGAGTGATAAGAAATTGTGCAACTGTGTGTGGTTGACTGTTACCTCCCCCTCTCCCCCACCAGCACCTGGTTGCTAAATTGAAATACTGTAAACGATAAGGCGGCGCGCGGACTTAGTAATTAATGTTCCCTTCCGCTGACGACGACGCAACAAGCCGGCGACTGTCTGACGGTGTGTGTGTGCGTGTGTATGCAACCCCCAAAAAGGCGCTGCTGCACTTTCCAGTGGAAAATTTCACGTCAACGACAACCAAAACAAATGCCGCCTGGAAATAAAGCAACAAAGCAAACGGAGCAACAGAGAGGAGAAACAAACAGAGCCACACACACACTCACACAACACTCGCACGCACGCACACATGTCTTTCGGGCAGGCCGTAAATTTAGATGCCCGAAAAACCGAAATCGAATCTTTTGGAATTACTTGTGCGCTCTGTTTTGTTTTTAGAACCATTTTATACACATTTACGACAGCAGCAAGAGAAGCAGCAGAAACAACAACAACGGCTCGCACGCTACACAACAAACCCGAAAAACACGCCGAATTCCGCACTAGTATCGTTCCAGGACCACTTAAAGTGCATTAATTAAGCTCAGACGGTCACAATAAGTTGATTAGCGCACAAATTTAGCCCGAGAGTAGCCATTTTGTGGTTACATTATTTTGTAAATATTTGATTTACTTTTCACAGAGTTTCCACCTCGCGTTGCCTCGTCGTGTTTTTCGTCTCGCTCTCCCGAACAGTGTGACCACTAGTGGAGTTTTCAGATTGCACAAACCATCGCGCCAGTGTGACCGGGTCAATAACATAAAGAAATCCCATAGTACCTTTATATGGAGGCAGAGCTGCCAGTTTAGCTTATTTCAGGCTAGATCTAACATATTTGAAAATATTTTATAATTAAAATGGCTATAGATATTGGCGATTGTTCCGTTTTTCCCCAATAGCGTGCTCCGCATGAACAAAGGAACCCCCAATCTGCAACAAAATTAATTTCTTAATCAGCCACAAAAAATCTATGTTTAAAATATTAATAATGGTAGTGATTGCTGTTGCTGTTAATTTAATTTTTAAATCCACCGTTTATTTATTTTTTTTTTTTAATTTTGGCATTTATATATATTTAATATTTAATTTTTAACATCGTGTAACGTGTCAAAATAACGATTTACTAATATTTTTAAGCGTTTTACAGCAAAATATAATAAAAAGTATATTTTAAAAATGTATGTGATTTTCAATATTTTATGATTTAAATTCCATATGATCTTACTTTATCTGACTGCACAGACTTTATACATATTTTAAGATTACAGCATTATAAACATTTGATTCATATGTTGATTCTTAAACACATTTTTAATCTAAATTACCGAATAATTTAAACAAAAAGATTTACAAATGCTATGTATGATTGTCCATAAACTGCAGCTCTGACCACAGGAGCAGCGCATTCGGGGGTAAAGGTCGCGGCTGCGGGGAAAGCAACATCACTGCCTGCCGCTCCATATCAACTTCGGTCCTGGAAATCCCACACAAAAATCATATATGTAATTCAATGAAATAGAAAAAACCTAAAGTCTCAAGAACTTACACGCAACAAAAGCCCGCGATATTCGTGCCAATCACATCATCCTCCACGGATTCGGCAAAGCTGAGCGCCAGCACATGATGGATTAGGGCTGGAGTGGGCGTGACGGCCACCACTTTTGTTTTATTGTCCTCGGCCTTCATGCCGATGGGCATGCAGGAGTCCGGCAGCGGAGGTGCTCCGATCTTGTACAGCCGCAGATCTTGAAATTTCACCTCGAAACTGAACGGATAGAAGGGTGTGCGGGCATTGCCATAAAAGTACTCCTTGATGCGCTGATCCCGCGACTCGTGGCGCAGCTCTTTGCTGCGCTCCACAACGCCGCCACTCTTGGGCAGCAGCACCACATTGACGCCCTTGGGCACATCGCGCAGCAACTCGTTGTAGAGGCGCTCCTGGTCCAGAACGAAGATAGCGCAGGCTCCGTAGGCCTGGGCAGCGTGTAAAAGGTGGGCATATCCGGAGCCCTTGACCCATCCGCAGGTGTTGATTATAATGCCAGAGCTTTTTGCTAAAAATAAAAATGAAGATATGTCATAAGGATTCTAAGAAAACAATCCATAAACGTTCTGGACTGGCACTCACTGCGCTTATTGTTGTTCATCGATTGCAGCGTGACCTCGGCCATCTTGGAGACGACAGCGTTATACAGGACGCTGTTGCCGCTTGGCGACTTGTGGCCAAAGTGGTAGACCAGCGGCGCTGTCTTGGGGAATCCGTCTTCCACGCTAGCTGGTCGCTCAATAAGTATGGTGGCCACGTTTCCTGATATGGCAATGGCGCCCTGGCCCACATCCAGGTCAGCGTACAGCGGCCGGCGACCCACGCGCACCGCATAGTTGAGGAGAATGCGGCAGAGCGTGCTCTTGCCCACGTCCATGGGACCCACGACCATGGCGACAGGACCGCGGCGGTCCTTCTCCTCCGCCTCGGCACGAAACTGCTCAAGTGCCGCGTGACAATTCACATACTGCACCATCGGCGTCTCCTTGGAGATGTAGCACACGTCCATTTTGCCGGAGACGTGCAGCACACAGCCCTGGAAGGTGTATATCGCCACCTTAGCACCCAAGCCAAACTCGTATTTCTTCTTTTTCACCAGCTCCGTGCCGAACAGCTCGGCAAAGCCATTAACTAACTAAGAAAAATAGACAGTAATTAAGGGTGTCGCATGTCTTAAAAGTATTAACTTACGGAGACCAACACTTTGGCGTCCTTTTGCTCGATCTCGAAACGTAGCTCGGAGTCGCCCTCCAGAGTGTAGTCCTTGCCATGGTCCTCCGACATGATTAGTACCGCCTAACTCTTGACAGTGGTAAAATTTCGTAAAATTAAGAAATGCTAAGAAATGTAAACAAGTCCAGCAGTTAGTGTCATCAGTGTTGACAACAGTGGTATCAATTTAGTATTTTTCCCGTCAAATTCAGATTTCTTTTAGTATCAAAATCTGGCTAGGAGAAGACAAGATAAGAATTCTCAGTGATTTTCATAGCTAAATTAGCATTTTTAGGAGTTTTTGTCTTGGCTAAGAGAAAATAAATCATTTTTTGTTTGTTCTTCTTGTTTATTTCGTCTTTCTTCTCTCTAGGTTTATTTTTCATATTTTTTAAAAATACCTAACCGATTGCACTGATAGGGAAGTGTAACCGATCGGGCCATCAGCTGTCCCACCAGTGTTGGATAATAACCTAGTTAATAACATCTTAATACGGTCACATAACAACTATTTTAAATTAAACGTACCATTTTCTAAGACTACAAATTTAAACATGCTACCACTAAGAGTCGAAGAGTCGAATAGCACAGACAGTTCCAGTTCCGGCTCCATGCAGATGCTCGACCATTACCTGGACTTGGAGTCTGCCACTAGCCAACTCTCTTTGGATACCGCCGACGATCAAAGACCGACCCTGCGACGTTCGAATCGGAACACAAGCCGCACGGTTGAAGATCAGGAGAATCGCCCTCCCGCAGGCGGTCAACGCCAGACTAACCGGAACTCAGACAGAGGCCAATCAGCAGCCACAGCGGCCCCTGCACCGAGGCGACGCAAGCAGCGCGGACCCGTGAGCCGGGCCAACCGGATGAATCGGGAGATCCAACGCCTGCGGGCATGTACTAGACCATTGATACCCCGGCTTTCGTTCGGTCGCTTGGTGCAAGAACTGATGATGAAGTATACCTCTCCGTCGTTTAGGATCACCGAGAGTGCACTTGAGGCGCTGCAAGAGTCTTCGGAGCTTTACTTGACGCATCGCTTCTCGGACGCCTACTTGCTCACCCATCATCGCGGCCGAGTGACACTGGAGGTGCGGGACATGGCGCTGATGGCCTATATAATAGACAATTGTCGTTCCTAGAATTATTTCCCCCCGAGTTTAAGTTTAATATCTTAGCAAAGGATACCTGAAAAGTGGACTGGAAACGTGATTAAAACCAAATATATCCAATATATCTGATATATCTATGTGCCAACTATGAATAATTTCTGACTAATAAGTTAATTCATTAGTAAAATGAATACCAGTGGAGAAATGTAGCCTCGTGCCTTGTGTATTTTTATATTGTATCAATATAAACTCGATTATAATTTTATTCTGTAAATACCTGAAATCTGTATTTAATGTGTTTTAGTTTATATTTTTAAATATATATCTTCCCAACTCCATTGAAAAGAATATGTTTGTTTTGCATTTCGTTTTATTTGTATTGTTTTGTTACGTCTCCAATTTGATCTTCGTCTTCTTGTACAACATAAAACATAATCCATAATAGTTTAACTATAAAGTTTGCCGGAACCGAGCCGAGCGAGCTACAAATATATAATATATGTGTAGGGTTGGTTTACTTTTGTTTTTTTTTTAGCTAGGATGCATAAGAAAGGAACGCTTTCGGGCCTAGAATTAGAATAGGGACAGGTATTTAGAATGTCACGGCCACGATGAGTAAGAAACTAAGCACTAAATACGTAAATACGAGTAACATGAATAGATATAGACTACAGACAGGCTCGGTTGGCCGAGGATTGCATCTGCTAGGACATAATAGCTGTCTTTGTTTTTGTGTTTTTTTTCGTGGGATGGATAGATCGGTCTTAAACGTAAATTGAGCTTTCGTTGCGCCAAAAACGTGTGTTGGGTTGGGCTTCTAATCTGCTTTCTTTTTGGCATTCGCACAAGTGTGTGTTGGGTGTGTGTGTACAGTAAAAATACTGCCATCTAGATTTATTACAACTTACACAATCATACAAAATATATGTATATTTATAGGTATATTTTTATATATATAGCCATTCATAATTGATATCGAAGGAGACTGCAACAGTTCTGTTTCTCCTCCTCCTCCTCCTCTTTAGCCACCTGCCACATTTGCTACAACAACACACAAGTTGTAAACTAACTCTTAAAATTTAGGAGCAACGTTTTGCTTCGTCATCGCGCCTCCTCCACCCTCTCTGAGGCCTCGCTTTATTTCGTTTTACTAGACTTTTGTTTAAACATTGACGACGGTGAATTTTGTTGGGTTGTGTTTACGGTTCTTGTAGTTGAACTTCCTGCGACGACTGCGACTCCTGCTACGAGTATCTTCATCCAACCCCCCCCTCCCTTCCCCCACATCTCTCTAACGACGTTAATTGGTAAAAAGAAAACTAATTAATGTAGGCGGCGAAAATCTAGTGCGCTTTGCTCTTGGACTTTCTATGCGCCGCGCCGCCGTTCTTGTCCGCACTGCCGCCGCCGCCAAAGTTACTTTGGCTGCTCACGGAAGCGGTGGCCGGATTCGAGGGCATACCCTTGGGCGTGTACGGTATCCGGAAGAGATCAATGCGCAGGTGCTGGCAGATCTCTAGGCAGACCTGCGCACAGTAGCGCAGCAGATCCTGGGTGCCCCAGATCAGGGTGAACCACAGCAGCCAGATCTCTGGGACGACGCAGTTGAAGTACTGGTTGAGGAACAGCAGCGAGGGACCGAGCAGCGACCAGTCCAAGTAATCCATCTCTGACTTGGTCATGTGGGCAATCTGTCGGGGGTTAAAACGATTAATTAACATATTTTTTTAATTTTAAATATTTTATTTTTTACTTTGATCTCTACTTACCACCAACTTATTGGTGACCTTGGCCGCCACCATTCCAAAGGCCAGAATGTATACCGAGGCGTGTTCGGTGAAGATATTCTGCGGCGACTTCTGGGCAATCATCAGGGCGGGCAAAACCACCAACGTAAGCGGAATACTCGGCGACAGCACACTGGTGCCCTGTGTTTTTTTCGGGAAAGGTGAAAATTGGATTAGTGGAACAGCTCACTTGGAGGCTCTTGTTGCAATCTTGCAAAGTGTCGCCGTTGGAGGAGGACTGACTCAACGAGATTCACAAGTTAATAGTGATTTACGGCACAACTTGCAAAAGTCACAACAATTTGAGTGCACAAACAAGAGAACAAAAATTCTTTTGGCTTTTTTTTAGCAAGTGTTTAGGGCACTTTCCCCTCTGAAAACAGAGGGCAAAGTGCGCTCATATTTCTGGTTTATTACATGTTTTTATTTACACGGTCTAGCGCTATTTTGGGCGGGTGTGTGGACGGGTGGTGGGTTGGGTGGGTGGTGTAGGATTTGGTGGATATTTGTGTGTATGGATTGGATTTCAAAATGCATGTGTCAGAGGTCAGTAAATATTAAATACAGCAAAACATGCCATGCCAAGCAACAGCCACCAAAAGGAGACACTTACAGGCTACATAAATTATAGTTTAAAGTAGTTAGTAAATCAAAAACAAACACAGGACATGCACGCGAATCAATACTATAAGATGGCATTTCTAAAACTATAAGGCAACAATTCGGATCTCAACTTGTGTGCTCTACTGGGACCGGGTTACAGTGCGTTTAAACCCGTTCAGACCTAAGACTGTGGCCCAGTTTGGAAACGCACTGCACACGAGGAGGACAAGGACAAGAACGAGAAATAGATAGAGAGAGTGTGTGTGTGTGTGTTTGCCTCCTTGCGGGGGGAAAGTTCTCTGCGAGAAGTACTTAAGCGTATGTTAGTTCTTACTGCAACCGATGATCCATTCTTGCCACAACCGTCGGTCAGTATGCAGTTTGCGTAGCGCAGAGTCAGTATCAAATCAATGCCACAGGCCACATAAAGGGGCACAAATCGAGTTTCGCAGTTGAAGTACGGTAGCTGCCAATGTCAAGGTTTATATGGGGTAAATGGATTCGATATTGATTGATTGATTGATTGCGTGGGGAAGAAAAGAACGACACGCATTAAAATTTCATTTGTAATTTGTAATTTGTAAGGAGAAACACTTGTTGCTTTTTCCAGAAGTCTTTTGAGATCACACAAGTGCGGCCAGTTCTAAATAATAGTTTCTATTAAAAAGTAACCAGCTCTAAGTGCTTTAAATTAAATATTCTACTAAATAATACCACTTAAAAGTCTATTTTGTATCCAAAGCAGCAGCTGCATCATGCTTTTCAATGAAACCGAGTGCACCATGGAAATGTTTTAAGTCGATATATATGAGGAGTAAGAGCGCAAGAGATCAGGAGAGGCCCCAGCCAAAGACCTGATAATAACAACATATGTAACGCCATACAATTCATTTTCTCAGATATTCTACGTGCTTTTGCAATTTTTTTTTTTTATATATCAATACAAATGTATGATCGTTATCCATCTTGTTATTATAGGACCTTTGCCCAAAACCGAATACCATAGCCCTCCATCACCAAAAACGAGCTGGAAAACTGCAAACCGAAATCCAAATTGAAATCCAAAAGAAAATGCATCAACGGTTATTAGTAGAGAAACCAAAAGCAAGTCAACCAAGGATTATTATGTTATTATGACTGGGGGAGTAGAGGCTACAGAGAGTTAGCTTCGAGTTAGTCTTCACGGTTTTTAGTCTTAGTATTTAGGAAATAAGTATTTGTTCGCCTCGCTATCATCGTTATCATGAGAGGCGGGTGTGCCATATATGCTTACAGCAACTGAGGAGCCGTTTTTGCCACTGCCGCCTTCAGTGAACATTTTTAAGAAATTGATTATATTCAAGGTATAACCGAACGTGATAAATACTAATATTGTGTAATTCCATGAAAGGCCCACGATTGGTATCTAAGGTAAAGATGAAAGAATTGCAAGAGAAAACAATAATCAAATTTAGAATATTCATCGACTGTGATGAGGGGGGGAAAATGTTTCGGGTTTCAGTTAACTTACGATCTATCCTTAAGGTGAATACATATAGAGAATAATAGTAAAGATTACGATTTTGGGTTAAGGTTAAGGGAGTAATAATAGATCCGTAACCGGAAGACGATATATAGACATAAAAAGAGTAAATATAAATATAGTAAACTGGACAGTGGGACAGGGCAAATACATAGATTAATTTTGATAGTAAAAATAGCTAATAATAAACTTAAATTTTGTTGCATTCAGCAGCCGCCAATATTCGTTGTTATTATTATTATTATTTTAATTGTGTGTGTGTGTTTGTTTGTGTTTGTATTTTTATACCCTTGCAGGGTATTAAAATTTCAGTCAGAAGTTTGCAACGCAGTGAAGGAGACGTTTCCGACCCTATAAAGTATATATATTCTTGATCAGCATCAACAGCCGAGTCGATCTAGCCATGTCCGTCTGTCCATCTGTCCGTCTGTCCGTCTGTCCGTCTGTCTGTTTCTACGCAAACTAGTCCCTCAGTTTTAAAGCTATCTGAATGAAACTTTGCATAGAGTCTTCTATATACTCTCACTGCTATATATGTCGGAACGGGCCGGATCGGACGACTATATCATATAGCTCCCATACAAATGTTCGATAAATTTTTAGAAAAAAATTATAACTTGGCTGTTTTTCAATATTTTTGCATCATTTTTGAGATATAGCCATTTTATATTATTACAGAATTTTGGTAAACATTTTATGAAAATCGGACGACTATATCTTATAGCTGCCATAGGAACGATCGGAAAAAGAATAGGAAAAAAAATTATAACTTCGTTGTTTTTCAACATATTCTTATCTTATATAAGCTTCTTTTATTATTTCAGAATTTTGGTAAAATTTTTAACTATATCATATAGCTGTCATATAAACGATCTGTAAATGTGAAGAAAATGTAAAGCTGGGAATGTACAACTGTAACTGTCAAACTGTAAACATAATAAGTATAAGTAAAATAGTAAAATGTAATGAAACTCTGTTTTGTGAGTGTTTTCAGCATTTAAATTTATAATATTAACATCAAAACCAATCTGCAAGGGTATACAAACTTCGGTGTGCCGAAGTTAGCTTCCTTTCTTGTTCTTTTTTTTTTTTTGGGCATGCTCTCGCTTCTTGCTTCCAAATATTTAGCAGGTGTATTATTTTTGCAGCAGCTTCTTTGCCTTTTAAACCAAAGACACATGAACAAGAATTTCAACAACGGCACAAATTAAATAGGCAAGCAGTTGGGGCAGTTTTGGGTTAAATATATCGGGATTGAGGGGGTTAAGGGTAGTATCCTCACGCCACGCACCTCTCAGCTAAGCTGATGAGCGAAAATCTCCAAATCAAATCAGTTTTTCCTTTACTTTTGAGGAGCCAAAATAGTTTTTGTTGTGTGCAGAGTGTGTGTGTGTTTGTTTGTGTGTGTAATAGTTGTTTCGTTTGTGTTAAGTGTAGTGTGTGTTAGGACTTACAGCAACTGTCGAGCCATTCTTGCCAACACCACCGGCTTTAATGACGGAAAATACATAAGTTAGGGAGAGCAGACCGCACACAATGGTCGTCATTGCCGGCCCATACCAAAGCTCTATGCCGCCAATGCCGATCTGTGGGTGTTATGTGTGTGTAGTATTTGTAAGTATTTTGTTTTCAACAGGCATTTTTGTTGGCATTTTAGAGAGAGAGAGCGTTTATGTACATAGAAGTAGAAGTTATTAGACAATTACAATTACTGAGCATCGTGTTAAAGAATATTTATGTATATATATTAGAAATCTGCCTAGATTCGGCGCTGAATTGTGTGTGTTCTGTTCCGGGCTCAAGAACCTAACCCCAAACGTAGCATCCATGCTGAGTAACTGGGAAATATAATACAGTTTTATGCCGAAACTCAAAAGGTAATTCAATTAGCACAAAAAAACTCGACTAGAACTCAACAGAACAGAACTTAAGGCAGCCGCTGGGCAGAGCTGCAAATGCCTAGCTTAAGCCTAAGCATCCTATAAATGGAACTTCAACTCTAAGCTCTAATGTAAACGTAACGAAAATAATAACGCTCTTAAAAGTACGCTTAAATATCCAATAAAAGTAATAGGGAAACGCAAAAAACTTCCGGAAACAAAGAACTTCAACCTGCGGGGAATCTTTAAGACCCCTCTCCTACCTTGGTCAGCCAAATCTCGGGCCCCAGCACAGCCGATATGAGGTGTATGGCGATGATTGAGAACTGAGCTTCCGTTACATCGATTCGTCCAAAGCGCATCGTGCCAGACACATAGGTCTGCCAGTGGGCGCAGTAGAAGAGAGCTATGGCGCAGAAGCACTGAAAGAGAGGTTTCAATTTATTTCCTTACTTTAAAAGCTGAAACTAGTGTGCTGCTCACCTGAAAGAATAGCCAATTGGGATAGTGACCCAGCTGGCAGGAGACGCAGGCCGACAGAGCCACAAACACTGTGGATATCGAATCGCAGCCATGATCGAAGAGCTCGCCCAGCGGCGAGGAGGTATTCGTGCGACGCGCCTGCTTGCCATCGATGGAGTCCAGGCTCTGGTAAATAAACAAGCCCAGGGCGCACAGGAAACAGGTCCAACGCGGCGGAGGTTCTACACCATTTGGACTGTAGCTGTGGGTGGAAAATAACATTTAAATAATATAATATATAATTTATAGATATAATTCATGATCCCCACTTCAAACGACCCTGATTATAGCTGACATTATGTGGAACAGCAGATTATTTTAAAAGCTCAATAATAATAATCTCATTTGCTCTATAAACCAGCTTTCGCAATGTTTGTGCATTGAAATAAATTTAATTATTGTTATTTAACTGTGTGTAAGGTCTTGTAAATGAATAATGAACAGCTAAGCGAAGTAAGAGCTTTGTAGTCAAAGCAATCAGAAATGCCTGAGCGTTTCGTGCGTTTCCATGTCAATTAGCCACCAGTCCGTCCGTCCATTCCCATTCCCAGCTCGCAAGGGTCTGACGTCAGTGAGCATAAAATCGCCTGATGAGCAAAGTTCCCTAGCCGTGTGTCTTAATTATCAAAATATTAATAATTTCACTTGTTTGCAGCTGCTGCTCAACCGATAAGCGAGACTCGCTTGCTATCTCCTCGGCGGCAATGTCGCCAACTCAGCCGAGTTTAAAGTTCCGGCTTGGAGCCCCAATAGAGATGTCTAAGTAAGCTAAACCACCTGATTCCAGCTGAATCATCGTCCAAAAGCTGACACTGCTGCTTTATCGAGTCCCACTGACCTAGACAAGTTCAGCTAAAATCAGCAGCAGCTACGAGACTGGGACTGGCAACAGTTTGTTTTGCCTGAAAAATTATTAAAACAAATACAAACGAAAAAAGTGCAAACAAATGTAGAATAATAAACCGGTCGGTTCTTTTGGCTTTAGCAACGTTTTGTGAATGAATATATAGATCCTATACTGTGTATTATATGGTCTAAAAATAATATAAGCAGACACGTGAGCGCAGAGCAATGAAGGTGAATCATCTGTCTGAAAGTAAGTGACATTTGGGGTACTTTGATTGGCATACAAATCAGGCCATAAAAGGGGAAAGGCTAGGGGCTTGCTACCTCAAAACCTGTGGAAAAATTATTGTAATAATTATATATACGAATGACTTTTGCTACTTTTAGTCACTTTTACACTCGCAAAAAGGTGTTACTTTTAATAGACTCTCAATGTTTTACAATTTTGTTCACCTCTTTATAGCAACGAAAGACAAAGTAAGAAAGATCACTTGGCTTTCTGGCCTAGATCTTTAGAAATTCAAGGTTTTCACCGCAGCAGAGTGAAAGTTATATCTCTCTAAATATAGTTCTTGTAATTGCTACAACTCTGGTGTTGCAAAAAGAAATTGTTTAGCGAAGCGAAATGGGCTTAAATGTCGGACTTTAGTTTTCGTTAGACCCATAAAAATCAATTACATATGCAAATTGTCATTCTAATTCAATCAAAGGTATACGAAGACAGCGAACAAAAATCCCAATTGAGCGTCAAACAATTGGAAAATGGAAATGTGACAGACCCCGGGGGTTAACTCGAGTGAACCTTGTGTCTTGGTGCTCCCTGGCAATTCTCCCAACCAGCTCTGGGCACCTGCAATAGGGTTCGGCTACCCAATTCCCTGCTGTATTTCATCAACCCTTTCGATCCAAAGAGAGATTAGCCCAGCCCTTGTTTATTTACTTATCCGTTTCAAGTAGCCTTTTTTCGCGGACTAAAGAAATGCGTCACTGCCGACAAGCGACGATTATTGCGATTACTTATATTTCGCTCAGTTCGTGTGTAATGGGGGAAAAGTGGCGAGACGCCCTCGCTATCTTATCGCGGGCATAGCTGGTGTCCGACCAAGTGGTGGTCCCCTGAAAGGGGGTCCGCCGTATCCGCCTGTGCCCACCCACTGGTTCAGTTATTTACTAGTATTGTAGTTACGGCATGATACGCTATCGCTACGCATTATGAAACGAACCGAGCTATGTCGCCTGATTTTACTATAATTTCTTTGGTTTAATGTTTTGTTTATTGTGAATTAGTTTTGGTTTGATTTGATATCGATAACCAAGTGATTTTGTTACTTTAAGGGCAGTTTTAAGGGAGATGGAAAGCAATATCATAAGAATAAACCAAAATTAGCCATTTCTATAAACACAATCTCAAAGAATAGCTTATAAACTGTAGGAAAAAACTTAAAAGTCAAAAGAAATTTCGCTTTTAGAAAGGGAAATGTCGCTAAATCGAGAAATACCGAGAGTGACAGGTGATGGGAATTATATTGAGAACAACAGCTGATGCACAAAATCACTAATCTCCGCATATTTTTGATGGAAATATACTCGCAAATCAAAGCTGGCGGCGGCAATGAAAAGCCAACAACAAAACTAGTGAAAAACTTGCTATTTTCGAGGGTCGTGAGAGAGAGAGTGGGAGAGCGGTAGTGTTTGCACACACATTCGCCGGCAAAAGCGATTTGCATTTTTTGTTTTTTTTTTCGGTTCAGGGGGCGGAGGGTGCTTACCAAATTAATATCAACGTCGTCACCACATTGAGGATGAGGCCCACGATGGTAATGAGATTGGGGGCCAGCCAGAGGGGCGTCTGGGCCACCAGCCAGTTCCACCAGGGCTGCAGCAGCGGATCGAGGAGACTGGCGCTGAAGCACGAGTACTTGTGCTCGCTCAGCTTACGTAGCTGCTGGGCGCTGAGAATGTGCTTCTCCCGGTACGCGAGCAGCGGCATCTTGCTCGGTTACGTGCGATTGCGTTGGCAAATCCCTGAGTGCTGCTGTCGCACGCGCTTTTCACTTTTCACTTTCCTCTGACCTAGCGCTTTTCCTCGCGCGCATTTGTATACGTGTTCCTTGCTTCGCGCTGCGAGTGTGTGCGTGTGCCTCGGGGCTTTCCTGGCGAGATTTCCACACGTGGAGCACTAGGCTGGCGAAACTACGGATCCGGCACTTTTTACGTCGGTGAACACTTTATCGGGGTCGGCCGTTTGAGTATGTTGGGTGCGCGCGCCGAGTCTGCACTTGTATGTTTACTTAGCAAAATTAACTTAATTGGACGACTGTCTACTTTTTTCTTATTTCCATTTGACCAAGTGTGACCGTAGGGCGTCAGTTCGAAAATGGCTTGCAGAAATGTACTGATTATGCCGCTTAGTGCAGACTCAAACCAACAATATAGTGACTGTTACTTTTTCGCAACATCAAAATCAACTATTCAAATTAATATTTTTGGAAAAAGATCAAAGTTTAAGAGGTTTAAGGAAATGTGACTTAAAACGCAAAGGCGACAGAAGTAAAAAGTCGAAGATACCAGTTTATATTCAACAGTCATACCGGCATTCAACTGGTTTGGCTTTAGTATTTTCTGTCTTTGAGAAATATACCAGGTAATCAGGAATCGACACATACCTATCGATAATACACAAAGGAATCGAATTCAAATTAATATATGTCATAGGTTTTATTAGATAAATCAGTTTGTTCGCTTAAACTACGTCCTCAACTTAATATACCGTTTGCAATGTTTCATTTGTGTGTGTATTCTCGCTTTCAGTTAATATCTAAACCTTGTCATTTGCCTGCTTTATTGTTACGATTTGAAAATTATGTTTAAATACGCGGCTTCTACTGGTTCTGGGCCGAGAAATGTGTTTCGTTTTACGCCTGCTTTAAATGCTCAAAAAGTACAAAAGTCGCGCGTTCAGCTGCCCTTTAAATATTGTTAATATACTATGGCCTATCAAAAGTTATTTTTGATGTGTTCTTGTTTACTTTCTTTCCCGTGAGGCATCGTCTTCATCATCGTCGTGTTCGTTTCATAGTTTGGTGGATATTAGGAAAATGTATATGGTATTTGATTCGATATATATAATATATGTAGATAAAAAAATAGGCTTAAAATGTTTTCGTTTTTTTAGCATTTTCTTTTTTCAATTACTTTATATTGGCAACTCTCATTATTACAATTTGTATGCATATTATTATGTAGTTATGTGGCTGAAAAAGGCTCTTGAACGTGCAACTGCCGCCTCCTGGCTGTGAAAAAAGGCCGCACTGAACCTTAGTTTATAAATAGTAGTAGTAATTTATTAATTTATAGCACAATATGATATATATAGCAGCTGTTTGAAACTTTTTACACATGTCACACAAATGATTTACTTCTCATCTATAATCGAGTTGGTGGCGGAGTTGAGAGAGAACAGGATACAAAAAATTATAATAAAATAAAAGAATAACAGAGAACGCGGCTGACAAAGTTTAAAAATATGACAATTATCGAGTGCATGTGCAGCCGAGGCCTAATATCGTTCGATACATATCTTTTAATTATAGATGCGTGCGTATGTATTGCATGTATGTATGTATATAGTAACCAGCGATGCAAAAATTAATTTAATTTACGTGGTAATATAATAATATAAATTTTGTTTTACTTGTCTTCAGCTTTGAGACATTTAGGCAAACGTTTTTTCTTGTTTTTCATAGTGAATTTTTTTTCGCTTTCTCTATCAATTTGTTGTTAAGCATTATAGTTTTTGTTTGTGTAATTCGTAATCATAATTATATAAGTGCTTACTCCCTCTCGAACATCTAATAAACTAAAGAGCACACTCAAGACTCGCTTCGAAGCACAGGACAAATATTCTTCTCTTTATCGAAACTTAAATTACATATATATGTATATATATATAATATATTTATATCAAAAATCCTTTTGTTTACAATAATAATAATAATAATAATAGTGCCAGACATATTTGCTCAGGGCTATAGTTGCGGCCAAGTGAGATAAGCTCTCTGTCAGAGCCAGATCAAGTGCTTCCTGTTCTCGGCCGCAGCTATAGGCACACAAATAAATGTACATATCTTAGTTTAGACTTTTAAAGTGCAATTAGTTTCGGTTGTTGCTCTCTGTCACTCTCTGTTGTTGCTGCTAAGTGGCTATGAAACGATTTTGTAATGTTTATCTCTTCTCTATCGTACTGTATTTCCTTTTTCTGTTTTATCAAAAAACGTCAAAACGTAAAAAAATGCATTATACGGCTTATATAGGCTTAGACTTGTGTGTGTGTGGTGTATATACGATGTCTACTGAATTTATGCTCGTCCTACTCTCGATTTCTCTTGTATATAAATATTTAAAATTTGTGTTTAGTTCCTTCTTCTTGCTGTTATTGCAGTTGCTGTGTTGCTGTGTTTATCAGGGGAGAGACGGGTGCATCCTCATCCTTAGCTGTTATCTTATTATGAATGATATGGCGTCACATAAGTTGCTGGGAAGATTCCTTTTCTATTGCCAATCTCGCCGTTCCACCAGTTCTCGTCGGAGCGGTCTGTGACGGTGATGACATCGCCGCGTCTGAAGTCCAATTCGCCGGATTCCTGTGGCACAAAATCGTACAGCGCCTGCACGAGCATCTGCAACATAGAAACCAAAAGGGAAATAGAGAGCGTGAAAATTATATTCATTCCTAGTTGGCATCATCACTGTTTTTGTTTATAGTTCAGATGTGGTGGGCGGCAGACGGGCCAAAAGCATGATGACCTCAATGTGTTGTGTTGTGCTAAATTTGTGTTGTGTGTGTGTTTTTAAAATAAATCTGCCTGCCGCATGCAAGGCGGAAACCCGGCCTCGAAACCCACCTCTTCAGGTATCATATCACGCAATTTGACATCCTGCGACCGGGACACGCTCGCCGTCCGGTGATATTCGACCAGTTCGTTGAGGGAGTTGAACTTGACCACCCAGAGGAAGAATTTGACTTGGGCGTCGCGCAGAACCTTGAAATGCTGAACACCATCGGGGCATCTGTCATGCGATGCAAGAGAGATCAAATGTCAGTGGATGGATGAAGTAAATGGGGATGGAATAAACTCACTTGACTGATAAGGAGAAATCGCCGGGACTGGATTCGCTGATGCGTATCAAAAAGGCGCCTTCGTGTTTGTTGGACAGCAGCTTCTCGGCATCGGCGCGTGTGATGCGACCATAGTACCAGCTATATATAAGATTGTGTGATTAGTTTGAATCCTGTTACAAGGATAATGATTTCTACTCACTCGTGATTCTTCATTTCAATGTAATTGCTGGGTATAAGGCCTTCTTTTCCTTCCAACTCGGCACGGTACCAATTTGAGTCATCTTCCATATTTAATATCTGTAACGAAAAGGGTTTTATAGGTATATTAATGATAGGCAAGTTAAGGTGCCTTAAATTAATAATCTGTAATTATTAAGCGATATAAAGTTTTTTATTAGTTTAGAGCCTTTTAATAATGATTCTTATTTATTAAGTATATAGAAACCCTTATCGCATTCCAGTCTCATCTATGAATCCCGCACAGCAATCATCGATGATTAATAGTTACATTGTAAACTCATATATTTCTCTTTTATAAATCTGGATTTTAATTTATTTCCTGCCTCAAATCAATTGCAATCCTCATATTGAATACATAATCCGACCCTCTTGAATGTTTTCTTAGAAGCTGCTGCTGCTGGGGTTTTCGATTTTAAAGGCCACACCCCTTTTAAGCGGCCAGACAAAGGGGGCCGTCTCAGTCAAGACATTCTTCCGCTTTGTTGTTCATTGGCAACTGGCCGCAATTCTCCAGAGATTTCGATAAACAATTTTCAATTGTCTACTGATTGCCAGCCGAAAACTGTGTCAGTCCGCAATCAACGGCGCTCGGAATGAAGATAGGCTTTATACCCTGTGAAGTATATCTCTGTTATCTGTCCTCTATTTTTACTATTCTCATATCTGTTGCTTGGCAGACGCTAAAAATAAACAAGCATTATGCCTGACATGTGATAAGAATGTTAAGTGAAACGGTGGCTAGTCGAATTTCACTTTGTTTGTGTATCTAATGGGGGCTCTTTTTTGCCAACTTTTGGGCCAAAAATGATACAACAAGTAGCCTACGTAATCGCCTGCTGCCTCCCAGCAGCGGCGCCTTTTATGATTTCTTTCAATTTCAATTGCCAAACGTCAAAATGGATTTTGGGTACGAAAGTGTGTATGTATTTCAGCATCGGGTTTTTGTCTGATAATTTGCTTTGTATAGACCACACTGGGAATTCCCATAGTTGAAGGTGCTGAGCGTAGCTTTTTCATGAATGAATCGCAACGACATCGACCTCCAAGCACCTTAACCTGAGTTTCCCAGCATCCAACAGCCTTCATGTTTGTTTTCCTTCTTCAAGGAAATCTTCCCACAAATATATGTGGAAAATATGTACATATTTTCCGTAAAAGGTCAGGATTCTGCCCACGCAGTGGCGTGAGTCAGTTCCTTGTTCGTTGAATATAAAAGAAGCCTTAAATAAATAACGTAGTTAGCGTTATAACGTTCCTCTCTCTCTCTCTGCTAAACAGATTTTTCCTTGAGTACTTGAGTTATTTGGCAGGTTTTGAGTCCCAATAACGTACATGGAGTCGAAATAATGGAATGGCATTCAAATGAGTCATAAAACGCGCCTGTTATACCCCTCGTGATACTGAGTAGTTATAGTGGTTAACGGGTTTATCGGTTAATTCTCTCGTTATGTGAGTAATTACATGTCTTTCATGTACTTTTTTCATGGAATGCCTCATCAATTTGTAGTCATATTTAAAAGGAAACCTCAGGTGTTGCGAATAAATACTTCCACCTAGTTTCAATCTATAAATTAACAGATAACCCCACCGTCGAGACAATAACTTTCTGTTTTTTTTTTTTTTTTCGGTTAATTTTCGCACGTTGGAGTATTGTGGGAGGAATTCGGTTGACGTCGGGGGGTTTAGCAAGTCAATTCTCCAGCTTATGTAAAACTCAATTATTGTTTTTATCGTTGTTGGCAGTGGCAATACGGCTCTGCTGGATCTGGTCGGGCTAATTGGCATAGCTCTCTATAGTTCTAATCCATCCCCCATAACCGATACCGCCCGCATCTGTCACCCAGACATTGTTCATCGTATATTTATTTTATTTTTAGCTTGTTTCATTCATTGAATACAGCCAGACGCCGCTGAGAAATTCATTTCCACGGTTTCGTCGCGTATTACAGACAATTTTTCTCGCGATTCTTTTACACGCAAAGAAAAAATTGTATCTTATCGGAAATGTTTTGGTAAATAACCATCTTTTTTTTAGGAATATATTGCTTTTTCATATTTATGAAATATTTAAAGGTAGCTTTCTTTAAAGTTTTTGCTTCAGAGATAATTTAAAGAAAAACTTTTAAGGATGTTTTTAATAATAATCAAAACAAAGTAAGATCATGTTTATATTTACTTTTTATCTAATGAATTAATAACATATTAATCATTGTTTAGAACCCTTTTGTCGGTGTAGGGGTACGGGAAGGAAGGAATGAGTGCCTGGAAAATACATAAATATTTTTTCGCCGGCACTCTCCGAGACCTGGCACGTAGTGGCCATGATTGTTGTTATTATCAATTCGTTGGCAGTCGCTGGTTTATGTAATTACTAGAGAAAATTGCTATTGTGCCTCTGCGCGGGTTCTATACGCTGGAAAGTGTCAAATCGACACGAACGTCGCATCGTTCACTTTTCATTGTTTTCGCGGCAAGCGAAAGTTGAACTTAGAATCCCATTTCCATTTCCATTTCTATTTCGCGCTTTTGTTATGATAAAACGTGGCTTTTCTGTGTCACGACGAATCCGTTAGAACTCGAGGTGGCAGTAGCATTAAGACGACCATGGTTGTTCTCAGAAAACTAAACACGAAATATCCAAGAAATTGGACGTTCAGGAAACCAGTTTCTGGAATGGACAGAAATGGAATGAAATGAAGTGTTTGTTGATGATTCAGAAGGGGGGCTCGCGTGTGTGTTTCCCTCTATCTTTGTGTGTGAGTTTGGGAATCTTTTCAGATAAGGCCTTCCAAATATCGGGTGAGTAAGCACAAAGACAAACAATTGCGCTCCAAGTTCGTTCGAACTGTTGGTATCTCAGGCGATTATCCATTGGTTTCTTTTCCTCACACCAAATGGTAATTGGCTACAGCTGGGTTATCAGTTGTTTACTCAACGATAAGAGCTAGGCAGATCCAGGGAGCCATTCTCTTCCGCAGCTACCCGTGGACATGGGCTATCTAATGGGGCGAGAGCAACGCACACACTTGACCTTCGGGAACCGATAAAGGAAGCTTCTTTGGCGAGTCATTGACACCATCAATCAGCAACCAGCACTGGCCCAGGCATAGGAGCACACTGAAAAAATGCAAAAGGCAAAAAAAACCTGCCTGTGCCAGTGACTTGGGGACTGTGCCTGGGTTCCTCCTGCTGTGACTAACCTACGACAAGGTAGACACACCAACAGCCACAGCCACAGCCACAGCAACACCATTACTACACCATCACCATGCAACTACTCCCAACAACAGTTGCTGCAACGAAAATCAGCTTACAGCGCGCCCTGGCAACAAGAAACCGGAAAATTCGCCAGCCAAAACAAAGGGCCTGGCCCAGGAGCATAGGACTAGGGACTAGCACCTGGAAGGGACGCAACGGAAAGGCGAAAAACAGATCGAATCGCAGGCTGGGCAGCAGCCTTCTGCAAGAAACCGAAGCTTCTTGGCTAGCTAGAAGCTCAGATCGGATGTGCCATCTATAGTTCCGCAAAAGCTAGGGTACATGCTATATGTATGAGCAAGTTGGCTATATAAACGTGTCTATAACTTAAATTAGAGCCAGTATTTCATATTAAATTAGAGTCGAATAGAGAAGTAATAGGTTGTTGATATGGTATTCTGCATTAAACTAGTTTGCAAAAAAATAATGTTATGAAGCTGCTGATGCCCAAATCGGGAATATTAATATTAATATATAACGCGAACAATAACTATTATTAGAATTTAACGTTATTATCAGGAAAATCATCTCAAAAACACATAAATAAATAATAATAATAAGTACAGTGAAATCAGCTCTACATTTTTAACAAAAACATTTCCAGTGTTACGTGGATCCCCATAATAAACAGTATTTATCTGTGAATATTCATTTGGGTTTTTTTGTGAGAGCATTCGCGACCCGGTGAGTCACTACGCCCGGTGGTAATCCTTTGCTGTTGGCTCTAGCGGATGCACCTTTGAACCGCTTTTCCCAGCTTATATCTTTGTTGGGTTTAAGGTAACAATATCCGTACGTCTGGGGGCTTAGGATGTGGGTTAAGGCAACGACCTGGAGCAGTGCAACAGTGCTGCGGCAGAGATTATGCATGCAATCCCCCTGTCCGCCTTTCCCCCCGGCTGACACTATGCATAAATCTGGTCATAATGACGAAGGGAAGGAGAACTCACCTTTAGGATCTGAGTTTTGCGAAAACTCAGCTCGTCCTCGGCAGTCGCGGAGAAGTCGTGTTTGGCAATCGCCTCCATTGCTGCGCGTTGATTGCTTGTGCGTAATTGCAAACGCTCTCGAAGTCACTTTCAGTTTAGTTTTAGTTTAAGTTTAGAGTCTATGGCTATTTGCTATTTGCTACTGGCTACTTGCTATTCTGCTTGCTTTATCAGCCTTGATGCACCACACACACACACTCACGCACAGCATACATGGGCAGGTTGGATTTCTCGCCTCGCTCTCTCCTCACACTACTAGTGCTGTGAAAATGAAAACGAAACGAAACGATTCCGTTATTAGTTTGCGCACATTATATAAACAATAACTCATGGATGTTCGACGGCGGCGCGATTTTCTGGTTAATAATATTCTTGGGCGAAAAGCGATTAAAAATACACCGACATGCCCAGGCAGAGAAGCAACACAGAATGACAGGCGGCGACAACACAGCGCTCTCTCGCTCTTCGCGTGTGTCGGTGTCTCGGTATCGGCGTGTGTGGGTGTGTGTGAGCGCGGCAGCGTTGCCAGCAGCTTGCGATTTGGAAATTCAGGGAAAAGCAGGTACCGCAAAGGCAATTAAGCCCTGGCTGGCACTAACTTGTTGGGCCCATAATCTCCGTATTTTGCATGAATTCTGAAACACGAGCTGGGCAATGTATATATTTAAAACAAACTAGGGCGTGGGTGCTTGCTGTTGGCAATGCTGCTGCGGTGACGTTGTTGTTTGTTTTATTTTTTGTAACCCCAATAAACACACACACTCACACACGCGCGGCTTATTCACGATCCGCTTGCATTTATTAGTACAAGTTTCGGCGAAGTTTAATGGATTTTTCTCGCTTGCGAGCCGGCCGCTTTTTTCATTATATGGCGGGTTGGGGCGTTAAAAGCTTTTGTGACACTGGTTAAATGCGGGGGACGGGCGGGATACCATTATACTACGCTAAAATGTAATTCACTTTTATTTTCATAGCAGCGTGACCGCGGTAGGACTGTTCGGAAATACCAAACAGCGAAAAAAACGCCCTGGACAGTGGCAACACTTCGCCGGCCTACCGGCATTTCCATATTTAGTATGCTGATGACTGGTGCTACCTGGTCACACTGGGGTGCCGCATCTGACGCTTCGCCATTTTCAAATTGAGTTAGCGACGCCTAAAAACGGCACTTTTCTCACCCAGATTATATATATTATTAAATTGCCCCATAAAGTTTATACTACGCCCCTTAATCGCCGCCATGCAGCGCCACAAGGAACTATACAAAGAACAGTCTTTGGTGCTGAGTCCGCGCAACCACATACAGACCAATAGGGAGCGACAGCAGGAGCGGCGCGCCAAAAACAGAGAGGAATGCTTTCAAAACAACCGTATAATCAGTGTGAGTCCCACTCCGGTCAAAGTTAAGCCGCAAAAGCAAGCAATGCCACAGTTGCCGACCCAAGAGGCACCCAAGGAGAACGAGGCGCCACCAAGTGAGCAGCAGCAGAATCCTAGCCAGGAGGTGCCGCAGAATAAAAAAGATAGCAAAACAGCTCGCCACCAGCAGTTCCTGGAGCGCTTCAAGAAATGGAATGCCGCGAAAAAGGAGGAACACAAAATGCAAGAGCAGTTGCGCCGCGGCCAGCCCGTTAAGCCTTCTGCGGGCCCTGCCATTAAGAAGGCTACTGCGATGCCCACATCGGCGGTATTCCGAGCGCCCGTCATCCTGCAGCGTCCGCCCCAGGAGGAGGAGGAGAGTGTGCCTGTTTTTAAACCACTCCAGAAGCGGCAGTCCCTCTACATCGTTGTCAATCCTAAGGGCAAGGTAATGGAACAGAATCAAGTCGCCGCAGCGCCTCAGGCGAGCAGGCCTAGAATCCAGCAGGCTATACAATCCAGAGTGCCAAGCAAGCCGCCAGCTGCGGTAGCTAAGCCAGCTCCAGCAAGAAAGCTAGCTCCTGCTCTGCCTTCAGTAAGAAAAGCAGCTTCTGTGGCTCCTGTGCCAACCAAACGGGTGCCTGCAGTCATGCCGGCAAGCAAGCCAGTGGCTTTGAGCAGGCCAAAGACATCAGTGCAGCCGCAGGCAGTGAAAACCAAAACCGTGGAACGAAGGCAAACCATCCGTCCTACAGTGCCTGCCACCGCAACCAAAACTACTCTGCAAACTAGCGGTCTCAAGACCCCAGTGCATCTAGCGTCCGCAAAGCTATCCGCTGCAGCCCAACCGCGTCCGAAACTGGCCAATGTTATGACTCAGCCCTTCGAGAAGCCCGCCGTGAACAGAGCACAAGCCGTAGGTCGGGCTAATATAGTGAAGCCACTGCCCATACGAGGCGGGGCCGCTGGCAAATTCAAAGCGGCAGGTATGGCTAGCAAAACTGCTGGCACAGCCAACAAGGCGGTAGGTTTAGCCAATAAGGCATCCTTTCATCAGCCAGTTCGGATGAAGGCCACCAAGGAAAAGAGCAAGTACACAAGATTGGAGGAGAATGCCCGAAAGCTGCCACAACTTAAGACTGAACTGGTTCGGGCGGCGACTGATGTGATTCCACATACGCCGCTGGAGGCGGATCAAACTGAAAAACCTTTCTTCGCCCAGTCCACATCCACGCAGTACAAAACCAACAATTGTAGCGGCAGTCTCCAAGAGGTTTTTGGCGACGTCACCGCATTGAGTCCGGTGGCATCGGGCAAAAAAGGGGGAGACAGTATGGCTAAGCGGAAGCTGTTGCCAGCTGTTAACTCTAAGAAACCAGGTTCGGGTTCCAAGAAGAAGTTCAACTTTACTCGCTACTCGGTGGCCAATTCAGAGGCGAACGAGTCATTGGCCTTGGAGCCACTCCAGACAACAGGTGAGTAAATAAACATTTGCTTTCCAGCTGTGATCCTAATATTCCCTTCCAGTTCAAGGAGATGACGGAGAAACCACGCTCGTGCAGACACCGCCACATTCCATTCCAGTTAATGGGGAGGACGGTGAAGCCACATTCGTGCCGGCAGTGGAGAAGACTCCGCCACGCCGCGACTCTGAGGGCAAGTCCAACTATCTCAGTCCCTTTGTGAGTGTTTCGCGCGGCAAGGTGAACTCCCGTAGCGAGCGGGATAAACGGAATAGCTTTTACTTGCAAGACGGGGAGACGCCGGCGGAAGTACGTCGGGCCATTGAATCCGTCCTGTACTTCCGGTTGCAGTTGGAAGAGGAGCTCACCCGGCTGGAAGCACTCTGCAGCGATTGGGAGGCGTACAGCAAGTCCAACGAGGAGCGGCTGCAGGAGACAGGCGGCGGTGACATGATCAACGTGACAGTGGGTCAGACGCGCCTGCTTACCACAAAGAAGATGATGCAGTTCAAGGGCCTGATTGATCGGTGCGAGGCCGGAGCTATGTGCAAGAACCAACTGCCGAACGATGGCAGCGAGGACACAAAGCCGGTGCAGCCATCGGATCTGGAGGGCTGGTGGGACATGTTGCGGCTGCAGAGCGAGAACGTGGACAAGCGCTTCGCGAGCCTGGAGCGTTGGAAGGCGAATGATTGGCTGGACCCGGATGCAGTGCCAGAGGAAGCAAGGAAGCCGGAGCAGGCAAAAGCCAAGCCAAAGGCAAAGCTCAGCCGCAAGGTGAATATGAAGGCAAAGGCCAAGCCCAGCAGCAATTTGCAGCAGTTCCTCCGCAAAGCACATGCCAACATGAAAAAAACCAAACTGGAGGAGGCGCCAATGGACGATGGTATCCCAGCGACGCCATCGCGCCGCAGCTCGCAGCGCGTTGTCGTGGTACGAGACCGCAGATCCTTCTCGCCGGCCCGCACAGTCCTTCGTATGTCCACTGGCGAAGGACGCTCCTCCATTGCACCGAATACGCTGCTGAAAACAGCCCTGATTGCAGCCGCGGAGCAGAACGCTGTCGACAAGACGCCACCGCCGAAATCTCGCCCCTCCATTCTGAAAACACCGGGCACCATGAAGCGCCAGAACCGCGGGGTCATCTTCAGTGCCAAGAAGAGCGTTCGTCGCTTCAAGTTTACTATCGAGGAGGGCAACATCAGCACCGAGGAGAAAGTGGGCGCAGACAAGCTGGAGGACTGCGAGGAAGACATGTCCCTGGAGACGTCCACCGAGCGTAGGTCCTTGGATCAGGACATGACAGCGATCGCCCATGACGGAAACGAACAAACTCCTCGGACTTACGGGCTGCGCAACCGTAAAGTCCGTCTCCGTCCGTCGTCGGAGTTCATGTAATATTGTTTTATTTGAATATTTTAATTGTATTTGGCGTTGTTTTAGTTTTATGTTATATATCAAGATTTTATTAATTGTATAATTGTCATTTTGCGCAGATGAAAGCATGCACAGTACGTAACAATTGGTTTATAATATTAAATAAATTATCATTACCAGAAAATACGATATATTTAATTTTATTTATTTATTTTCCCAATAAGAAAGGAAGCGCGAGATGTGGAGTGTGCCCGCGCTAAAATACGAAAAAAGGGATGTTCTCCCTTATAGCTGGCCACACTTAAATATCCTAAAAATCCCCACCTTGGGGCTGCCAGACTGCCCAAGAAATGTTGTGGTTTTCCCTTTATTTATCACGTCCTCTGCAATTTAACGCATTTAAACACCTTCGAAGCCTGTGTGCAGCTCTGAGAAGCAAACAGACAAGTATTCTCAGCGGAAAACCCTTTAAAACGACACATAAAACGCTCTTGAACCAGGGCTGCCACGTTTTTGAACAAAAATATCGCGATTTAAATATCGATACATCTATCGCGACCCTCTCCGCCCTAGATAAATTTAATGTCTCATCAACAGAGTGAATAGAGTTCCGACGGAAATTTAAATTGAATTTTGAATTTGCTGGTGCACCCGGGTGTAAATAAGCGCTGATAAGGCGGCCGGTGAAAGTGCGAGTGCCAGTGATATCGCGACGCACAGACAGCTGCAGTGACTAACAAGATTGCAATTGTGGCCGCGACGCCGACGAGTTGAACGCATTTCGCAGCGCACACGACGGTACAGATTCAGATTTTCTTTTTGTTTTGCCCGCTGTGACCGCGCACAGTGTGCATTAAAAGCGCGAGCAAGGAGCAACAAACGATAAGCAGACGCACAGGAGGCGGACAAAGCAACTGGCCATGGACACCAGTGGCGGCAATTTAGGTGAGGATGCACTTGGACTTTCGTATTTCAAATTGAATTTTCAACCCAGCAGTACAGCATGTACTTGGCATGGCAGTTGGTCCCACGTCCCCGGCCGCTGGCGCGCAAATTGTTTCTGCGGCCCCGGGCCCCACCCTCCCCCTTGTAACACTTTTCTTAATGACCTTGACGAAGATTAGAGCCCTTGTTATGCATTTGGATTCCAACGACCATTGCATTTGGCTAATTTGTTAACTGTTTTGGCTCTGCTGACGAAACGAAAAGTGCTTTTAACGTTGTGGGAACATCCCAATCAAATTTCCCCGTGCAGCCTTGCCAGACTGTTTTGCTACACACATAGGCGTGTGCTTACTGGTATTAGTGTTTTTGGTGGGGTACAGTCTTGGGGGCAAGTTTTAATTGCGCTTATACCGTGCAAAAAAGTGGAACTAAGGATTTGGCGAACGGCCAACAAAAAAATAGCGAGCTTGTGGCTGCCCTTTGCAAGTGTGTTGGCTGTGTCGAGGCCTGTGTTTAATTGGCAGAAAAAACGCGCACAAAATAATTTCCCTTCATAACGTCAACAAGGGCTGCCAACTTACACCAAAGTGCCAAGAAATTAGAGCAGCTAACAGACCTAAGGTCATTAAAATAAAAACAAGTGAGTTTTAAGTTTATTTTAAAACCCAATTACTTGTAAATGTATATATATATAGCTATAATCATCTAGTTAATAAGAGTAATCGCAGGGACCGACCGTCGTCTATCGATAGGTCGCGACGGGTTGGCAGGTCTGCACCACAGCACATTTCGGGGTTTACGCAATTTCGGGCAGCAAAGATTTTCCGAATACTTTCTGAAAAGGCATTTCGCCCCCTGCCAGGACAGCCGAATCAATACTTGTGAGTGCCGCAGGAGTTCCACGCACCAAAGCCACTTCTCTGAACGCAATCTTTAGTTAGCAGAAGCCCAGAACCATGTCACATGCATTTGCCGCTGCCGTCTGCCGGTCCGCCGCCCCAATGGCTCTGGCGCTGCGCTGCAGCCGGAGAGCCATGAGCTCCGCAAGGATGTTGCGCCTGGCGGGCGCCTCAGCCGCTTCCGCTGCCCGCAGGGACTGGCAGGGCCAGGGACTCCTCGCTGCCCCCTCCACCGGCAACATGCAGCAGTATCTGCGGGAGTACGCCAACGAGAAGAAGGTGTTCGAGCGCACGAAACCCCACTGCAACGTGGGCACCATTGGCCATGTGGATCACGGCAAGACCACGCTCACGGCGGCCATCACCAAGGTGCTGGCGGACAAGCAGCTGGCCGAGAGCAAGAAGTACAACGAGATCGACAATGCACCCGAGGAGAAGGCGCGCGGCATCACCATTAATGTGGCCCACGTTGAGTATCAGACGGAGACACGCCATTATGGACACACTGACTGCCCTGGACATGCGGATTACATCAAGAACATGATCACCGGCACGGCCCAGATGGACGGCGCTATCTTGGTGGTGGCCGCCACCGATGGCGCCATGCCGCAGACCCGCGAACACATGCTGCTGGCCAAGCAGATCGGCATCGACCACATCGTGGTATTCATCAACAAGGTGGACGCTGCCGACCAGGAGATGGTCGATCTGGTGGAGATGGAGATCCGTGAGCTGCTCACCGAGATGGGTTACGACGGCGACAAGATCCCGGTGGTGAAGGGCTCTGCTTTGTGCGCCCTGGAAGACAAGAGTCCCGAAATTGGCAAGGAGGCGATTCTGAAGCTGCTGCAGGAAGTCGACAGCTTCATTCCCACCCCAGTGCGCGAGCTGGACAAACCGTTCCTGTTGCCCGTGGAGAATGTGTACTCGATTCCCGGACGCGGCACCGTGGTTACTGGGCGCCTGGAGCGCGGCGTAGTGAAGAAGGGCATGGAATGCGAGTTCGTCGGCTACAACAAGGTGCTCAAGTCGACGGTAACGGGCGTGGAGATGTTCCACCAGATCTTGGAGGAGGCGCAGGCCGGCGATCAGCTGGGTGCTTTGGTGCGCGGCGTCAAGCGCGATGATATCAAGCGCGGCATGGTCATGTGCAAGCCGGGCAGCGTGAAGGCTCTGGATCAACTAGAGGCGCAAGTGTACATCCTGTCCAAGGAGGAGGGCGGCCGCACCAAGCCGTTCATGTCCTTCATCCAGCTGCAAATGTTTTCGCGAACCTGGGATTGCGCCGTCCAGGTGCAGATTCCCGACAAGGAGATGGTCATGCCCGGCGAAGACACCAAGCTAATCCTGCGCCTCATCCGGCCCATGGTGCTGGAGCAGGGCCAGCGCTTCACGCTGCGCGACGGCAACCTAACCCTGGGCACCGGCGTCGTCACCAAGACCATGGCCGGCCTGACTGAGGCACAGCGCTCCGAGCTGACAGAGGGCAAGAAGGCGCGCGAGAAGAAGGTGGCTGCCAAGAAGTAGAGCCTCGCATCGGAACGCTGTCAGTCATTAAATAAAATCATATTCTTAAGGCGATTTTTATGCATATTGTATAAGTTTGTTGGCGCTTCAACCGCAGTCCCAGTCGAGTAAAATAATAAAAACAAACACCCGAAACTGAACTAGAAGTTTAAATACATTTCTTAATGAATTATTTATTTATAAGGAAAATTAGTTTAAATTAGTTAACAATAGATTTATTCAGCGATAAGACTCAATTCAATTATGGCGCCTCGTTTTTATCGATAGTTAGATGTAATGCACGTGGCAATCGAGTCATTTTCCACGTGGCTTATCGATATCGGTAATCAATGTTTGAAACCTTGAGCAAAGCGATTTTTTGGTGTTGGAAAGAAACGTTGCAACCGCAGCTGATGATAAAGAACATTTTGAAATTATCATTTTGAAAATCAGTAAATATGAGTATTTACCGCCTTGACTACACTGCGGGTATTATAAAACCATCCAAAGTGCATTGGGCAATGTGAAAATAATGGTTTTTTTGTCGCCCACAGATTCCCTGGACGACAACACCCCATTGCCCGAATTGAGTTTTGAGGACTTGTTGGAGCCAACGGAGGATAAAAGCCCACAACACATGGATATCGATGCCCTGGATTCGGAGGACGAGGATGCCTCCGGTCATGACATGGCCAATGACTCGCTGCACACGCCACAGTTCAAGAAATCCACCATTCAAATATTGGAGAACAAGCGTCTGTCCACCTCGGGAGTAGCCCCCGTCCTCAAGACGCATGCCATCAAGGTGGTGACCTCAGGGACGGGACTGTCTAGCCTGGGAGGAACTGGTACATTGACCACGCCGGTCAAGCCTCAAATAACGGACGTTAAGATCCTTAACAAACTGAAACCAATCTCCACCAGCAGCAGCAGTAGCATTACCAGCAACGTCAAGATCGTTACCACAGCCACACCGGGCGGAGTGACCAAGACGCTGAATAACCTGACACAGATCAAGACGCCCGATGGCCGGATACTCTACGTCCAGAAGTCTACGCCCGGAACATCAACTCCAGCTAAGGCCGCCACTGTGGCAGCGTCCCCGACCAGTGGAATACGCCGCCTCGTTGCCCCGCCAAACATCCAGAAAGCGATGCTCTCCAAGAACGTGACCATAGCGGGCGCTGGCCTGGTAAAGGCTGCGGTACCGGTCAAAACGGGTGCCACTAGCTCAGTGCCTATCACCCTTAAGGGCATTACACCACTGGTCGCAGGCGGTGGTGTTGGAGGAAAGCCAGCACCAACAACTTCGCCCACATCCAATGCGGTGGCTGCTGCGCCGTCAACGAAAATCCACGTGGTGCGTACAGCCGACGGCAAGATCATCAAGATCAATCAGACCAGTTCGCCGGTTCTCCTGAATGCCAAACCGCCAGTGGCTGGAGTCACCCCTAGTACCACATCCGTAGCCATCTCGCCCACCAAGGGCAGCGTGGTGCTCGGTAAATCCGTCGGCCAGGTGGAGTTCAAGACAGGGACTCCGGCTGCGACTCCGGTGAAGCAAGCTACAGCCACGACAGGCACCGTTTCCAGTGCCACAAGCCCTGGGACATCTGGCAAGATGCTGGTGCAGAGTGGTGGCAAACAGATTCTGGTGTCCAGCAAGAACATCATCAAGCTATCACCGAAACCGGGCGCTACCAGCTCCATAACCAACACGCCCGGCGGGCAAGGCGTATCTACGAGCGGACTGCACGCCGTTCAGCTGTCCGGCAAGGGAGGAGTGCAATATGTACGCGTGCTGACCAGCAACAAGGGTGCAGCCGGGACAACTGCAGCCGGAACGAGTGTAACCACGACGAGTGCAGCTGGGACAAGTGCATCTGCATCGACAGCAGCCGTTCCTGTGCCAAGAGCCCTGCCAGGCCATAGGATAACTGTGGTACGGTCTCAAGCTGGAGTTGTAACGGCCACCTCACCCTCAACATCAAAAGCGACAACTGCAGCATCTGCAGTATCCGCAGCACCAGCTCAAAGGGCCAACCACGCCGTGAGCAGCAACTCCAACAAGATTATAATGCGGTCATTGGGCAGTATTGTGCCGCTGCCCTCCATGCAGACGTTGGTCTCTAAGGTGAGTACCCGAGCTTAGAAGATTTTCTTACTAATTTCTAAGCTCCCAACATTGCAGCGTGCGCTGGGCGCCAGCACCAACGCCGCCACCAAGTCGGCCAGCAGCAGCAGCGGGGCTAGCGGACAGCAGGAGTCGTCTCGCAAGCACCGGCTAACCGATCTCAATATGCAGCTTAAGAATTTGGCCGCCAGTAGCGGCGATGCCAGCGACAGCAGCGATCCAGGTCCGGAGGCCAAGAAGCCACGTTTCGTGATCATGCAACAGGGCAGCCAGCAGCAACGCTCTTTGACTCCCAGCAGCAACACCAGCCCCAATGCGCCCAAGAAGATCTACAATTTTATGAAAACCACGGGAACCAATGGGGTAAAGTACATGATCTGCAACTCGGGTGTTCCCCAGGCTTCGACCAGCTCCATGCGGCGGGGATACACTGGCTATGTGGACAACAAGTTGCGGCGACCGCTGTCCATTGCCTCGCAGCAGGCGAGGTTTAAGCAGATGACTCCCCAGCAGCAGGCGAAACACTTGCAACTGCAGGCTCAGGCCAAGCAGAGGATCCGGCAGCAGCAACTGCAGTCGGCGGGGGGCCGGGAAAGGGGAACACGCTGCCAACGCTGCCAACGCTGCCCACAAAGCCACCTCAAGTCACGAAAGCCGCGGCTTCCGGCAAGCCGCTTTTCGATATACTGAAACCACCGTCGACCGGGGCAGGATCAGGCGCCGCCGCCGATGCACTGGCCGGCATGACGTCGCGCCGGAAACACTGCAACTGCAGCAAGTCGCAGTGTTTGAAGCTCTACTGCGACTGCTTTGCGAACGGCGAGTTCTGCCAGGACTGCACCTGCAAGGATTGCTTCAACAATCTGGATTATGAGGTGGAGCGAGAGCGGGCCATCCGCAGTTGTCTCGATCGCAACCCAAGCGCCTTCAAGTGAGTGATTTTAGTTGAATAATCCAGCTAACGTTTACTTACCTTTCCGGTTTACTTTACCTTTTTTTAAGGCCCAAAATCACGGCTCCCAATTCGGGTGACATGCGTCTGCATAACAAAGGCTGTAATTGCAAGCGATCTGGATGCCTCAAGAACTACTGCGAGTGCTATGAGGCCAAGATTCCCTGCACCAGCATATGCAAATGCGTGGGTAAGTAAATGAGTTGCTGTTAAATTTGAAAAAAGACAACCTAATTAAAAACTCGATTTCGCAGGCTGCCGAAACATGGAAGATCGTCCGGACGTGGACATGGACTCGCTGGATGGCCTGTACGGTGCCAAGAGCACTCGAAGGGTTCCAGATGAGAGCGACAAGCACACGCTTAAGAACCGCTCCAAAATGTATTTGACGGACGATGTCATTGAGGCGACCATCATGTGCATGATATCTCGGATTGTGATGCACGAGAAGCAGGGCATGCCCGTTGAGGACACCGAGCGCGAGGTGATGGAGGAGCTCGGGGAAAGCCTCAATCAGATAATCTTGTTTGCCAGGGAAAAGAGCGATACAACGGCTTACGTAGACGAGTCCAATGCAGCTTCTTAGGGCACCGGCAGTCGCCGCTAACTTAGTCACACATGAATTAGTTTTTAAGTTCAAAGCGTTCTTGACCTTTTCTGTAACCCTCGTAACTATATACATATTTCTCGGGCTTTCTAAAAGTTGACCTTAAATTTTACATATGTAAATACCGTGACAGATACACATAGCAAATTTCAGATACATAAGACAATTTTATTTCGCATTAAAGCGTCTTTTGCTTACCCTTATAATTATGTTGAAAACGCATCCCTCTGAATCCGATGTAAATAATGATGATGTGTAAACTCAATAAAGTTTAAATAAAGTTTTAAGCAAAAAAGTGTTTTTTTGTAGCTTGTTTATTCACCAACAACTTCAGTTACATATTGTATTTTGCATTCGCATTGTTTCCAATTTCGTATATGATGGGCGAGTATATTAAACTCAACGCAATTTCGTTTGGTTTTCCCGATATCGGGTGGTATCAGCTTAGTTAGCAATATATATATCTCTAGGTAATAAACACATGTGTGTGGGTTAATCATACTTTGAGAATATTTAGTATATCTTTCTATTTGGTCACCATTAGTCGTCTTTATAAATAGTATATATAATATGCATGTTTTATGTTTGTTTTGTGTTCTTTTCCTCCTGGTTTCTCCTGGTTTCTCCCGGTTCTCACCCTATAAACATGGCATGGCATGACATGAGTACACATATGTATGTATGTAGTTTCAAGGTCTGAGTAGAAATGTGATAATCGTTTTAAGACTATAATACATTTAGTTACTTTTTCGAGTATTATGCTAATATATAGTAATGCCCTGCTTTTCATATTTAATACTGTGTGACTATATGCTCGCGCTAAACTACATATATAGGTTTTTCTTTCTTTGCGGTCATTCGAATACGAACTTTTTGAGAGAGATAGTATGTGTGTGCGGTTATCTTAGTTGTCTTAGCTAGCAAATACATACAGTAAAAGGTAATATTAAACATTTAAGGTTAGTACTTTCAATATATTTGTGAATACTGTGCACAAAACGCTTTGGTTAGCTGCTTTAGTAGCATTGTTTGTTGTTTGTTTGACCCCATACCAGCTTTTTTTTTAGTAGTTAACACTTATGCAACATTTGAACATAGTTAGGCAACAATATAACGATTTGGTTACGAAGAAATATCTGTAGGATATAGTATAAGTATCGAGTATGCTGCACTATTATTCAGTTAGAAGCTATATTGTCTAATTCACACGTTTATATTGGATGCTGAGCCCCCAGAAGGGGGGCCGAAGCATAAACTTACACAACGACTTGATTGAAAACCGAACAAAACCCTTTTCCTTTGCTAAATACCTTGAGTTGCATACCCTGTACAACGTCTTCGAACTATATGGGATAAGATATACGAAGAGTCCTCTAGTTATATGTTAGTAAAACGCGTGTGGCATGATTGAATTCGGCAATTCTTCAAAGCGTGGAAAGTCATAACACAAACACAACGTAGAATCTCTTGTGTGCTTTAAATGGATCTAAGATATAGCTATATATGTATATTATTTTCTCTATATAAGTAGTTTCAAGTTTCACAACAATGGAACAACGATGATAATCAGCAAGTACTTCAGCTATGCGTATGTACAGTTTGTCAATATAACCTCATTGTATACCTGCGATTAACTACATTTTGTTGGCCTTTTTGTCTTTGGTTGCTGTGCCCAGTTTCGGCCATTACAGAGTTATTTTCCTTTACAATAGGTATATAAAACTTTAGATTTACGCATGCAAAGTTTCAATACTATATGCCCATAAAGAGGCTTACTTTTGCTTTGAATGTATGGGATTTTACAGGATCCGGAGAGGATCCCAACACTTTTGAACCCTTGCAGCCATTCAAGGGCCTAGCGGCAGTATCCCTCAGCGATCCAAGATGATCTCGAGAAGTTGAGGAACGAAATCGGTAGTACTTATGAGGGAAGTTGCTAAACCTTGGGTGGGAAGTGCGGAAGTTGTACATTTCTTCATAGAATTATTTAAAAATTAGTGAAGCCTTCACCTTAGCGATTTCATTCTCCACTTTATAAATTTTAAAAGAATAAAAGCAAATGATAAATCTCTCCGAAAACTGTGCACGCGTAAATATATTTCTTTCTAGTTCTATGGAAAGGTATTCCTGTTCCGAGTACACTCTGGGTACCATCAAAATCTTATCATTAATTCCCTTAATTTGTCAGATAACTTGTGTGTGCTACAAGGTTACATATGTCTATATATATATTAGTTAATCCTTGGTAACTTTAACTTTAACAACTTGAAATATGAAATTGAGTTAATTAAGGAAGGTTGGACTCGAAGTTGGGCCCTTATAATCCTGACCAATTGCTGCGCCGTATTGCCGGAAGGCTTTAATGGGTGTCAGTCAGGAGCGGATACTGAACCGAGAACCAACAAAGTCGCCTGGGTTTTCGGTTCCAGATTTCTGTATAAATTCCCCTTTGTAATTTTTGAATTTTTTTTTCGAAGAAAACTAAAAAAACAAAAAAAGTTGACTGCAATTGGCCATCGTTGGAAATAGAAAAATTCTCCGCTCTAAATGAATCGTTTAAGGTGTAAGTTCCCCTCCGAGCCAAGCTCCAGAAAGTGTCAGATCCAACTGTCAGGTGCCAATTTTTCTGTTTGTTTCTGGCAGATCCCTCGCGCCGAGTTGCGTACGATGTCTTCCATGGAGATCCCTTCAAAATTAACTCGTACAGCTTCCGATACGCCGACAAGCCAAGCTTTACGCCGCAGCACTACCAAAGGCCTGCCCCGACGCCGCCGTCGCCACCGGCACCCAACAGGACGTCCTCCTTCCAGACCTTCTTTGTCAATCCCAACTTCAATCGGAGTTCTGAGCTCCCACCTTCAAATAGAGGTGTTTCCAGACCTCACTTCTTGCGGGAGTTCCAGTCGGGTTTCACGCCGCCTCTGAGGACGATGGCCAGGCAGCCCAGTGTACCCGTTTCCCCGCAATTGAGATGCCCGCCTGGGGTCACAGATAGTCCGCTTCTAAGGACCTGCTGCCAAATGGGCGAGTATCAGAGCCTGAGGGGCGGCCAGAGCAGCGCCACCTTGGGCAGTGCCAGCAGCTGTTCCATGAGAGCCACTGGTGGTGGTGGCGCCCCTTGTATATCCAACACCACCTTCTCGCGCAGCTCCAACGCCCAGCTGCACTCCAATAGGGACAGAGAAGCCAGCAGTGGTTGTGAAATCAACATTAACATTTGCAGCCGGGACTTGGTCTCGGAGGCGGACAACAATGTGAACATCCGGATCGAGGCGGATTCCTGTCTGCTGAACAACACGGATACGGTTAGGCCGGAGCTGGAGCGGAATCCCCAGAGATCGGATGACAGTTTAACAGCGTCCTTTGGCATAGACAAGCGTCTGTCCAAATTTAATGTGACCGAGACGAAGCCGCGGACCAGTCCGGAATGGGAGCGCCAGCAAAGGGAGCTCCAGCAGAGGGTGCAGGCCAGAGAGCGAGACCGTCAGTTCCGAGAAGAGTTAGAGCTCGAGCGGGAGAGAGAGCTCCAGAAAGAGCGGGATCTGGCCCGTCAGCGGAACAGGGAGCGTGAGCAGCTGCGACAACAAGAGCGCCAGAGGGATCTAGAGCATCTCCGGCAACTGGAGGCGGTGCGAGAGAGGCAGCGACTGGAGGAACTGAAGCGTGAGAGCCACTGGCACAGGGAGTACCAACGAATGTGCATCTTTCAGGATCAGTTGTATCGGCAGCGAATGCAGTCTATGCCGGTAGTGCCGCCCGTAACCATGACCTCTCACCTGTATACTGTCACCTCCGATGACCGCCTGCCTGGAATGGCTTTCTGTGGTTTCTCTTCCAGGAGGCCGACGACCACAAGGAGAAGTGTAACAGTAAAAAAGGCTGATCCAGTTGTCCAGGAAATACCAACGGCTAGTGCCCCCTCCAGTGCTCTTGTGGAGACGTCCGTTTCCCGGAATCCTTCCCCGGGCTCTCCTACACCCTCCTGTAGTACCATACCGCCTTCATCTTCTCCCGACCAAAATGGCAATCCTACTCTCGCCTTAGATGAACCAACGGGCTCTAGAATTGAGAGAGCCCCTGCAATCCCTGAAAATCTAAAGTGCAGCAGCTCCTTTTCTTCGAATGACAATGTTCATGTCATTGAGAAATCCAGTGGATCCCTGGCAAAAGGATCCCCCGCCCAGCCTCAGACAGAAGCCAAGCAGCTGAATGGCAGGCCGCCCATCGTAACACGTCTGAATAACATTCCCATAAGGATAACTACCTCTCGAAATGTGGACACGAATTTGGATTTAAGTATGAGTCGCGTCAGGGTAAGGGGATCCTCGCCAGTGACTAGGGGAGCGGGATCAAGTCGTCGTGATTGTCATGTCAATATCAACTTGTTTCCAGAAAAACTGCGAATGTCACGGATTTAAGCAGTGGAAATCAGAGGGATTGCATGGTTGGACTCGGGGGCAGATCAGCTCTTAAGCAAAGAGCTGGTCTGTCACCGAAGTCATCCATGCACTTCCTCCATGACCCACCAAACGGGAAAGGTATGCGAAATCTTTGTTTCTTAATAGCCAAAGTTTTGTAAAGAGTAAAGTCTAGAGTCCGCTCCTTGAAAATTCCATCCATTAAATCATTGCAATTGCAGGCGCCTGCATCTTGGCTCAGCGATTAAACCTTCCCCTGCTGGGAGTAGAGTTTTTCCTGGGAAAAACCCTCAAAAGCTCTTTCTATCTCCTGGTGAGCTCTTCACATAAACATATTCTCTAGTTCGTAGTAAGATCCTGTTCCTCTTCCTACTTTAACTAGAGACATACCCGTCACATCGAACCTCTGGCTCCTCATGGCGGAGCCCTATTTTCACTCTGTTTTCCTTGGTTTTCCTTGGTTTTCCTATAGTTTTTCTTGGTGCTTGATTGTAACGTGTGCTAGACTTTCGGGGGGAGGTGATTTCTTGATATGATCAATGGTAAATAGGTATAGACACTACTTTATAGCGTGCAAACATTGAACAAGAATAACGATTTCACTTGGAGATTCATATGATATTTCTGATATTGTTGGTTGTGGTTACGATTACTTTCTGCCTTTTCCTTTTTTTTTTGTTTGTGGTTTTCATTACACTTTTCTTTTTTTGGATTTTTGGCCGCTCTTTTGGCGACATTGCGTTGGAGTTAAATCGTTTGCTTACTCGTCCTCGTCGTAGTTCTGGTAGGTGACATAACGTACCTGGGCCCGATCGCGTCCATAGATCAAAGACTGCAAGGAAGTCGTTAAAAAATGGGTTAGTATAAAAGACTCTCCTTAAAAAAACAAACTCAAAACATGCTCAATGAAACTCAGGCAACGCTTTAAATAAAAATTATAAATTTTATTACAAACAAATTAAGCAGAACTTAGCACTAGAAACAATGGTAATGTAATGACTAAAAAATAAGCAAGATCAGCAACTAAGGGGGAAAATAAATTCTAAGCCTAGAGCCTCTCGCTCTCGAAGCCCTCGTTCGTCCTGCCGGCCGCCGCATCTGGTTCCGGAACAGATGTACCATGCATGATGGCCGGACAGGATGCCGTCAGCTGGGGAATCGTAGCTCCCTCAGGGGATTCCCCTGCAGCAGCAGCAGCGGCCGCAGCAGCCTCGGCCGCCTCTCTGGCCATACGTACCTTTTTCTCATCGCTTGTCGGCGGATTCTTGAGCAGTGTCAGCAGCGGGGCATACATGAAGCAGAGAATGGCAATTCCGAACAGCATCCACTCGAAGCCGATGCTCTTCACCAGCGATCCTGAGAGCGCTGGACCCACGGCAAAGCCCACGCAGAAGGCCACATCGCCTAAGGCATACACACTGCCATAGACAGCCGAGTGACGAATGTCCACCAGGTAGCCCAGTTCCGGCATCATCGAAGAGTCCACCATGCCGATGGCAAAACCCAGACCGGCATTAGGGATAATCAGATGAGTGATTGAGGTGGCCATGGGAATCTGTGAGTAAGAAAGAGCGTTTTGGGGGGTTTTTAGTTGATTGTGAACTATTTAAAAGTATTTTAGATGCAGATTTATATATTTATTCAACATTAAACCTATATGTAGTATATCTTAAAAATAAACTTACAAATATCAAGCATCCTCCAATGATAACCAAGCCCAGGCAGGCGGCAAACCAGCGTCCTATCTTGTGTCCCAGTGGTCCAAACAGATTCGTGCCAATCAGGTAACTAATGGAGGCCGGCAGAAAGGCCACGCCCTGCTCCCACCGCGTGGCACCCATATTATCCACCATCCACAGTGGCAGCGATGGCTCCAGCATTGCTATGCCCATGTTGGCGAAGGTAATGGCACCGGCAGCGATCAGGATATATGGATCACTGATCAGGCTCTTCAGGGAAGGTGGCTCCGATTCGGCTTTCTGGATCGAAGGCTGCAACATGAACAGCTGCAGCAGACCGTCACCCAAAGCCAGAGCTGCCAGGATTAAAAATGGAGCAGATTTGCCCACAAACTCGTACATTACTCCACCAAATGGAGGACCTATGAGCACACCCAGAGCCAGGCCACCCAAAGCTATGCCCATGGCATTGCCACGCTCCTTGTCGTCCGTAAAGCGATCCGCAAGCATGCCCATGCCGGAAACCGAAGAGCAGGATGAACCAATGCCCTGCAGGGCTCTTGCCACGAACAAGACCAGGTAAGAGCGTCCAAAAGCGAAGACTGTAAAGAAATCATTGGTAAATTCTGGCAGGGATTTCTAAGGGTCGCACTTACTGATGGTCGAGAGAAACATGATCACGAAGCCGGCAAACATGGGAATGCTGTAGCCAATGCTGTAAAGGAAAGAGATTATTAATAAATAAATTATTTATAAATGGGGTAAAAAAAAAGTCTTATTAAATTTTTAAATAAATATCCTTATTTAAAAGTAATCAGCTTAAAGCATTCCCTTGGCGGCTTACCGGTGCGTCAGGGGACCCACAATCGGATTTACCAGCAGCTGGACAAAGGCCTTGGAGGCGAACAGCAGGCCCACCTCGACGGTCTCGCCCACCAGCTCGTTGTGCCGTTCCTCCAACTCCCGGTAGTAGGTCTCGTTATCTGTGGCATAACCAAGGATTAGGACGACGGCGCCGCTGGCTAATAATTACTTACCCTCCGGACTCAACGTGGAGATCTCCAGCGGTGCAGCCTCGCTGCCATCCTTGTTGCAAGGACACGGCGTCGGCGGTGGCGGCGTGTTGGAGGTGAGCGGTGTTCTCGGGAAGCTGTCGAGCGGCGCGTCCGGATGTCGAATGTCGTACAGGAACTCGGGTATGATGGGCACTGGGAAGGAAGAGTCATAATTTGATTGCAACATAAAGAAATTTGCTGACAATTAACCTAAACGCTCTCTCTATGTATAGTGTGTATGCCTTGGGGCCAATTTTCGCCAGGCCGCCGCTTGGTAATTGCGTTTTCCCGTTGGGACCCGGAAAAGTTTTGTAATTGCCTTGCTGCTGGCAGAGATTGCCCCGGCCTAATTGAGTTGCAACTTGCAGCAGGCAGGCAAAAAAAAAAAAGGAAACCAGGGGGGGGAGAGACCTAAAATTGCGCATACGCCACGTTTACAACGATGCATTTAATTGACTCTCCAGGAAAACGTGGCTCGATGTCTGGCCTAGCCGGGGCCCTGTGCCGGCAAATTCAATTTGTTTATTGCATGCTTCGACTCTGTTTATATTTATTATCAACACCCCGGAGGAGAACTCGAGACTCTGGCGGACCCTGGGCCCCCTTCCTGTAATTGCATTTCCTGCCAAAGTGCGGAAGTCAGGGGTTGGAGTTGGAGTTGGCCTTTCAATTGAGTGCTGAGTGCAGAGTTTTGAAGTATTGTTCGGGGTAATTTGTTTGCCCATGGAGCCCAGCTATTCGTGGTTAGCAAAGTGACAGCCAGCTAGCTATAACATATGTTATGTACGAGGCTCCACTCGGCCTTTAATGGCTGGTTAGATAGTCAAAGTTGAAGTTCTCGTACCGCCATGTGCCGCGGGCCAAAAGTTCAGCGAAAGTGGAAGTCTCACCTGACCCGCAAACCCCGCAAATCCGACATATGTCGGCCATGGCACATGTGTCATTCAACATGCCATTTGATTGCCCGGCCCCTGGCCCCAAGGAGGACTCTGAGCAAATGACATGCAAGCGGAAATGTATGCAAATTTCACCACATCTACCTAATTGGGGTTAACCACTTGGCAAAAATATGCAACAGAGCGCGGCGATTAAACCATGAATTTAATGCCACCAGAAAATGTTGCTAAGTAATTTCCAGGCCCACAACCAACAACTAACTCATTAAACTGTCTCCCGAGCCTTTGACATAAAAAGATAATTCCGTAAAAGCACGTGCAGCCGAGTCGAGGGAGTGGAGAAGGTTGGTATCGATGGCCTGGGCTGGTGGAGTGGAAGTCACTCGGTCGCCTTTGGTTGCATTTCGCGTGTCGAAGACACTTAAACCGCAATGCCAAAAGGAAGGCGACTCGGGGCAGCTAGACAAACAAACTGGGACTGCCTGGGAGTCAGGGATACAGCAAAAGGAAGACAATAAGATGGAATTTTTTTAGAATTTTGAATAGGAAAAGGTTGTGGAAATATAAAAACGAAACCTTTAGTGTAGGGTTTTCTCCTTAATGTATTAGAATTTAAGCTTAGTTAAAGTTTAATTTAAAGTTTCCGATATAAAATGAGGGGTTTCTTATTCAGGCAGCTAATGATATAGCTTAGGAACTATAGCTCAAACCCCACAGGAACATCTTAGTGTTTGCCTTTTGTAAGTAATTCTAATCAACATCTAAATTTTCCAAAAAGTATTAACCTTTTTTCCAAGTCTTAACTCTTCCTCTAGTGACATTTGATGTGCTCCAACCCTGTGGCGTCCGCAGGTCACCCAAAATACATCGATCCGACATGCCGGGCGACAGTGGCGTCGGCGGCGTCGTCGTCGTCAAGCCAAACAGAAGCGACAAGGCAGTGAGGCAGCAACTGGCGAAGCAACCAGTCATAGTCATTCACTTCCGACGAGGAAGAGGACAACTCAGCAACTTAGTATCCAGGAACTGAAAGCTCTAGAATATACGCCTTTGTTTATCCGTTCCATTAATATGCAGAGAATTTAATTAGCCAAAACAGGAGAAGGAGGAGGTGAAGGCGGAGGAGGAGATGCGACCCATTTGGGAGTCGGCCAGCAGGCCGCTGTTTGTACGCTCTGTGTGGCGGGAGGCCATCGGGAGGCGACACTTCATACTCGACTACGAGCCGCGACAGAGGCAGCGCTGGAAGCGACAGAAGACAAGGCTGAGAGGTGACTATACAGATATAGGTTTTATCTTAAAGATTGTCAGGAATCCTATATATTTAAGTACAATATATAATCTTCCAGTTCGACTAATATATCTCAGCCCATGCTTCACCCACAGGTAACTACCAGCAAACCCAATCCTGTGAGATCTTCGAGCAGTCCACGGAGGACGATAGTGTCGAGTACCTGGATGAGTACCTGTTATTGGACGCCACCAAGCTGACGCTGCAGCAGCAACAATCCCTGCCCACAATGAGTGGCCGTCCAGGACAAATCCCAGCGACAAGCGGTGGACGAGAGCCGCGGCAGAGTAGTCGCCAGTCCAAGAGGCGGGCTTGGCTGCTGAGTCGAGGGCGCACCTACCATTTAGATCAGCACCTGGGAGAGCATCAATCACGGCGCAGTTCCCTCCAGGATGCAGGTAGCGTCCTCACCCCAACCGCTAACAATCCCGAAGAGCGACTGGCCGAAAGAGTGCTCCACTGGCTGGACTTGGCCGGACGGACGGACATTGTCAAGGCTCCGGCGCCCGATCCGCCGGCCACCAGCAGTGCTCAGGTGGCTAGATCCGCTCAAAGGATGCAACGTAGCCACCATCGAACTATAAGTCTTAAGCGCGTGGCCACGGCAGCAGCGAATCACCAAAGATCGCTGGCTAGGAAGCCCAGTGCCAAGCCGTTGCCGCCGCAGCAGGCCCCCGCCCAGCAGGTTATTAACACCTCCTCGTCCGCCTCGAATGCCAAGCCCATCACCATAATCTTCAACAAGGAGGGCGTGCCTGTGCGACTGAACCGTCCTGCCCGCAACATCGATCTCTGCGCTCTGAGCAGCAGTGCCAACACCACGCGCCGCTTGGCGGGACAGTTGGCCTCAGCCCGCTTGTACAGTGGAGCCACTGCATCGCCGCTGTCTGAGGAGGCGCGAACGCCGCCTCTAAGCAGTCGTGGCATGGCATCTGCCGCTTCGGACAGCCGCAAGCAGCTTCACATATTCATGCCTAGCCTGCCCAAGAAGGGATTGTTGGCAGCGAGTTCCGCAGAGGGAAGTGGCATTGGAGGTGCTAGCGAGGATGCCCTGAGCACCAGCTTCAGTGAGCTATGCCAGCTGTAGGTGTAGCTAACTGATAAAGATTTCTATCTCTATAGTGAATAAAATCAGATTGAGACATAAGAGAAAATAAAATGGAATGAAAACTAAGTTACTTTCGTTAAAAAATTTGTCAATATAATGTATATTTTGGTTGATTCTAAAGTACGATCTCTGATAATTAATAATAATTTACAATTTATGAATATTTTGGTTGCAATTGGACCATAAAAATTGATCATAACTCAGCCAAAAATGCTTTAATTTCGATTCGGAAAACTTTTCTGTGCTACTTTTTATTGGAATAATAAATCTGCATACTAAACTTAAAATTTCAGAGATTTAACTTTTTTTTTTATTTTTGACAATTTTAATGATGTAACCCCTTATAAAATTTTGAAAAATTCGTAAATATTTTTGTTCTGTCGGACATGGCTAGATCGACTCGGCCGTTGATGCTGATCAAGGATATATACGATATATAGGGTCGGAAATGGCTTCTTCAATGCGTTTCAGGCTTTTGACTAAAAAAATAATACCCCAGAAGGGTATAAACGCAGTTTTAAAATTTTTTAATATTTTCTACGGTTATATAAATTTGAACCCACTTTATAGATTTTATATTTCCCCCACCTTTAAAAGGACCGAGTTCACTGACATTAACGTGATTAAAAGACTTAATCTGGCCAATTAACTGTCATTCTGTGGCTAAAGTGTCCCTCGCAAATGCAAAAATTGCGATAAGTTTGCCACACGCGTCTGCCTTGGGAGACAGCACGCGCTATATTTATAAGGCCACCACAGAAGTGCCAAGCCACAATAAAGCACATAATAAGGAAAGGGAAAATTAGTCAAGACCAACTTGTTTTCTGTCATATTAACATGCCAAAAATGGAGGAAAAAAGGAAATTCAAGTACAACCAAAATAAATGCATAACCGATACTAGAATCTAACGATTCTTGAATGCTCTTTAGCAATATAAATATGCTTAGTAGATGATCACATTCTTCAAGAGATGCTGAATAATTTTAGACAAAGCAGTAAAGTTTTCTAATTAGTTCTTGAAAGAAATCATTGAGAACTCCTCAAGAATCTTTATACTCCCAATAACTTAGGGTACTTGTTGTGTTTCGGAAGGACTACTTATTAATATCATACAATCTTTTCTTGGTCTTATTGATTTTCGTTTTTGTTTCGTTGCCATTGAAAGTTCCTTTTGTTTGTTTCTTTGCATGGATTTTTGTCGGTGGGTTTATTTTTGGATTACCCCGAAAAGTCAGCGGCGGCATGCGGCACGCCCATTTTCTTTTGTTTTGATTTTGGTTCTGACTTCACTGTCGATTCTTGGATTTTCCTTATTTTTTTTTTTATTGGGCTGGTCATGGGGTGGTTCCCAAGTGAAAGGAGCGTAATCAATGTAATTGTGGATATATATTGCATGTTGAACAATGGCATAAAGTTGAAGTTAAAGTTTTGCCTTAATGAATGTGGCAATTTTTGCGCAGAATGCGAATTGCGGCTTTGCAACTGACATTTACTATAAAATAAGTAAGGAAAAGTAAAGAAGGAATCATTTTATGAATTCTTTGGAGAAGTTTTAAGTAGTTCCTATTCCTTAAGTTATATTTACTTGCAAAATGTATCTATAATAATGCGTGATTCCTAGGTATCTTTTATATTTGAACCCATTAAGTTCAAGTGAATTTCCTAGAAGATTCTCTCCATAATTCTCTATCTATAATAATGCGTGATTCCTAGGTATCTTTTATATTTGAACCCATTAAGTTCAAGTGAATTTCCTAGAAGATTCTCTCCAACGCTGGCAACTACTACTACTTTTATGGATCTTACGACAGGCAAAACGTAAACAGTCGTAAACTAATTATGGACATTACATATCCATCAGTGTAATGGGACAACAACTGTCAACCGTTGCGAGGGAGATTCCCAGGATATCCATCAAGCGTCATGCAAGCAACACCCGGAGCTAAACTGTCTTCTTTGGCACATGTGGAAAGTTGTCGTTGTCATCGTATTATTTTATGACTGACGCGTCAGTGCTTAGATTCGTTTTCAATATACCGACACGGATAAACAGGGAAGGATATCGAACAGATTTAGATACACTGTGAAATAAATTGTGTTTTGAAATTTTAATGAAAAATCTAAATAGATTTTTAAGGGGTTTTAGGTTTTACCTACTCACATACCAAAAATCATATTGATTTCATAGAATTTACAGTCACAAGAACTATTTTATAAATAATCCAAAAGGATTATTTTATGCAACCGCCAAAAAGTAGGCAATCCTTTTTGTTTACCGGGTATTTCATGATCGGTACTTTTGCTTTCCCTGTTTTTTTTTTGTGTATGGGCTGCAAGCTTTAGGCTCAATGAGTCATTGCGTCTGGCATGACAGCAAACGACACCGAAAAAGCCGCACACGGTTGTGACCTTTGCCTAAATGGGTCTGGCTGGGGAGGCTAAAAAAAAAGCAGCGAGGAGAAACTTTGCCAACTTCAAGGCAAGCCAAAAGACAAAGGGGGAGCAATTACTTTTTTTGGAGGCAAAAACTTTCGGGCCGCCCTGACGTTTGACTTTTCCACGTTTCGCAAGAAAATGCGCAACAATACTCGCCCTTGTGGATGGATATGGATTGCACACATAACAGGCGGCGGCGGCGGCGGTGGACGACTTATAGACGAGCCGCTCTGCCTGCCGTGACTTATTCGCGTTTCTGCAGCGGACGCGGCAGGTTCCTCTATTCCACTCGGAGTTCGTTTTACTTCCATAACGAGCAAAGTTTTCCACGGCGCATTTTAATTTTCCGGCCATTAGTAGTGTGGCATGTCCACCGACGAAGACTCCCTGGGCAGTCCCCTCAAGCCGGCCACGCCCACGCCGGCGGAACGGGAGCCGCGCGAGCGTCCTAGGGGCGGGCGTGCCGGTGCCGCGGAGCTGCTGCGCCATCAGCAAAGCTTCGAGGCTCGGTACAGCAGCATCATACAGAAGCAGATCTGGGAGACGAGCATCAACAAGGATGTGCTGGAGCGTCAGCTGAATGCCTACTTTCCCTTCTCCCGCAGCGCTTCGCTTTCCAAGGAGACTCTAGGATCCACATCCGTAGGACTTGATCATCTCTTGCCATCGGCGGCGGCAGCAGCGGGCGGTAGTTCTATGAAGTCACGCTCGCTGGCCACCACGCCCACCAGGCGTCCAGTGGGTGCCTGTCTGGAGAAGCTGGAGACCGTGGATGTGGCCTCTGTCTCGGAACAGCCTTAGCTGGGAAAGTAGAGCTCCCCAATCCGGAGGATTATCTAAACTTAATCATTGTGATGTCCGTAAGGTTGAAAGGCAATTTTTGACATTTTTAGACTAAGGTAGGATAGGTACCACTTGTGCTTGGAGTGCAGGATTTAACATAATATTTATCTGATTGATTTTAATTGAAAAATAGATTTGAACTTTAACATAAATCAGTTTAGCTTAGAGAGTTTTTAAGTTAAATTTGTTATTAATATTTTTTTAAGATAACACTTAACATTTTTTGTGATAAAATTGTTTAAAAACTCTATTAGAAATGTCTTTAATTATTTATTTACTTTTCATATAGCTTAACATTATTTTCTTTATATTTTTTTTTATCAAAAATATGTTAAATTACTTGGATTTTCTTTTCTTCGAGGTTTTCTTTGGATATGAGACTATTAATCTGCTTAAAATAATCCGTTTACTTGCCTTATTTAATAAACAAATTAATATGATTACCTACTTCTTCTGTGCGAAGATTGACAACGAATTTTAATAAAAAATAATATCTTTACTTTCTTTAAAGTTATTTAAACTTTTTCCCATTGCTCAAGAAAACAACCCAAAAGTAAGGTCTTATAAATCCAGTCTTGTATCTCTTTATGTTAATGTTTAAATACCAAATCAAAGAAAGCCATAAAATCCAGGGTCAACAAACCAACATTTACAGTTTTCCCAAAAAAATAAATATAAAATAAGTATTACTAACATATAAGTCCGGCAATTGCCCTTTTAGCACCCCCAAAGATTTTTCCCAAGGCACCAAGAGAAACCTATTTGCATATCGAGCAGGCCAGGCAATGCCAGTATACCATATCCCTTTTATATACCCCGTATCCCTGCAACATTGTGAACCCTATTTAAGCCACTATTATTCAATCTTCTTCAATAAAACAAAAAAAAGCTTATTGCATATTCAATTTGGCATCGAGTCAAACGGATAAGATAAGGCCATGACCCATATAAATCTCCACAGGCTCCTTGGCTAAATCTAATTTATGAGCATATTATGCGATTCACTGGGGGAAAGATATGGAAACATAAAATATATATATATATTCTGGGGGTTGGGTCAGAGATCAAATGTAATAATCAAATGTATTTGCAGCAATTTTCACTTCAGCACCTTGAAGCGGGCGCGAGACGGAAAAGCACTTAAGTGGAAATGCCTCGAGTCAAACGCTAAAAGCCCGATGCCAACCCCATTCCTCAACCATCCATCCATCTGACTGTCAGCAGAAGGGAAACGAAAAGAAAACCGAACTTCTGTCATGGAGCTAATAGTTTTCCCACTTTTCCTTTGACTTTCACTTCCGCGTGCTCTCAACAAGTTGCTCGAGTGGTTCGGCTATTTCCTTTTGGTTTTTTTCGCCCAACTTGTTGATTTAAATTCATGAACGTTTATCACAAAGAAAATTCTCGTACCGTTCTTTTTTCTATTTTTCTTTTTTATTTTTTTGGGGTTTCTTTCACTTGGCTGTATTTGTCAGGAAAAGTGGAGAGCGAGGCCTGGAGGATTTCCACTCAATGTCCATGTGTTTGGCCAGACACTTGACATAAGCACTTGGCCACCGCACAGTCCAGTGTCCATCCCCCGAGAGAGATCTCTCTCCCTCACCATCTCTCTTTCTGTTGGGGTTTTAGTGTCAAACGCAGGACATTGGTTCTCCAACTCGGTGGCCGATGCGTGTCTACTTAATTGACTGTCGACGGCCGGCCACTTGGAGCTGCCCAACTCAGTCTGGTCCATTGGTCACTGGTCCTTGTTAATGACTAAGCAGGAGGACCACTTGAGCATTGATTAGTTGTAGCCTCGGATACGATTTAATTGCAGGGGTTTTCAACATAAATTAGGGCTGCACCTTCTAGTAAGGATCGGAGAGGAATCTCTGGCTTTAATCCAGAGATTGCCTCGACTCGAAATTGATGAACTGACAAAGAGCTGACAAGGCGCATCGACAGGAAAACGTTCATTAGCTTAAGTGGTGCTCTGTGGTAATTTTATGGCACCCCATTTTCCCCCAACCTCCTGGGAAATGGACAATTTCCAGGCGATTGACTGGCAGGATAACCAGCGGCCCCGGAGATAAAAGCTCATGAAATGCTAATGGCCTCCCAGGGAAAAAAAGATTTATGCGAACGCATTTATATATGTTTTTTTTCTAGTAAAAGCCGCAGGTGAACTCACCGACTGTGGTCAGCAGCATGTTGTCGAGGAGCAGGGCTATGGCAACGATGACGAGCACCAGGCGATTGGAGCCGCGCCAGCTGACCATCCAGGACTTGGCGGCGGACCAGGACCCGGCAGCGCGTGGATCCTCTTGCCGGTACTGATCCGCCGGCGGCGGTGGCTGGCGTCCGGCATAGGACTGTGACTGATACGTGGGCGGTGGCGGTGCCGGCGGCTCCTTGCCGACGCCCAGGATACCCGGGCAGTCCTGGTCCATGTTGCCATTCTGTTGGCTGCTTTCCAACTGTTGCTTGAAGGGATTCTTGCTGGGGGTGTTGCTGCTGCCGCCGCCGCCGCCGCCGCCGCCCTGGGGATGTGATTGCTGTTGGTTGTTGCCGGCGTTTACGGTGAAGGAGGTGGTCTCGCTAATCTCCGACTGCTGCTGCTGCTGCTGCTGGGCTGTGCTCTGTGCTGGCGTGTATTTTCTTGGTCCACCATTGCCCGCATCGGTCGATGATTGCATTGCGTCGCTAGCCGCTGGTTGCTATGGAATAAGACGTAATTTCCTCTTATTAGTCGTAAGCCGATTGTCTTTTTAAAATGTAATCAAATCAAGAGGAAGGCATAAGCAGCTTGGGTGTGGTCTCTTCCCATTCCCAGACCCCTACACCCCCCATCCCTGTTCCCATTCCCAGTCCGTATCCCACGCTCGCTTTATGCCTCAATGATTTTCGCTAATTAAAAACAAATTACAAGTCTTGGGATTGGAATTAAAAAGTATCTTTCACACGGTAACTCAACTCTAATTGAATCATACACAATTTAAATATTTATTTAATTGCCTGCCATCTCACACTTACACTCAGCCAACGGGGCGAATGCGCAACATTTGTCATTCGAACATTTGGCGTTGCCTAACGCCAGGCGCAAATTGAATTTGCCAGCATAATTCGCTTAGAAGGGAGCACAAAGGAGCGGTCTCTCCGAAACTTCTGCGACTTCTTTAAGTTTTCGGTTTGTAAAATTGAATTATAGCACAATTAACAGCAAAAAGGCACTCGTAATTGAAGCTAAAAGATGAATCAAGTTCCCCGCCAAAAGTGGAAACATATATTTTCTGCAATTGAGCAGGCCTCTTCGTTAGGGTAAATTACAATTGATGGCTGTCCGATCTGGGAATATTGATTGTCGCTATGACGTCCTCGCAGTCAAAGTGTTTCTCATTGAATAGCAAATGTTACTCTGAGACTGCATCACGTTTTTGGGGGCGTTGCAAACAGTAGCCACGAATTTGTTATTTTAATTGATTAAATCAACTCAAATCAACTCGAATTAAATGCGGAAAAACAAAGCTGTGGCAGTAGTTATAGCAGTAAAAAAAAAATGGTATCATTTTAATTAGCATCTACTTTGGTTTGACAAGCCGTTTGACAATTAATTACACGTTAAATGGTAATGGGAAATTAGTGTCGGGGTAAATAGCAAGGTGAAACTTTAATAAAAATATATATTTATTGAGCTGGAAGTGTAGTTTATTTAATAAAAAATAGTAAGCAAAACTTTAAATATGTTTAGTATATCATTAAAAGCAGGATATATACTACCTTTCATAGTTTTTAGAGGCAAATGTATATAATTAAGGTAGCTTTTTCTTTATTTTAACTATTTACTCATGTGAAAGTTACTTTTAATTATCTCTAAGTTTGTTTTTAATTATTTCTGAAAATTTTAAGCTTACCTAGCAGCTTTCCTTATATGAAAATCACTAGATCAAAGGACAAAATACTGTTTACAATACTTCTGCTTGTCTCTGGAATATCACTTGCACTAATGAACCTGAATTGCCCGAAGGCCTTGGGTATTTATATAGAACTTTAGAGCCGATATTGATGTGGTTTACGATAACTTATAGCCGCCAGATACGCGCACAGAAATCTCAATTAGCCGGGAACTCCAACACCGACTCCAACTCAAAAGTCAAGGCAGTACAATTTGCATTCAGGAAGTGCTGATGGATGGCATCAACTACGTAGAGTGCACTTTCGTTTTCGCGCCGAGTTCACTGAGTCTGAAGCACTTTCGGGGGGGATCGTTCATTCCGCGGATTCTACCGACAAGTCGGCGCTCTAAGCTCAAACTAAAAACATTGGCGTGATGCCAGAGGCTTAATAAACGAATTAAGTTTTTGCACAACAAAAAAGATTTGAGCTTAGTTAGTCCAGGGAAGCTTTGCATTTCCAATGAATGCACAATGAAAAGTGTGTAAAACACATTTTAATAAATATTTATTAACAATTGGCATGCAATTTCGGATTTATGGGTGTGAGAGAATCGAAACAGAACAAAAGTTTTTTTTGTGTTTATTCGATTATGCTAATGCATTCGATTTTCAAGTTTGAGTTTTACGACTAAAGGAATTGTTTATCTAAATTTTATGGATTACATTGGATTAGGTTTATAATGGCTTTTCTGTCGCGTGTGCTCTGCTATGTTTTTGTAGTTGTTATAATAAATAATAATGAATTTAAACAAGAGAGAAAAGTGACAAGACGACAGAGGAATGCCCTTTAGAAGAGGCTATAATCTACTTATAATTTATTATCTACTCAAAAAATGCATGTTGCAGTAAATGCAATTTAAAATAATTGCAAAATGTTATAGCCTTTTAAATTGTTGTTTATTTATGTAAGTAAATTATGCAGATGTCAGATACGTAGGGTATATAGAATACATCGTAATATATTACATTCAGCTGCATGTGCGATGCGATGCGACGAATGCAATTGTTTAATTCATTATTTATGTTCCCTCATCAGATATTTCTTTTGATTGCTGTGTGTCGCTGCCTTTATTTTAATTGTTGTTGCTGCTGCTGCTGCTGCCTCTTGTCGCTATTGTTTTTTGTTGCGGTGCCTGGGTTAATTGCACAAGATTTTTCAACTGGCGACGGTCAAAAATTTAGCAGCTTCTAAGCATCGACACGCAACTTTATTTAAATTGTGCTCATTTTTCAGATTTTTATTAATTTAAACAAAGCTTCTGGCCTGAGCTTAAGCACTGGACTTGAGCTTGACATTGAAGACTGCCGGCGGCTCACGAAGATGGAAGAGACCTCAGTTTGATTTATTTTTTACAAGGCAATAAACTGGTTTTCCTATATAATCGACCAGGAATTGAAGGCGCTATTATCCGGTGGAGCCCTTCAAGCTGGGCTTTTTATTTCCCATATAATTGCTTTACAAAGTTCCAGACTTTTTTCCTCTTCTTTTTTTTACTATCTATAATTGCTATTTTAATTGCAAAACGGTGGCCGCACATCTAGAACGTGTAAATGAAGCCCCTTTAAGCTAATTAGCTCAAATCGACACTGCCAGGCAATCATATTCGCAAATACTATAAGCTGTAGGGTACTCGAACGTGTTTTTAGACATAGAGATCAGTCCACACTCATCGAGTGCTAAGCAAGCTTAGAATTTGAGTTAGAATTGAAAAGGTTTTAGGGGAAACTGGGAAGTTTATAAAGAGATGCACTTTCTTAATTTTAAGGAGTCCACCTTCACCCTTAAATACACCAAAACCCACCTGAGGTTTTTGTTATATACGACTCCTCCTCCTTTGGCTGTCTTCCAGGGATTTTCTGCAGAGTTACGGGTGACGGATGGGAAGGATTGTGTGTGTCTGGCTTGTTCGAAAAAGTCTATTGCAATTTTCCAGTTGATGTTGCTAGGAGGTTTTTTGTAGCCGGATTTTTTTTTGGCGGGTGAGGTTGTGCGTTGTTGGAGTATTCCTAAGGGAGAATTAAATAAAGAGAAAAAAACACAGGAGAAAAATGAGAAGTCGTTTAAATAAAGAAGCTTGAAACGGATTCGCAATGTCTCCGGTGGCCCAGCGATTTCTGTTGCCAGTGGCCACTTGTGGATTTTGTGTTTTGTCACTGGCACTGAAGTGGTTTTCCTTCAAGGGAGTGTTTGCTCTTCAGTTGGCTGCCGGCAAGGTCGTTGGCCAACAAGTGGAAAGCCAGGAAAAAGAAGGGAACAGAGCCAGGGGAAACTTAACAAATGTTCCTTGAATATATTTAAATACCACAAATATCAATTGTTTTATTTCGGGTTAGCTTTGATTAATAGCTTGTCTCACAATTAATTTGAAACCGCAATTTAGCTTCTCAGCATGCGTTCCCTCCAAGAGTAAATAGTATGAATAAAGAAATATATTCAGATTTATTATTCAATACCCAAATATGCCACACTGAATGGGATTCGGCGGCTATTTGTCCAGGGCAAATAATGAAAAGTAAATGGTATTTACATCAATATTTGTTAATACTTTTATTTGTCTTCGATTTTTTTTTAAGCAGTGGTGGCAAGCGGGGGTTGCCATGTCAAGCAAAATGTTCTCTGTGTGCCTGCCAGCCACGATTCAAATCGATTAATAAATAAATACATGTAGGTATAAATAAACAGGCATTTTGTAGCCGCTTTAAAATGCAAATTTCGATTGAGTTTTTGATTGATAGGTGAATATATACCTTGGTCACAAACGAGGGGGGATTTAGCACTTTAGAAATATATATTTAAATAATATTTTGTATGAAAAGAAGGGACTTAATATGATATTTATTCAGGCTTGAATTTAATCTAATTAACCTAAAATTAAATACTTTAAGTTATTAAAATATTATTCAATAATTTCTGTAGACATCACAAAATAAACTTTAAAACAAAGTCAAAGAAAAAACTGAGTATAAGTAAGCTTGATTATATTTTTATAGTATGTATCTAAATAAATGCAAGCTAATCAAACTAATTAACCAAAAATTCAACGAAAGCTTGCTAGCAGCCAGAAAGTTAAGTGACAACAATTAAGACAGCTGTGGCTTAATAATTTAAATAAAGCTTGCACACAAATTTGAAGATTAAACACAGAGCTTTAAGAACTTTTTAAAAATAATTTTTTAAACCATGTAACTTACACCCTTAGATCTTTCGAGTTTTCACATATTTTTGGCTGATGTTTTGGCCGTTGCTGGCTGCTTGAACTTTAGGCGGTTTTAACACGATTTTAGGCGCACATTTGTTTGGAATTTTGTTGAGTGTGATACGGTTGCTGGACAACAACAAGCGGTGCTAACTGAACTGAGGTGCCACAAGTGTTTTCTGGTGCTGAGGCTGCACTGCGAGCGTGGGAAACGGGCACGTCCATCAGCCACGAGATCTCATCTCGCACTGAACGAGTGACTGAACGGCGCGATGCGCTGGCCAGCGGTGCACGAGGCGCCTGCGACCTCGACGGCCATCGACTGCGCCCAGGATGTGGCTGTGCCGCAGCGGCAAGTTTATCAGCAGCCAGGAGCAGGAGCAGAAGGAGGAGGAGGAACAGCAGGAAATGGAAGAAGCAGCCATGCTGGCAGCGCTGCCACTTGTTGTCTGCTGTTGCTGCTGCTGCTGCCTGTTGCAGTACATTCCCGTTATCCGTTCTTTTGCTCTTCCGCTTTCACACTCTCTCTCTCTCTCAGCATCCTCACCCACACAGCCCCACTCGTGCGCTCTCTCTCCCCTGGCATATTGATGGAAACTGCCAACGGCAATGATTCTGCTCAATTGCCTTCATTGTGTTTGGTTCTATGTGTGTGTCTGTGTGTGCTGTTTGATTTTATTTTCACTGTCAATTGCGTTACGCCTGTAAGTATGCAAGGCGTTTTGGGGTTGCCCTCGACACACACACATACACATGCACATAGCGAACGCACACGCATATTATGCCTAATTGATTTTCGTTCCGCTTCCTAAGTGGCAAATCAATTTTAAGGGACAAACGCTAAGGGAACGGTAACTGGAACGGGGACTGGAACGGGGACCTCGAAGAAAGGACATCTTCAGTGGTTTTTATATATACTTTTTAGCGAAAGTCGATTTTCAGGCTGACTTAAGACCAACAAAAAACTGGGATTTGTATTTTAAAGAGCTTATATTCTAGGTTTTTAAAATAAAGGATTCTATTTTAAAGATGAACAAAGGCACAAAGCTTAAAAACATAATTCCTAAAATGAAAACATGTAAAAAAATATAAAATAAAATAATAATAATCCAAATAATCACAAAAATATAACAATAAAAAAAAACTTTGCATTATTTGATTCACTAATGAGCTTATTAAACAAAGAAGACCCTCTTGAAAATTTTATGTTTTGATCATCAACTTGAAAATAGACATATACGCCGCCGCGCCACGCCGCCGCCGCCGCCGATTTTTGCCTTATTTGACGCGCCGCCGCCAAATTATGAAAATAACGGCGCGCCGCGGCGCGCCGCTGGTGCGGCATCGGCGCAGCTTCAGCGCGGCCTTCAGTGTCATTGTTCTTTATAAAACTTAAAAAAAATAAATAACTCATTAAAATGGCCTTTTTGCCTTATTTGACGCGCCGCCGCCGCCGGTTCTTTCTGACTACTACGCCGCCGCCGCCGAGTCATTTTGACCTCTACGCCGCCGCCGATGCCTTTAACCATCGGCGTAAACCTCTACTTGAAAACTGGTTTCAGTCAAGCCCTCTTGGGATAAATTAAAAATCATATCAGATAATACTATTATGTTAATGCCATTTAAAAATGCCTAACATAAACACAGTTCGTAAGAAAAGACCAGCAAAATCTTAAGTCAAATGAAAAACTCTAGTAAAGACTTAAAGTTTCTTTATGCAATATAAATTTACACTTTTCCATGATATCTTGAAACGAAATAAAGTACTGCCCCCCTTCAGATTAACATCTTCAAGTCACTTTTAAGACCCCAACTTATTCCTTTTCGTGTGTAAATCATACGTTCTGCAGCATAACGAGGTCACAATTTGCGCTCACTTGTTAAGCAAAGGTGTAACAGGTGTGTTGTTGCATATCCCCCAGGACATTGGCCCCAAGGAAAACGTCAGCCCGCACGTGTTATTGCACTGATTTTGCCAATTTCCGGTGAAAATTCGATGCCGGCAGACTTTTGTAACCACCTGATGGCATGCTCCAAGGTGAACTGTGCTTACACATGGTCTCTCTTACAATTAATCTGCTTGAGATGTTGTAAATTTATGCAACTAACCGGATGAGGAGCTCGTAAGATACAGATACAGAACCGAAGCGATTGGAAAACGACACGCGACTGAATCGAAGATGGGAACACAGATTGGCTGAAGCCAGAAATCTATATAAAGAGAAGCCTCCACGATGATTGTGTAGCTTTGCGATCACGTTTAGTGCCTGAAATTTGCATACAGAAGTAAAGACATTAAAGCAAAATAAAGTCTGAAGCATGGTTATTGATAAAAATAGTATGAGCATAGTGACCGGTAACAAATGGGGGGAGGTTTGGACTTGATTATTGAAGAAATCCACATAAAAGCCTTAAAAAAAAACTTTAAACTAAAATTTATATAGATATTTTTGAGAACCTATGTATATCCTTGCATAGTTCTTAATTGATTGTATTTTGTGGTACTCATAATCAAATAAAATAGAAAATTTCCGTTAAAAAATCACAAAACCAATACGAAACCGTGCCACTTACAAATCGATTTCCAAACACACTCTTGGTGTGGAATTCTTCAATAAAAAATCAAGGGAAACCAGGAAAATAGCATCAAGGGCAGTAGGAACTACAATGGAGCCATAAAAAAAATATAAAAAAAAGGTGGAGGGTTCCATTGAAGTGTTAAAGTGGCGACGCCAAAATAACTTCAAAGTTAATGGACTAGAAATCGTCCAGGACTGATGGCATTAAATAATACAATAAATGCAGAAATGCTTTTGGGGCACGACGGCACTCACACGTTGGACTTAAAAAAGGGGCAGTTGCTGCTAAAAAGGCTCGAGTGCGACTTGGTCTTTGTTTGGGCCTGACAAATTGAATTTGCCACATATGACGGCTTAACTTCATATGCTGGGGGTTAAATCGATGACAAATGCGGCCGGCTTAGCGCCCAAAAAAACTGATGCGGGTCATTCCGTAAGAGAATCTCTGACCAGAATCTCTGTGTGCTCAAGTTTTATCACAATCGAGGAGGAATAGACAGAGGGAGAATGAAAAAAAAAAAAGGAAACCGGAAAACTCATTCGGCCGCAAATGTTTAATTTCCTTTTGTTTGAAATGCTACACACACACACACCATCCTCGAACCAGGAGCTGTCATTAGCATTTGCGAAATCTATTTAAATGTGCTAGCATCCAACCCCCAGTCAAAGTTCAAATGTCACCCGCTGCATGTGAGTGTATGCCTGTGGTGGAAATATTTTCCATTTTCCCTTTGGAGGCAGCCAAGAGTTGGGGGTTGCGTGTTGGTGTCGCATATTTGGTGGCATTCAATTGAAATATCAACACGTGCCACATCATCTTCAGCCCCAGCTCCTTGGCCGGCTTAGCATAGTTGCGTTCGCCTTTTCCACTTGGCATTTGTCTTAGCCGAGCAAGGGGCCAAGCGACTTCATTAAGAAATTCCACAAATATTTTGAATTTATTATCTGCGTTTTTATATTTGCAGCGAAATATAAAGGCTTGGGAGGTCCTTTTATTGTTAGCCAGTGAAAGTCATTGCTTGATAGATTTTTTTTAAGGGAATAAAATGAAGCTGAATTAATTTTATTTGTATTCTATTTAAAGTTAACAGCAAGGAATATGTTTCTCAAAAATTATAGAAATTCAAGAGTGCTGAGATTGCCATTAAAATTACATGAAATTTATAAGAATTTTGGGAAAAAAGAGAGTTCTGATTCTATTTCTAAGATGGTATAAGAAACAGTTAAAACAACAAATGTTGACAGGTACAACCTTAAACTTAGGCTAACCTTACGCCTTTATTACTTAGTCTTAAACATATACTTAACCCGGATACGTAGAGATTATGTCAGAATATAGAGCAAAGCATATGCCAGGGATTACGAATAAAAGAAAAATTAATTTAATGGGCTTTCAACCATTTATTTCACTTGGCAGCAAGCAAGAACACACCAAAGGACTCGGACTCGCACTCGTCCTGCGCACTGTCCGAAAAGGAGGCGTGTCCAGGAACGACCAATCGGATGGCGCGGATAATACGCAACGCTTTTATCCGCCAGTCAGATGAAAAGGAAGCCGAAGCGGAAGGAAGCTGCGGAGTCGCTCGGCTCTTCACTTGTTGCTCGCTCTTTTTTAGTGAAGAAGAAATGGGGGAAAGCAACTCTGGAAAAGCGTGAAAATTGATAATAAACGCACTTCGCACGTACACACACTGGCAGTGTGGAGAGTGTGGTGTGTAGAACACTTCTAGTCGCATTTATTGCCAGCTTTTATTTTATGCTTTTGATTTATGGTGCGGCTCTTACACTTGGACAATTGTTAAAGTCGGAAAAAGTCTTTAGTCCAACCATCATATCATAATCATTCACATTTGATTAGGAAGAAAAGCATACTTTTAGGCTTTGTATACAAAATTAAAACCACTTTACAGATTAATTTGACTTAAAGCCATTATTCATACAAATAAGACCTGAAATCATAAAGAAAAACCATATAATGATTAATTTGAACCCCTCTATTACGCACCATCCATCTTGGCAGTCGGTTTCCTGGACATTGACCAATGGCTGCCATTAATTCTCTGCCTTTAAGAGCCTTTTCCGGATAAGTGTCTATGCGGATTGCTGCCCCCCAGCACCCTTTTCTTGCTCATCTAGTTAATTGCAGTTTTATTGAGCAAATAAAAATACAAACAGATTGGATTTTGTGGCGCTTTAAGTAAATAATACAGTTTTTATTACACCCTTCGAATTGTACAGATAACGCGAGACGGCTTAAGTACTTAGCCACACTCGACGCAATTAATTGTAGATATTACACAATAATAGAAACTTAAGAGCTAAGCCTAAGCGGTTTTTGTTCACAAGCAACAACGGAATTTGTCTAGCTTAAAAACAATCATTGTGATCGCACTCAATTAACATTTAACATTGTAACTCAACCAAGCGATCCATGATGTGTGTGTATATATTGTACAACAGAGTATTTTCTCTACATAACTAGGCCTATAAAAATTGCACACAAGCAAACCCTATTAACTAGGACTACAACTAGGCTAATTGGCCACGCTAACAAACTGCGAATCGGGGGTCAGTTGGATTGGATGGGATGTGGGCACTACTACGCTTCGATCTTTAGATTGTCGAACTCGTCGAGCCTGTCCTCTGAACCGGAGGTAGTCAGGTCCGAGAGCTCATCGAGGCACTTCTGGCGCTTGCGTACATTCCAGTGCAGGCCCTCGGCGAGGGAGTCGAACCAATCGGAGATTTGATCCTGTGAGCAAATGCTGGGCACGGGATAGATGGAGGTGGTCACCCTCAGGCTGTCGCCGTGATTCAGCTCCTGGTCGTTGCGTCCGTCAAAGGAGACGCGTGAGGTGTTGCGGCTATCAGGTGAAATTGATATCTGCGAAGAGGGGAGCAAGAATTAATCGATGAGTATCTTTTGCTAATGCCTTAAACACGACAAGGCCTCGATTAATTAGGTTGAGTCATAAAGAGTTATTCGAATAAAAAGTAAAGATATTTAACATAAGACTTTACAGTCTCACTCACCTTTAACTCCACTCCAGCGGGCACCACAATTGGCCTGAAACTCAGGGAATGCGGGCAGATGGGCGTCACTAGAATGGCCGGCACGGAGGGATGGATCATGGAGGCACCAGCTGCTGCCGCATATGCCGTGCTCCCCGTGGGCGTCGATACAATGAGGCCATCTCCTTGCACTGAGGTGATATATTTGCCGTCCAAGAATATATCGATGTTGCTTAGATACGGCGAGGGTCCCCGGTTGATCACCACCTCGTTCAGCACTAAGATGCTGTTATTGGGCGTATTGTTATTGTTGGCTTTGAGGGACCAACTGGGTCCATTGTTGAGGTCCACGTGATTGAGTTGCCTGTGCAGATTCGGCTTGAGCAGATTGCTGCCACTGGCCGAGGCCAGCAGCGACTCCTTGCGGCGTTCGCCCTTGCGATGGATCGAGCAAGACAGGCGACTGCGCAGCGTGAGTGCAGCATGACCCTCCAGAACATTGGTCACCTGCTCCTGGAAATTGTCGCACTGGAAGGGCGTAAGAAAACCAAGGGAGCCCAGATAGAAGGCCATCACTGGGGGCACCGACTGCTGGAATAGCTGGGAGGCATACAGCAGAGTGCCATCGCCGCCCAGGCAGACGATGAAGTCAATGCGATCGGTCAGGTCATCGCGGCCATCTCTGTGGAAATATTCATTTGACATTAATAAAATGTAGGAAATGAACTCTCTTTTGCACTCACTTGAAGGTAACCAGCATGTCGCGCAGCGCCAGGAAACGCGCTCTTACTCCGGCGTAATCGCCATGCACTTGCCGAAACTTGGCACTCTCCGCCTCCAGCTTGACATCGTCCCGCAGCAGCTTGTCCTCGAGAACGGCGGACTCCACCCAGACGACCATGTGCTTCTCCTGCACCAGCCACTCCACAAGCTGAACGAATGGTAGCAAGACCTGCGAGTCCTTTTTCTTGATCACCAGCACGGTAAGTGGTGGCTTGTACCAGGTCAGGCGCTGACTGGCCGGATCCTGAATCTGCATCACCATGGCGGAGTTTTTCATAATGCGTCCACATGGTCCGAATTGCTGGAAGGGCGACGGAGCATTCAGACTTCTGGTGCGCCTGGAAAGAGTAAAAGGAAAATTGTGTTTCATTGTTTCAAAGAAAAGATAAAGATAAAGAGGGACAGCGGATGTTTACTACTAAATATACACCTCAAAATACGCGGATCGGGCGCCACCTGGGTCACCTGTTGCTCCTCAACCTCAGAGATTTGACGCTGCAAGGCCGTTGCCAATTTTAATTTGGGATGCTGCATCTTCAGCTTAAATAATTTCCTTTTTAAAGAAAACTCTTGACGGTCACGCCCTTTTTGCCAAGTTTTATTGTTCTCTTCTGGCTTTTCCTAGCACAACACTAGCCACAAAAATCAAAAACGTGTTGGAATTTTTCACTGCGAGCGCTGCTGCTGCTCGTTCGAAGGTTACAAAATCACTGACAGGCCAATTTGGTCGAATCGAAAAACACAAAATAAAAGTATATAACGTATTTATATTTTTGTTTTCATTACAACAACACAACGGCGGTGGCGGCGGCGGCGGCGGCAGCGCAAATAAACTTGTTGAATCTCAGGTCCAAACAAACAGGAATTGCACATGCTAACCCGCCGAATGGCCACGAGACGCAGTCCGGGGGGATGGCGGCGTGGAAGAGCGCCTCTGCCTGGCCAAGAGAGCCGAGAAGCGGAAGAGAGCTTTTGCTGCTTTTGATGGGATAGCAAGTGTGAGTATGAGTGCGGGGGTGAGGGTGCCACAAGCATCGAGCATCGCTTGCTAACGTCTTTGATTGATGTGCTAATACGCCATGACTAAGCACAAAGAGGCACAAAGGTTGGTGGGAGAACAGTGAGATAGGAGGAGCAGATATATGTATGTATAGAAGAGCAGGGAGAAGAACGAAGAGCTAAACTTAATGAGCCATAAGTTAGACTATGCTGAACTGAACCACTGAACCAGGGGCATCGTTACAGCAGTAGTACAGTGGGTTAGTTTAGCTTTTAACTTAAATATTTATTAACCTGCTTCCTTATCTTCAGCTCTTTAAACATTTTTAATCACTTTGAACACCACAATTACCCATTGTACACAATCTGACGGCACTGACTCACGGAAAGACAAAAACCTGGGCGAAAGGAGCACTTGGGCGAAAGGGAACCACATATATGAATACGACGGATGACGCATCCGTTCCGATCTGATGCATTGCAGGAAGATGTGTTGACAGGCGGGTGGTCTTGATCTCGTGTCGCCATTGATTCGATATGATAATGAAAACGATTTCGAAGGAAATTCAGACTCATTCATTCACTTACTCAACATAATAATAACAGTGAGCTCCCGCTAAGACAGCAAGCACACTTCCTCGATCGCCACCGGGCACCAACTGAACTGGAAGCTCGAGAAGGGTCTGCGGGCACTTAAGTAGCCACCAACTAAATGACTAAATGCCGCGGACAGATAGATATGCATGGGACGTCAGCATGACGGTGCTTTAAAATTCGTTAATTCATTGACTTTCTGTAAGCCCGAAGTCCGATTCATTTTCCATTTCCCTGGGGGGGCATTAATGAGGGGCCTACTATATAATCGATTCAACACCCCAGACAATCCATGCAAATGCGCGGTTTCAAGCCACCTGACCTGCACACCTTTGGATTTCGGTATGCCAAATCGGTCACGAGCGAGCGAGCGTCTGTCAATCCGCTTTCGTTCCGAATCGAATATATATATATTTTCAAGATACTCGAACATACTCGCGCATATACAGATATATCTACCTGTTGCCTTTGCTTTATGACTGGCGCCAAGCACAAACTGGCACCGATTTCAAACTCAAACCTAACTGGCGTCTCAAGTTCTCGAGTTCCAAACAAACCGTAAAAATAGTAGTAGTAGTAGTAGTAGTAGCCGGAGAAGAAAAAACCTACAGACATCTCGGATAGCCATAAATTAACAGACGGCGCCGCCGTCGTAGTACCAATAAGCGAGGTGTTAACAAACTCGTTTTTAAGTGGCCAAAAAAAATAAATATAAAAAAGACAACACGCCACAAATGCTGAACTATGCAGAAAGGTCAAGGACTTTACGCTCGTCTTAATGAGTTTTGAAAACAGTTTTTTTCTAAGTACAGGCCACAAGACCCAATTTATTGATAAACAAAAAATGCTTTGCTATATCAGGCTGATAGGGAAAAGGCAGTTGTGAAATTGATACTAAGTTCGTTTGGTGTGTATATATTTAGCCGATTTGATCTGCGTAAATAAAGTGCGCCTAAATGCACACCACACTTCCCAAATCACCGATAAGTGCCGGCGACAAGGTAAACACTTGATTACAGACACTCCTCCTTATCACCGGAGCATGTCGCGTACAAATGTTCAGCGAGCGACCTGATAACTTTGAGATAACCACCGCACTAAGGCAAATAGTTGAGTCCAAAATCAATTATTTACATATATGTATATGTATAATAATCTATTTTACCAAATAAGTGCCATAATTTAGACATGGAGAAAATAATAGAGGATTAACGTAATATGTATCTTATTACCTTAATCTTAAAACATATTGTTAAGGCCTATATTTAATATTTCTATGGTATAGATTGTTACCCGATAATAAAGTTGCTCATAAACCCACTCAAACATATTGAATGACCTCTAAAATCGATCTTTTACCACATTTTCAGACTCTATTTTTTTGCCAGTGTTGTTTGTTTTGTTTGTTCAGCTCTTATCAGGATTTGTATGGCTCTGGTTTGGTTTGCTGCAAGTCGGATTTGTTTAGTTTTAATTACTTACGGCCAGGTTCCGCTACGTCTACGCCGTGTCGAGGAATCAAAGTAGCCATCGTCCGTTTCCTCCTCGGACTTGGCCTGCTGGCTCTTCGGACTGCTGGCCAAGTTCTCGCTGGCCGAGGTCTGATCTCTCGCCTTGGTACTCTCCACATTCGTCACATGGTTTTGAGTGATCCTCTGGCGCCTTAGCGAGGCACTGTGTCGCACCAGGAGATCATTGTACTGGGTCTGATGATGACCCGTGCCGCTCCAGGCTAACTTGTAGCTAAAGCGTTCCTCCAGGCGATGCTGGTGCAGGGTAGCCAGGTCTATGTCCGACAGACAAGTCATTCTAGAGTTCTTTTGAGTCACTAATTAGGTACTAAATATCACTAAACACACACACAATTCACAGAAGATTCGTTTTGCTAAAACATTTTCATACACTGAAATTGGGTTGGGAAATTAGCTGGCATATCATCGCTTGGCATTTCTTTGGGACAACTCGAAAGACCCCACCCTTGAAACGGCCCTGAATGAAACGAATTGTAAATAACATTAACCTTGCTCCCCTTTGGCAGAGGTGTTAACGAAGTTAACCAAGTTTTGGTTTACCAAAACGGGGAACGAAAGAATGCCTGTACACCTTTTTTTTCTTTTGTGGGATATAAAAAGGTAACAGCTTTGGCGCGTGGTAAAAGTTGATAAACAAAAATGGTCAGTCTTGGGTTTTCTTATAGCCAACCCCAACCGGTTTTCGTTTCTTTTGAAATTTGTGCAAAAATAAATTTATTATTAGCAATCAAATAGTTTGTTTTGGCTGCTTTTTTTCGGAGCTTTTTGTTTTCTGGCCAACCTAACGGACCGGAGCGTAGTTCCGGCTTTGACGCCAGAGCCATCGCAAAAATAAAATAAAAGGGGGGAAGAAAGGCGCGGGACAAGGCTTGCTAATATGCGTCATTGGCCAGCTTCCGTCGACGGACTTGGCCAACTTTTATCGCCTGCCAGAGCCCCGTAACGATGTCAAGTATAAGTCAATTGGCAAAAAAAAAAGCATTGGCACGAAACCAGGCTCGTATGTACTAAACACAGTTAGCTTTATAACGAGAAATACAATTAAATACAATTTTTTCTTAATCTCTTTGTCTTTGCAGCTCCGTGCTGCGTTGGTCAACAACCTTTTAATAAGCCAAAAGCATCCACTTAGACAACAATTAACCATTCGGTCTGCAGGCAACCGAGCATAACAGTATCGCCGGCCATTATCTAGAAATCGTGACCTGTGTGCGCAATGAGCTTGAAAATCTCGATCGTTTTCGGTTTCTTTCCGAGAGTGCCTCATCAACAGTTCATTAACAGAGGTCGCTTGGCGATCTCATTGACGGGCTGATAAGAGGTCGGAACTTAACAGAAAGAGGAAGTAAAAAGTAGGGTTTTAATTTGGATTTTTAACTTAGAAAAGTAAAAAATTAGTATGAATGGGGACGTGAAATGTCCTAAGAAGTTTTTCTTAGAAATTTGAAATCTTAACAAGTCGAACTAGGAACAACAAGTATAGAAATCAATTCCATTACTCAATATTCTTTAAGACTCTAATATTTATTTATTTTTTACTGCAACACGTAACCTGATATAACTAATTCCCTTTTAATATCAGAATTTACAAAGCCTTCCACTAGATTATAATGCAATTTATCAATCGTTACCCCGACTACATGGCTTCTAATTGAAATTCCAATTAAATGTATTGCGTAACAAGAATAATAACAATAACAATCTATACTCTCCACCGATCGCGTGATACACAAGTGTCTTCTCTGTCTTCTATTTTTACCGATTTCAGGAAGCAACAAGTAAGTACAAGTCATTGGAAATTGTTCTGTAAAATAAACAAAGGAAGGCACAGCCCCACATTACAATCCCCATCAGCAGCGCCCCCTTGGGAATCGCTAGTTACATCCGTAGCAATCGGACTATGACAATAGACGAGTGCATAAAGCGAATTTTAAATTACTTATGAGCACAAAGACACATGAAATAATAAATTAACGACAGCCACAAATGAATAAATCAATTAACCGACGAAATGCGCAGTGCTACTAAGTTTAGTGATTATCATTGCTTGGATCGGATGGAGAAGTGAACCCACGGATCGGTGGAACCACCACCTGGTCGCAACGTGCCTGCATGTTGTTGGCGAAACCCGTGTTGGCAGTGATATAATTCAAATGACGCCTTTCGTCAACATTTCAAAGGTACTAAAGTGGCAACTGCAGTTATTACTGTCGTATGCACTTGTGGAGGTCCAACCTCCAATTGTCATTAAGCCCATTTTCAATATAGGGTTTTGTTAATATAATTATTGTATAAATTTGTTTTTATTTAATTTTATATATGTATTATCTGCTGCCTATATGTCTATCTATTGATAAGAAGGATCTGTGACGTTGGTTTAAACTGAATTATTTTGCTTACTTTATAAAAAGTTTAATCTATTGTGAAATATAAGGAAACAAGACTTACAATGTTTTAATAAAGTTAAATAACTTTGCAAAGTTTAAAATTATAAAAAATCAAGAAAGGAAGCTCATTTTGGCACGACAGTTTGAATACTCTTCTAATTTTTAACGGGCTCCAAGAACCAAATTTGAATCTATCATAACTAAGCCAACAAATTATTAATCTTAAATCGGTAAACAGTTCTGTGCTAGTTTTTATTAGCTTAAAAAATCTGCATAATTTAACATGTAAAAAATTAAAAATTTTGAAAATTTTTTACAATTTTAACGATGTAACCCCTTTATAAAATTTTGATAAAATTGTGAAAATTTAGTTTTTTGCCAGACAAGGCTATAAAGACTCGGTTTGTGCTGCTGATCAAGAATATATATGATTTATAGGGTCCGTTACTGAATTAACAGCTTCTGACTAAAATTATAATACCCTGAAAGGGATTAATAATTATAGGTTAACTAGATAATTTTAGCAAAACTACAGTTTTCCCTTTCAATTGCCTGCTTGTTTAGTGTGTAAATACTCACACATGTTTACTGAATTAATTAACCCTTTCTGGGTTTATCTTTGACAGACTATATATGGATTTTTCGAGTGATTCCAAGGCAAACAAAGGCTATGAACTACTAGGAATACATGTTATATATTTATATCGATCGATATCTAGAACACACAACTGCATTAAGTGGTAGTTAAGGAAGACCAGACATAGTTTACTTCCACTTAAACAAATTCTACGGTAATTCCACGGTTTAGTGCAAGTGCTGGACACGGCAGGCGATTGACGGATTGATGGCTAGCTAGATGGTTGTGGTGACCATTGAAGGAAATCGAAAGTGGGCTGGGGGGAGTGGGAGGCTCAGACCCCAGAAATGCCAAGTCATGTCTGCGTTGGAAAAACGCCAAGCGCCACCAGTAGCATAGCCACTGGACAGGCAAGGCAACAAAGTACTCTAATTACACGTTATATAATCTGTTTTGTTTTCGTTTTAGCACAAAACGCGAACCAAGGCGAAACTTCCAGCTCCAGAAGCAACAACACCAACAACAAGAGTAACTGTAACAGCGGCTTTTACTTTAAATTTAAACTGACCAGCGATCGGCAACAGGTGAACGAACGAATCGAATCGGATCGAAACAAAACGAAACCGCTCAGCGATCGGCGATGGGAGCACGGAATGGGGCAAAGGGGGGAGTAGAGAGCGCGAACACGACCGTGCTGTCCGGTGATCATGCGACAGTGTTGCCAGATGAAAATTTGGCTCTCCCCCTAAAAAATCGCAAAAAGTTGAAATTTCCCCCTAAAAAATCCAGTTTTCCCCCTAAATTAAAGAAATTAGTTAGTTTCATAAATATAGGGAAGAAACATCTTTTTGTTAGTTAATTTTAATGTTTTTTTATACATATGCATCGATAAAATTTTTCTGAAAACTCGGCTTGGAAACCTCTTTGTTCACAAAAAGTTTCAAAAGGTGTTGAAATTGTTGAATAAATCATAAATTCTACAATGTTTTTTCAAAACATAGTATTAATACAAGTTTAAAAAAACCCCTAATCTTTCCCCCTAAAAATTCTTCCCCCCTAAAATTCCCCCTAGGACATCAAAAAACCCCTAAATCTAGGGGGAAAACCCCTAACCTGGGAACACTGTCATGCGATTACTGAGCTGGGACGCCAAAAAGGTGATTAAGTTTGACGATTTGTGCGCGTTTCCGACTCAAAAATAAAAGTATGCAAGCGTCAAGCGACTGTAAACAATAAACGGCTGTCGTTTGGCTTTTTAACGCCACTTTTTGGCGAATTTTTGCCGGGCATCTCTGATCGTAAACAGCTGAGCGTAGCCACGCGTCGCGATCGCATAAAGAGAGGAGGGGAAAGAGAGGTAAAGGGAGCAGTTATCAACAGGTGCCTCTCTGCACACTCTCTGTTATGTAAACGCTGTAATGCTTAATTGCTTAGAGTATAATTTCCAACAAAGAGAAGATTGATTTATGATCCAAGTCAATCGATGGAAGCTATTAACTAATTAACAAAGTCATAACAGTCTAAGCTGAATAAAAAACTATTTAATGAATGGCTTCTTCGCAGTGTACGCCATTTACTGAACCAAATCGATTATCTGAGCCTCTACTTTGATACACATTTGTCACACGTGTTAAGAGAGGTTTGATTTTGACAAAAAAACACAACACATGTGTGCAAGCCACTTGAAAAGAGAGAAGGGAAGAGTGCAGAAGAGAAGCATTTTCCGGCTAGCCTCTAATTGATTGCCAGCGAAATGATAATGGGATACATTTAGTTTATTGTTTTGCACAACAATGATGGCAAAAACAATAGTGGCAAAGATGTAGATATTAGCGAAAATACATATGTACATGTATATACATGTACATACATACATAGTTCAAGTAGCAGCAGTTATAAAAAACCTTTTAGTTAGCTTTTTTAACCTTAACCTCATTTAAAGGTTTATTGCTATATTAAATATTATATTCCACTGTTTAAAATTCATGTTTAAAATGTTCCCCTAAGGTGGATTATAATTTGTAATCTTATTAAAGGCTCAGCTGATTTGGATTGAACTAAATAGCCAGTCAACACCACCACTTACCACCACCAACGCATTTCCATGTCATCTCCCGCAGTCCCGTTATTTATGCCAGGACCTGGGGCCGAGGATGCTGCAGCGCTGCTTTGCCTACCACTGTTTACGTGGAGCAGCTGATTGTCATGGTCATCGTAGTAGGATCCATTGGACATGCAACCAGAGGATGAGGTGGCGGCAGAGGATGAACCACTTGCCTTTGGAACCGTTTGAGCGGGCGAGGGGGTGGCGGCCAGAATGTTGTTGTACGCGGACGTCATTGTGGTCACTTTTGCTCCCGCGAGCGTGCTTGTGTGTGTGTGTGTGTGCCTGCCTGTGCACCTGTCAGCGTGTGTGTGAGGGTGAGTGGAGTGGAGTGGTGTTGGTCTGGTTTTGACCCACAAACGCGATGCACTAGCCTCACACGCTGGCCAACTGCCCGGATTCACACAAGCGCGGACTAGCTGCTAATTTGCGATTTGAATAACGCGAGTTCCAATGGGTCCATGTTATTTGTTTTTTTCTTGCACCATTACACGTTAGAGTGACCGTCTCCCGTTTTTCCGTATATACACAAGCAAGAAGTAGATACTAGTATTTGCACATTATGGTCATACTTAGCAGAGAGGGCGCAAAAATTAAATGTAGTTTTCTGGATTTAGCAACTTTTACAAGTCCAAAAATGTCAAAAAAAATCCCCTGATTTATGATTATTAAAACAAGAAATTTTTATAAATAAGGGATCATTTACCAATAAAAAAATTTTTTAGACGCAGTTTAATTTAGTAAAAATAAACTATGACAACTTGTTGAATTGGAAAAAAACAAGTTCAAGGATAAACTTCCAAGTTTTCTTACCGAAACTGCGTACGCTTTTCCAGCAAACTGAAGGGCAGGGCTTTTCTCAGCGGAGCTGGCGAGCTGCCGGGCGTTGAGGCCTCTTCATCAACGATTTGTTGTGCCCGCTGCATATCTTCTGGATTCATTTCTGATTTAATTTTTGATTCCAAATTCCCACAGCAATTAAAATCACAACCGAACGCTGGCAACGATCGTCGTCAACTACTCTGCGAGGCTTTATGCATTTCACACGACTAGATCGGCACGCACAGCACACGCACACACCTGTTGGCCGCACACTCGCACAGCAAACAACACACAACGCAAAAAACACACCTTGAATTCGGCGGGCAAAAAAGGCAAAAACACTCGCATTGGCAACAAACACGATCGAAGCGAACGAACAATGGCGGCGGCGCAAGATCTCCGCCGTGTAATGAACACGGCTTGTACGCCTGAGGGCCCAAACAAAGTCTCGAAGCCCCCAGCCTTAGCTCCACTTTCGATTCGCACCCAAATCGATGCAAACTAATATATCTGACAGGCCCAAGTGCGTGGCGTGGCAACCAAATTCAAAGGCAGTCGCGAGGTGAGCAACATGCGGCAACAAGGAGCGGGGGGCTCCAAAACCAGTCTAAATACGAAACACTTACAGTCTATAATCTATATTGCAAGGTGTGTAGTTTATGCGAAAAATATAAAACAAAGACAATGTTCTGTAAGACACAATATTCAAACAGTTTGCAGCCGGCAGCATTAATCTACAAAAGAACTTGAAAGTGTTACAAAGGTCTTATTTGTGAAATTATATTTCAAACAATTTAATAGTTGGAATTCGGCAATTTACGGTTGCCAGAACTTTACAATAAACGTGTTTTTACAATCTTAAAACATGATTTGGGCGCTTAAAGATTGTAAAAAGTATTGTTTAATATTTAATTAAGAAAGTACAGTGCCATATGGTAGTTAACATTCCTATATTATTGCAAAGCTTTTCGATTATGACCAAGTTTTATCTTGGTGCTTACATAATTCAAACATGAGCCAGAAATTTACATTATTTGTTTCAAAAAATATAGTTTTTTTGTGCTTTAACAATTTCTTGGAAACAATTATACAACTTGGCAAATATTCGAGGCTTTTTTTACAAACTAGATAAAAAGACTTTTTGCAGACAGGACTAAGAACTAGCACTAAGCCCTACTCTATGCTACCAATACGATTACCAACAGAGACTTACGCACTACTACACATCATACAATTTCATGTTCTCGATCTCGTCCAGCGTGTCCTCCGATCCGGATGCCGTGAGGTCCGACAGCTCGTCGAGGCACTTTTGTCGCTTGCGCACATTCCAATGGAGGCCGTCGGCTAGGGAGGCGAACCAATCGGATATCTGGTCTTGGGCACAGATGCAGGGCACGGGATAAATGGAGGTGGTCACTCGTAGGCTGTCGCCGTGGAAAAGCTCCTGTCGGTTGCGACCATCGAAGCTGACCCACGAGGTGTTGCGGCTTTCGGGGGAGACAGAGATCTGCAAAAGGTAAGTATCAATTAGCTTTTAATTGGAAAGTAAACCTACTACCTTACCTTCAGTTCCACTCCTGCAGGCACCACGATGGGCCGGAAGCTCAGAGAATGCGGGCAAATGGGCGTCACCATAATGGCCGGCACGGAGGGATGGATCATGGAGGCACCGGCTGCTGCAGCATAGGCCGTGCTGCCCGTAGGCGTCGATACAATCAGGCCATCGCCCTGCACGGAGGTGATGTACTTGCCATCGAGGAACAAGTCAATATTGCTCAGATAAGGCGACGGGCCCCTATCGATCACCACCTCGTTCAGCACCAGGATGCTGTTGGCCACAGGTCTGGCGTCTGCATCTGCTGGGTCCTGCTCCTGAGTCTTGGACTCGTGCTTCCTTTCGCCCTTGCGTTGCATCACACAGCGCAGACGACTGCGTAGGGTGAGGGCAGCATGTCCCTCGAGGACACTCGTGAGCTGCTCCTGGAAGTTGTCGAATCGGAAGGGTGTAAGGAAGCCCAGGGAGCCCAGATGGAAGGCCATCACCGGTGGCACCGATTGCTGGAAGAGCAGGGAGGCATACAACAAGGTCCCATCGCCGCCGAGGCAGACAATGAAGTCGATGCGATCGGTCAGGTCATCGCGGCCATCTCTGCGGGGAGAAGCCCATAATAGTCACATATTTTCCCCATTTCTTTTGGGTATTTAAAACTCACTTGAAAGTCACCAGCATATTTCGAATGGCCTTGAAGCGCACATCTTCGTTGAGCAGGGTATCCTCCAGCACCGCCGATTCCACCCACACCACCATGTTCTTCTCCTGTAGCAGCCAGTCCACCAGTTGGACGAACGGCGCCAGCACCGAAGCATCGCTGACCTTCTTGATCACCAGAACAGTGAGTGGAGGCTTGTACCAGGTCAAGCGCTGGCTGGCCGGATCCTGGATCTGCATGACCATGGCCGAGTTCTTCATGATGCGGCCACAAGGCCCGAATTGCTGAACAGGCGAGGGGGCATTCAGGCTGCGAGTGCGCCTGAAAAAAACAGAAAAGTAAACGAAATTAAAGAGAATAAAATAAAATACCTTATAGTCTCGGACCTTAGTACATGATGTTTGCTTTTAGCCTTTAAAACTGGCTCTTTCTCCTTAATGCAATTATTATTGCAATCACTCAAATCCTCCCACTTTACATTGTTAAACTCCTCGATGCTCAAGGAGCTGTGCAGCGGAAATAGAGCAGCCGCCGGCGGCTGATGGGGTCGCAATGGAAACATTGTTAAATGGATTTTCAAGGTTCACTAGAAGGTTTCCCTAAGAATAAAATGTGTGCTCTCTGTGCGTTATCAAGCTTCAGACTAACTTCGGGCAACTGTAAATCATCTTACATGCAAATGGCGACACCAAGAGGTGGGGGACTGGGGGATAAGGAGGAAAGCAAGGGTGAGTGAGATCGAATATGCATCGATTTCAAGGGAATCGAATTGATCGTCTTCTTTTCCTGCTTGCATTCGTACACTGAGAAGAAATAGTTGGCAAGCTTCAATGATTTTATGTTGCAGTTTAGCATTTAAACAAGAAATTAGGCTGCTTTTCTTAGTTCAAAATCTAAAATTAAAATTATAAAACTAAAGGTTTCTCTGCGCATAAGTTTACAACTTATTTTTGCAGTGCATTTTGTAGTGCAACCTCCGTATTTGAATTACAAATTCCCACCAAGCTTATCTATAGGATAAAACTTCCAGCTCGTTGTCACTTACGGCCAGGTGCCGGAGCGTCGGCGTTGCATACCTGCCGCCAGGCCACTACTGCCATCGCCACCACTATCTCGATCCAGGCAGTTCCCATTCAGGTCCCGCTGACGGAGCTTCCTCTGAAGGTTTTGCTCCAGACAGAGGCGCGTAATGGGACTAAAACCGTCATGCTGATGGTAATGTTGGTGATGCTGATGGTACAGGTGATCGCTGTTGGGCAACCCGTAGTGCCAGCGCTGCTCCAGGCGGTTCTCGTGCAAGGTGGCCAAGTCGATGTCCGACAGGCAGGCCATTTTGTAGCTCAAAGAAAACGGTTGGGAAATGAACGTTGATTTGCCCAGCCGCAGTTATTTACAATTGACTTTTTGGAATGCCGTCAGACCACATTGTTTTTCGTTCGGAAAAAAGGGACCAAGGTTAGTTTTGTTTTCACAATAAATTTCAAAATATTGTTTTTAAAAATAAAACACGCCCACGCACTTCGGATCGATCGACCAAACAAACAAAAAAAAGCCCAGAAATGTGTCAGCGAAAAAGAGAAAGTGTTTCTTTTATTGGTATTGCAGTATTGCAGGGAAAAAACTGGTAATTAGAAATGCATTAAGCTGATTGGTCAAGGGAATTCACAGCTTATTTTGCTCTCTACGCCGCAGAGTTTCCACTTGATTAGTTCGGACAGCTGGCCGGAAAATTAGAAAATTAGAAGCAGCGGAGAGCCCTGAAACTGTCAACCGGGCGATCGCGTGTACGAGCAACAACTGAGCAACGCAAACCAAACCGAGTTGACAAGGTTTCGGCTTGGTCCGAAAGCGGATTGCGTTTTTTTTTTTTTTTTTTGACTCTCCACTCTGCCTGCAGTTAACAGATACTACAGATTGCCAGAGCCCATATACTATAACATGGTATAGGGGTTTCGGCAGCGCAGGCGCAAAGGCCTTGGCGCTCAATTAACAGTTAAATTGATAACAGCGATGCTATCGGCGCGAATCAATTGCCAAAATTGGAACAATCGATTGATCAAAGTCTAGCCAGGTTCGCCTTTCAATTTCTTTCGTTTCATTTGAATCGAAATCAAAACAAAGCCACTTGTGCCGGAGGCAGAAGAGACGACGAGAGCTCGGGTTCAAGATGGTACATTCAACTTAGATAAGAGAAGACCCACGGCATGTGTGGGCAACTACAGCTAAGGTCAAGACAATAGCCCTGGGGCGGCTGGGTTCACGAATGTTTGAATATGTTTGGGTATTTAAAAAAATTCAACGGTGATAAATGGATTTGTTAGTGTGATAACTTATTCATAAATTGCAAATATGTTCATACTTCCCAGTATAGTAAATTATAAAACTCTTCTATTCTTGTGCCCTGTACTGTATGTTTCTAAGTTGCAAGAACCGAGGGACCGAGGGAAAAGGTGTGAAAAACTGCATGCAAATAGGGGCAGGTGACGGGACCTTACCACCACCAGCTGCTTCCCATTAGGTCGCCGCCACCCAATCCCGGCGCAGATGTGGACGCAGCCGCCGCTCCTTCCACTGCTCCAGGGGCGGCATGCAACAGATTCCCCTCTTCCGCGACGGCGTCCTTTTCGCTGCAGGGAAACGTTTGGCCATCCGAATTGTCCCTAAGGACCGGCGTGGGCATCTTGCTCGGGCAACACTTGATACTCCGAAAAATTAAGACCTCATTTGTGCCCAAGCGGCTGGCTGTCAATTTGTTTCAGCACGGAAATTTCAATACTTAAAACATTTTAAAAAAAATATTGCGAAAAGCTGCACAGCTGTGTGACCGTAGGCTGACCTTTAAAAAATACCAGCTTCTTGGAAGTGCAGTAAAAAAAATTCCGTTAAATCTTAATTATTAAAGCTCTACTCAAGTAATATAATATAATTTAGTTATTATTAGAATGGCTTGAAAACATGAAATTTAGCTTGCTTCAATTAAATAAAATTAAATATCGATACCTCTACTATCGATAATACGCGGCGCCAAGTTTAAAACACAAACAAATACTACACAGCCCTCGTCACTCACAAAAGTATTCGTCATTCATGATTTTTTTCAACAAAAGACAGCTTACCCATGCAAATTAACACGGCACGTGAAAACAATGTTTATTTTTAGCTAAATCTGTATACGTGAACGCTTAAAATCGCAAACATACGTGTTTGTGTTTATTTTTAAAACTCAAACATGAAAACAAAAGTAATAAAAACTGGTTATTATTTGAAATAATAATTAGGAGGTGAAAGGGTCATATTCAGCATTTAATTTTATTGAAGTTTTACTTGTTACTTATTTTCTTTCTATTTATAATTTGTGAAACTGATTATACTAATTATATCTTGGGACATAAAAAGCCTGATCTCTGCTTCCTGGTTTAGGGAACCCTACTTAGTCCAGTTCCTGCCTGGTACCCCTACGTCACACTCCCAAAATTCCCTTTATGGGATCTAGTCCCCCCTGCCTTACCCTTACTGGTGAGCGCTTTGGGCTGTATCCTTGCCCTCCGCAACGCCGTTATTCTGTGTTCTACCTCCACTGGCAAAACTTAAAGCTTAAAATTTTGGAGAAACCATGGTGCCACAGATTGTGCCATGTCGTGACTAATGAACTCACCGAAACTGTTTGCGTCTCTCGCTCAAATCCAGGACCCGCCTCAAGGGTCGCGGTGAGTTGCCCGGCGTTGTGGCGGCAGTGGCTCCACCATCGTTCTCCTCCTCTAGGGAGCTGGACACAGAATTGGCCACCATTTGGCGGGCCAGTTGCAGATCCTCGTCGCGCATCGTTTGGAGAGCTGTTGTGCTGAAGTGTTGATGATGTGCTAAAGCCGAGATTTGACGACGACCAGCAACCACGCTGTTCCGGTGTCGAGATCCAACTAAGTGACTGCTCATGCCTGGTTTTCCAAAATATATACAATGCATGCGCATATGTAATACTCGCCCGTCCGAGAGGAGAAGTTGTTGAATAGATATAGACGCTGCCCGTCGCCGCCGCCCCACTAGCACTCGCACTCGTACTTTGAATACATTAGGCGCCTCCCAATATTTACATTTCCAGAGCAGCCACTTTTTTTTTCGAGCGAGCGATCGAGCGATCTATATTTTGACGGCCCCCGGGGCGTGGCTGATCGATTTATTAGCTATGCGTGGATTAATTGCCGGCGGCAAGGTGTGGGAAGTAGAGCCTGGACCGCTGCTCTTAATAATATATGTCCGAAGGTAACGCTATGAAAATAGGCCTTTTGCATCCATAAATGCCGATTAGATCGTTTGATTTTCAAGTGGGCTTGGCCGATGTGGATCCATTTAAATATATATTCTAGATTGGCTTTTCGTTTGTCATTGAAACTGTGAAACTTTAATTTTAAATTGTATGTATTTTGTTGTTGTTGTATGTTTGCTTTGGTATATCCTTGTGCGAATCCTTTGTAAACTTTTGTAACTTGTGAAGCTTGTGACTTTTGGGTGTCGGAGGACTTCCGGGTTGCCAATTCACACCTCTTCTCGGTTTCCAGATATTTTAAACCTATAAAAAGTGCAAAGTTTTAAATGAATTTAAAATATTAAAAATAGTAGCAAAATTAATTAAAAATAGCAAAAAATTATTAATAAATATTGTTTCCGTCTTTTGAAATACTTTTATATATACAGAAATATAAAAAATATACAGAAATCTGATCAAATATAACGTTTATTTTTAGTTTTATCATTATCAATTATTTTTCTCTTTCTGATTATATTTGAATATTGAATTTAAATCGCACAACGTTTATTTCGACATTTGTGTCAAATATCGGTATAATATCGATTTTGAATACATTAAATATCGATATTTTTGCTTTTACAGTTCTGGTAACACTGGACAAAAATGAAACAAGTTGGCAGGCCTGCCTCTTGTTCCAGCGTGGTTGTGCAAAAAAATTTTGTTGAACCTAATTTCTAATTTTGAGTCGATAAATTCCCGTATACCGCCCGAAAATGCCCCCTAAAAAGGCACCGGCTGGTCCCAGCAAGAAGACCGAGCAGAAAAAGAAGGAGAAAGTCATTGAGGTAGGCTGGGCAAACCGGGAAGGCGGCAGTGTATCGGAATCCCGGCTGCCTCCACAGTATTCCTGTGATGTGGACAGACCGAAGACCGATCAGTGATAACTCAACATATATACTACAATACGTGTATGTATTTGCATCGGCAGGACAAGACCTTCGGACTGAAGAACAAGAAGGGCAACAAGCAGCAAAAGTTCATCCAGCAGGTGCAGAAGCAGGTACAGGCCGGCGGCCACCATCCGCGGCAGGATGGAGACAAGCGCAAGGAGGAGAAGGAAAAGAAGCTGGCCGACCAGCGTGAGATGGCCATGATCTTCAAGCCGGTGCAGACGCAGAAGGTGGAGAAGGGCACCGATCCGAAGTCGGTGGTGTGTGCCTTCTTCAAGCAGGGAATCTGCACCAAGGGCGACAAGTGCAAGTTCTCCCACGACCTGTCCCAGGAGAACAAGGTGGAGAAGCGCTCCATCTACGTGGACATGCGCGATGAAGAGGACTCGATGGCCAACTGGGACGATGCCAAGCTGAAGGAGGTGGTCGACAAGAAGAGCTCCGGCGAGAAGCAGCGCCCCACCACAGATATTGTGGGTTTCATTAAGTCGCTTTCCCTTGAAGTTCCTACTAAGGGTTCCCCTTTTATTCCAGATCTGCAAGTTCTTCTTGGAGGCCGTGGAGAAGTCCAAGTACGGCTGGTTTTGGGAGTGCCCCAACGGCGAGAAGTGCATTTACCGACATGCCCTGCCGCCGGGATATGTGCTGAAGCGTGACAAGAAGAAGGAGGACAAGCCCACGGAAATATCGCTGGTCGATCTGATCGAGAAGGAGCGCGCCGCCCTGGGACCCAATCAGACACGCGTAACACTCGAGTCCTTCCTGGCCTGGAAGAAGCGAAAGCTGTCGGAGAAGAAGGCCAAGCTGATCGCCGAAGAGGAGCGCAAGAAGAATGACTTTAGCAAGGGCAAACAGTTTGGCATTTCGGGTCGCGAGATGTTCAGCTTCAATCCCGACCTGGTCGACGACGGACCAATGGAAGATGGCGACGCTGCCTTCGACATTTACAAGCGCGAAGACGACGACGATGACAATGCCGTGGAATTCAAGGAACTCGACCTGGCCGCCCTCTCGTTGGCTGCCAAGGAGGTGGACGGCTCCGGAACCATTGCATCCACCACCCGGCTATTAGACCAGGCCACAGAAGCAGCCAAAACTGCCGCTGCCGAGGAGGCAGCGGCTGACGATGGTCCCTCATCGTCTGAACCCGCCAACGATGCTGCACCCATCAACAAGGATCTCTTTGTTGATCTAGCCGGCGAACTGGATGACCTGGATCTGGAGGATGAAGATGATGATTAGTCCCTTGTGTAGTTTGTTCTAAATGAGTTCATGAAATGATTTCTGCCTTTTAGCTACTTATCAATCAATAAAGTTGTGGCTTTTAATTGTTGCATTTTTGGAAATCGCCTTAATTTTTAATTTAATATTTTCTTTCGTTTTAAAAATTACCAAAAACCTGGCGGCAAAACTCCCACCGCCTGGGGTATCTGGCGCTCGCGCAGAAACTTGGCCAGAAGCATCTCTAGCCGTGTCTTCGGCCCGCCCTCATCGTACACCGCCAGCTGGGGCAAGTAATGGTTCTGGATGAAGAGGAGCAGCTTCACAAACTGCTTGCCATAGGTGCGCCAGAGCTCGAAGCCGAGCGTCTGAAGAATCTCCATGATCAGCGTGGCACTGACGTCGGGCAGTGGCTTAACATGCACCACATGGGCCAGCCAGCGCCAGCCCTCCTCCAGTCCAAAGCAGTGCTCGGGGCCATCGGCCTTGCGTCCTGGCGTAATAATGACAGCGGCATAGAGGCGGGCAATTCCCGTTTGACGCTTTAAGTAGTTATCGGGTTTCTCCAGTTCATTGTTGTCCGACAGACGGTAGCCAATTGTCTTGAGGTATGCCTCCGGAGTCTGTCCCGGCTGCTGGGGAATCACATAGGGCACCAGGAACGGCGACTCCTTGTACAGGTAGGCCAGAAATACTTTCCCAAAGTCGGGCATCAGCTTCCAAAAGGTGGCAATCACCGAAGCGAAGGGGAACGCAGCCTGTGGGTTGCTCGAAATCGCGGTCTCCGTTTGACTGACGAACTTCTTGGCCATCAGCAGCAAGCAGTAGTCGCGGGCCAACGGATGGTCGTTGATTGTTATGGAGGTTCCATTAAGCACCTTGACGGGCTGTCCCGCAAAAAAGTTGTATAGTTTTTCAAAGCTGCTGGACAAATGCTGCGGGCTGACCGCCGAAATGGCGTTCAGGGGCAGATTGATGGCTCTCTGGCAGCCGGTGCGGTATTGCTTCAGTGACTCCTCCGTCTGAAGAGGCTTAACAGAGTCCACCTTACCCTGGTACAGGGCAATAACCTCGTTGTAGAACTGCAGGCGGTCTGGGTGGACGTTTGTCGTTGTTGTACTTTCTGGCGGAGCAGCTGGAAGAGCGTCTGCAGTGGCAGGAGCAGGAGCTGTCGCTGGAGCAGGGGGGTGGGGCAAGCTTTTCCTTGGCTGCCTCAGCTTGCTTTTGGCGTGCCTCCATCTCTTCCTTTTCCTGCTGCTGACGGCGCTTCTCCTCCTCCAGCTGCTGCTGCTGCTGCTGCTCCTCCTCCAGCTTCTTAGCTGCCTCCAGCTTTAGCTGCTGCTGAATTAGCTGCGAGAATTCCGCCAGCTGCTGGATGATGTCTTGCTCAACTTGTTGCAGGCTCTTGCAGAACTGCTCCGCTTTGATGAGGGAGCGAAGGAACTCACTCTGCTCCATTTTACCGGCTGCTACACTGCTAACCAGCTGATCGAACTGCTGCCCCAGCTCCTTGAGCTGTTTGTTGTGCTCGGAGCACACCTGCACTGTCTCCCTGTCCAGAGAGAGGAGCAGCTTGGCGATGCCCTCATATTTTTTCCTGAAACGTTGCTGGCAACGAGACACTCCCTCCACCGCCAGCTTGTGCAGCTTGCTGTCCGTCTTATAGCGCATTTCCAGTTGCTCCCGCTGCTGTGCCTCCAGCTGCGTCCTGGTCAGTTTCTCCGCCTCCTCGACAAGTAGATTGTTCCTTTGCTCTCGCAAGGCCTTCTGGTCTAGCTGTTCGCTGCGGCGCTTCTCCTCCTCCCGCTGCAGGGACTCGCATTTCAGCCGAAAGGCTTCCTGACGCTCTTTGAGCGCATGCAGCTGCTGGCGAACGCTCTTCTTTGCTTCTTCCGCCAGCTCCCGCCTAACAATGCTGGCATTAATGGCGTCCGCGTCGGGAAAGCAGGGTGCACTGGGCTCGGTGTCGATTCGCACTGGGATTAGCGGCATGCTCCTCTCCAGCTTTACAATTGGTTCTTTAGTTTCCTGTGGAATCGGGGTTTTGCCCGCCTCCCACAGCGGAGCCCGATCCTCGCCGAGAGTGCGTCCCGTGCAGGCTGTGGAGACGAGAGCCGCGTGTTGCAGCACCGTTTCCATGTTCAGGCGGTCGTCCACGCTCTGAAATGTCAATGGAATGTAAGAAATATATAAATTGCAAACATTTTATTACCATTTAACTGTTTGTAATAAATAAATATAAAAAATAACAATGTTAAAGCGAGGCTAGATCTAGTGATGGAACTATCGGTATCAGCAAATGGCTTGGAACTATCGCGTGTGGCGCGTATTATTGATCGTGAATAGAAAATAATCGTTATTTTTTTCAATTCACTTTGAAGAACACTTAGAACACTTATTAAAAAAACAATTTTACAAGCCATTTAGTGTGTTTTAATAATATACCGAAGCATAATTCCCAGTGATGCACAAAACATAGTAACGAAGACAAGCATGTGGACAGTAAATAGTTAGAAAAACTTGACGCCGTGGCTTCCATCCATCTCGATCAGCTCACAGCGGCCCTTCTCCTCCAGCAATCGCAGTGCACTCAGCAACACCGCCTCATCCACACCATGGAAATCCAGCTGGCTGGTGTTCTCCCCGGAGGCAATCTCGTACAGCGTGCAGATGGTGTTTGTCTGGCCCGTCTCCTGCACCCAGTCGTACACCATGTTGCCGTACTCCTCGAGGGTGTGCCAGTACACCTGCCACTCCTGGCGCCGCTTGTCCAGCGGATTGGCATGACCACTTCGCTCTAGCTCCCCCAGGATTGCCAGGACGAGCTCCGGCGACAGGCGGCGGTTGAGGGATTCGTTGTGGAACAGCGGCGAGGCCTGATCGTTGATGCTCAGCGAATACCTATTCGTGTGCTTGAGGTATTTGAGAAAGAGGTCCGTCCAGACCTTCAGCTGGCGCCGCCGGGTTTCTTCGTGGGGCTGTAAACTAAAGTCGAGGATTAGCCAGGCGCCTGGCTCGTTTAAGTAGATACTTACGTGAAGAAGGGTGGGAAGGTGTACTCCCAGGGCCACTGGAAATCAGTCATTTTGATCAACTATTCGTAGCAAACATTTGTTTTGGATATTACTAATGCATTAGAGTGGCCGTACGCTGTTCGGAAAGAAATACCAAACCAGAGGTGGACAACTATCGATGGCACTATCGACACTATAGATGGTTTGAGAAAAATAATCGCTCGCTATCGATGGCGCCGACTATTCATAGCTCTCCACCTCTAATGCGCCATTGGACAATTCAAAAAGACAAGTCTCTTATCTTTATTAGGGGGAAACCCGGCAACTTCTCCTTGAACTTAAGCACAATTTCGTAGAATCCACAAAGCTACTCCACGGATTTCCACGAAATTGAGTAGCTAATTACTTGTATAATTCATTTGTTCTAAAACTGCCCATTACCATTTTCCTGGAATCCTCTAGTATAATCTATAAGGTATACATATATAATACAACTGATAACTTATGACATACCCAGCAGACAAAAACGTTCGTTTATGATATTGAAAACGATAATTAAGTTAATTATAATTTATAGTTATCATTTTCCGAATCCGAATAAGATTTCCATTGCAAACCTTTTACATCATTAGGGGGTATAATCCTGAGAAATTGCGATACCCCTCCGCTATTCGTCCGTTTGCGAACCGTTTTTGAGCATTTAGCGAAACTAATACCGAAAGTCTGATTCTTTGTCCCCTATTTAATATTGTTAGCCGACATTTTTTGGATCCACCCGTTTATGTCCGCTACTTTGTCTGCTTGTTAATAAAAAGTAAATTATACATAAACGACATTAAGCTTTACATTTTTTTTACAAAAATACATATGTACATATATATGCATATGTATCTATGTACATATGTCTGTACAAATATATTTTTCTTCAAGATCCATTTGAAATACAAAATGTAAATGTGTGTTATACGAATTATGGCTCAATGTTCTGAGTTATCCAGGGCAAGAACCAGATCACATCCGTGTATACAGCTGTACTTTCAGATCCGCACCTTTGTGGTCCATAGCTCACGATGCCCATCTGGACGAAGCGTTGCAGCCCTTTGTATATATAAGGAAATGAAAGCGGTCCCCCAGAGTCGCCACGGCAGCTATCTGTGCCGGAGGAGTTGAAACACAACTGGTTCTCCAAGAGCTCCACATGTCGACCCGTGCGGCACTTGGAGGGATGCAGACGACTTATAGGTGCCTCGTTGGGCACGTCGGAGAAGTCCCTGTTGTTATAAATCCCCCAGCCGGTCACTTGTTGGACACTGCGCCTCAAGATGCTACCCTGCACGTCCTCGTACAGAGGCAGGCAGATGGTCTTGACGTTTCCTGCGAGACAACAATCTTTAGAAGACGTCACCGCATAAAGATGAAAACTCACTCGTGATCTCAGCAGGTCTCTCCAGCCGAATTAACGCAATGTCGTAGATGATTTTCAAAACGTTAAAGTTCGCGTGAACAATGGTCTTTTCAATACCAATATTTTGGGGAGACGGCATGCAGAGGACTTGAGAGCCAAAATTCCGACAATCTTCTTCGGAAGAGATGCTGTGCTCCCCCAAACGAACGGATATCCTGGAAGTGTTTTTGAAAATCAGCCAAATATATAATTTAATTATGTTTTCAATCAATATTACTTACAACTTTTTATTTATGCAATGGGCCGCGGTCAAGAGGTAGCCTGTTCCAAGTGAAGAAGTTGCTGATTGATTAAATCTCGAACACAGCATCTGTGAGATACTCACGCGGTGTTATCAAGGTGGCACCACACTGGAACCTAAACATCGGATCGTCATATTCCAGCAAGGCCATCCAAGGACGCGTTCCCATGTTAATCTCCTGACCACCGAACACCAAATCCTGGGTATAATCTCCGCATTCCTGCTCACTCTGCTTTAGCAGCTCCAATCCGGAATCGTTGACTAAATCTTCGCAGCACACAGCCTACGAAGAGGAAAAGGTGTTACTCTGTCCAAAAGTTGTGGATTGACTCACTCTTTTAAAGTTTTCACGTCGGGAATTTAGCGTGATGTTCTGTTCCCTGGGGGTGAGCTGCCTCTTCGCCTTAATCTTAGCCACTATATCCATCATGTACGCACATTTAGTGACATGAATGATTCTTCCCGGCTTCCGCTCGAACGTGGTGCAGTACTCGACAGGCTCTTCCTCCATTCGGTTTCCAGATGGATTTGCTAGAGCGAACTCCCAGCCCACAATCAGACAAAATGCCAGGAATAGCAGTCTTAGGCCCTTCATTTCGACAGAAAGTTCAGATCGCAACTGAGAAGTCGTATAACTCGGATCAAAATTAAAGCTGTACCGTCGGTCCAGGCATCATTGATAAGCAGCCTGACCAAAAGAAATTAATAAATAATAAACTCTTGGAAATATTTTATAAATGAACAAAGTTGATAACATAATGAGCAAATAAAAAAAAAGTAATGTATATACAAATGAACAAGAAAGGAAGCTCACTTCGGTACGCCGAAGTCTGTATACCTTTGCAGTTTTCAATTGGATCATTAAGAATATATATTTCTAAATAAAATAATAATTTAGTTTTTAACCATTTTTAAAAACATTATTTTTAAATCGTATAAAATAAATGTGTTTTCGATATAAATTTTTTAATATAATATAAATTAAAAATATGCTAAAAAATAAAATAATCACTTTTAACAAACTTTTATTACCTTACGTATTATATATTGTATTTACAGTTTTACATCCTCACCTTTAGAGTTTTCTTTATGAACCGATCGTACCTATGGCAGCCATGGCTATGATATTTTCGAAAATTAAATTCCAAACTCCAAAACAATTCAAAAGGTTCATGTCTCAAAGTTCTAATTTCTTGTATACAAATTTTCCAATCTTTTCAATGGCAGCTATATTATATAGAAGGGACTAATGTGCTAGATCGACTCGACTGTTGCTGCATAAATTATAATACCCCGCAAGGCTATAAAAATTGCACAATCAATTACCAAAAATGTTAAACAACATAATAAAAAAAATAATAATAATACTAAACATAATTCAAACTTTCCCCCGGCAGTTGTACACTGGTTTAGTCTAGTTTTCCACTGGTAAGGCATTCAAATTATCTTCTTCATCATACCGCTCCCATTTGATTTCAAACATTCAAATATTTATGCATTATAAACCCACAAATTTATTTCTGTGTTCGCCACCTGACCACTATGATTCAATGTTCTGAGTTATCCAGGGCAGGAACCACATCACATCCGTGTACACAGCTGTACCTTCAGATCCACACTCCTGTGGTCCATAGCTCACGATGCCCATCTGGACGAAGCGTTGCAGCCCTTTGTATATATAAGGAAATGAAAGCGGTCCCCCAGAGTCGCCACGGCAGCTATCTTTGCCGGAGGAGTTGAAACACAACTGGTTCTCTAAGAGCACCACATGTCGACCCGTGCGGCACTCGGAGGGATGCAGACGACTTATAGGTGCCTCGATGGGAACATCGGAGTAGTCCCTGTTGTTATAAATCCCCCAGCCGGTCACTAGCTGAACACTGCGCCCCAAGATGCTACCCTGCACGTCCTCGTACAGAGGCAGGCAGATGGTCTTGACGTTTCCTGCGAGACAACAATCTTTAGAAGACGTCACCGCATAAAGATGAAAACTCACTCGTGATCTCAGCAGGTCTCTCCAGCCGAATTAACGCAATGTCGTAGATGATCTTCTCCTTGTTAAAGTTCGCGTGAACAATGGTCTTTTCAATACCAATATCTTGGGGAGACGGCATGCAGAGGACTTGAGAGCCAAAAGCCCGACAATCTTTGTCGGAAGAGATCCTGTGCTCCCCCAAACGAACGGATATCCTGGAAATGTTTTTAAAAATCAGCCAAATATATAATTTAATTATATTTTCGATCAATATTACTTACATATCATCATTTATGCAATGGGCTGCGGTCAAGATGTATCCTGTTCCAAGTGAAGAAGTAGCTGATTGATTAAATCTCGAACACAGCATCTGTGAGATACTCACGCGGTGTTATCAAGGTGGCACCACACTGGAACCTAAACATCGGATCGTCATATTCCAGCAAGGCCATCCAAGGACGCGTTCCCATTTCAACCTCGATGCCATTTGAAACCAAATCCTGGCTATAATCTCCGCATTCCTGCTCACTCTGCTTTAGCAGCTCCAATCCGGAATCGTTGACTAAATCTTCGCAGCACACAGCCTACGAAGAGAAGAAGGTGTCACTCTGTCCAAAAGTTGTGGAATGACTTACTTTTTTAAAGTTTTCACGTCGGGAATATAGCGTGATGTTCTGTTCCCTGGGGGTGAGCTGCCGCTTCGCCTTAATCTTAGCCACTATATCCATCATGTACGCACATTTAGTGACATGAATGATTCTTCCCGGCTTCTCCTCGAACGTGGTGCAGTACTCAACAGGCTCTTCCTCTATTCGGTTCCCAGATGGATTTGCTAGACCGAACTCCCAGCACACAATCAGACAAAATGCCAGGAATAGCAGTCTTAGGCCCTTCATTTCGACAGAAAGTTCAGATTGCAACTGAGAAGTCGTATAACTCGGATCATTATGAAAGCTGTACCGTCGGTCCAGGCATCATTGATAAGCAGTCTGACCAAAAGAAATTAATAAATAATAATCTCTTGGAAATATTTTATAAATGAACAAAGTTGATAACATGATGAGCAAATAAAAACAAAAAAACAAGAAAGAAAGCTAACTTTGGCCATCCAAAGTTTGTATACCCTTGCAGGTAACAATTGAAATATATCATAACTAAACCAAAAATGCATTAATTTCGATTCGGAAAGCAGTTTTGTGTTACTTTTTATTAATTTAAAAAGCTGCATACCAAATTTAAAATTTTAAGAAATCAAAATTTTTGGCCATTTTTGCTAATTTTAATGATGTAACCCCTTATAAAATGTTGCAAAAATGGCCAAAAAATCGATTTCTTCCGGACGTGTCTAGAAAGATTCGCATGTTAATGCTGATCAAGAATATATATGGTTTATGGGGTCGGAAATGATTCCTTGACTTAGACAAATATTATTTTGTATTTATAAATCGGATTTTTTTATATTAAAAAATTTCTTGATTTTTTTTTAAATTAAAAATATCATAACTCGGCCAAAAGAGCATTAATTTTAAATCGGAAAACTGTTCTGTGCAAGATTTTCTACAGTTAATAAATCTGCATACTTCATTTAAAAATTTTGAAAATTCATTTTTTTATCAAAATCAAAAATTTTAATGATGTAACCCCTTATAAAATTTTGCAAAAATGGCAAAAAAATCGATTTCTTCCGGACATACCTAGAAAGATTCCCCTGTTGATGCTGATCAAGAATATATATACTTTATAGGGTCGGAAACGTCTCTTTCACTGCGTTGCAAACTTCTGACTGAAATTATAATAGCCTGCAAGGGTATAAAAAAGGTTATGTATGTACAAATGAACAAGAAGAGAAGCTAACTTCGGCACGCTGAAGTCTGTATACCTTTGCAGTTTTCAATTGGATCATTAAGAATATATATTTCTACATAAAATAATAATTTGGTTTTGAAAAATTTTTTAAATCAATTTTTTTAAATCGTATATTTAAAATTTATGCTAAAAAACCAACATAGTAATATCACTTTTAACAAACTATTATTATCTTAAGTATTACATGTTGTATTTACAGTTTAACATTCTCACCTTTAGAGTTTTCTTTATCGACCGATCGTTCCGATATGATACAGTCGTCCGATTAAAAAAAAAATTAAAACCGAAACTCCAAAACAATTCAAAATTGTCTTGCCTCAAAGTAGATGAAAATATATTGGAAAACAGCAAAGTTCTAATTGTTTGTATACAAATTTTCCAATCTTTTCTATGGCAACTATATGATATAGTCGTTCGAATCGTCCTGTTCCGACACATAAATATAGTAGTGAGAATAGTCAGAAGACATTCTGCAAATATTCCTTCAGATAGCTTCAAAACGAAGGGACTAATGTGCTAGATCGACTCGGCTGTTGCTGCATAAGTTATAAAACCCCACAAGGCTATAAAAATTGAAAGACCAATTACCAAAAAGGTAAACAACATAATAACAAAATAAATAAATAATAATAAACATACTAAAAAATTCAAACTTTCCTCAGGCAATTGTACACTGGTTTAGTCTAGTTTTCCACTGGTAAGGCATTCAAATTATCTTCTTCATCACACCGCTCCCTTTTGAATTCAAACATTCAAATATTTATGCATTATAAACCCACAAATTTATTTCTGCGTTCGCCAGCTGGCCACTATGATTCAATGTTCTAAGTTATCCAGGGCAGGAACCACATCACATCCGTGTATACAGCTCTCTGTCCAGATCCACACCTCCGTGGTCCATAGCTAGCGATGCCCATCTGGACGAACCGTTGCAACCCTTTGCACTAATAAAGATTTGAAAGCGGTCCGCCAGAGTCGCCAATGCAGCTATCTACGCTGCTTTAGCAGCTCCAATCCGGAATCGTTGACTAAATCTTCGCAGCACACAGCCTACGACGAAGAGGAAAATGTGTTACTGTGTCAAAGAGTTGAGGATTGACTCACTCTATTAAAGTTGTCACGTCGGGAATTTAGCGTGATGTTCTGTTCCCTGGCGGTGAGCTGCTGCTTCGCCTTAATCTTAGCCACTATATCCATCATGTACGCACATCTAGTGACATGAATGATTCTTCCCGGCTTCTCCTCGAACGTGGTGCAGTACTCGACAGGCTCTTCCTCCATTCGGTTCCCAGATGGATTTGCCAGACCGAGCTCCAAGCCCATGATCAGACAAAGTGCCAGGAATAGCAGTCGTAGTCCCTTCATTCTTTCAGAAAGTTCAGATCGTAACTGAAGCTTAGCTTTGCGTCCAGACACTATTTATAACGCCTCCGCGGCTTAAGAGCAAGGAATCATTGAGCGATAAAAGCTTAATAAATTCGTGGAAATATTTTCAAAAGGATCGCAGCTGGTTATAATGACCAAAAAATAAATAATTAAAGGTGTCGAAGATCAATACCATTTAAAATTTAGGTCTTAGAGCAAAAAAAAACATTGAGCGTTGGAATTCGTGGAAATATTTTTTAAAGAACACAGATAATATACATATAATCAATAAAAAACAACAAACTAATAAAAAATTCAAAGAGCAATCACATTTTACAATCAACCCGAGAACCCTCCTTTCTGAAATGGCCTTCCGTCCATGTCAAACCCATTAAAACACACTTGAGTTTCATTTACATTAAAATGCAATCCATTTCTTGTAATTTGTCTTAAATAGAAAAAACTGTGTACATTAACATTTTCATCGGGCTTTTCCATATAGTTTGAGATTTGTTGGGTGACTTGATTTCGGTTTATTTGTGGTTCCAATCCGATCCAATTCGGTGAATGAGGAGCGGAAGGGGCTTCCAGTGGCTGTCTTGCGGCATCAATATACATTCACATACATATATGCTAGTATCTGATATATATCTGGTTTAATATAAGTAAAGTACTAGGAGGCGCAACACTATACATTCAAGATCTGCTATTTCGTATTCCTTCTCCACACACCAATGCGTGCAGAGGAGGGCTTCCAATCCATTTTTACACTAATTTTTGTGTTTATTTTAATGCTGCTGGTGCTTAATTACTAACTATATCCTTTGGGTGCATATCGATTTTAGTTTCGGCTGGTTAGTCAGTCAAGTTATACTTGCTGGGGGGGTCTCCTAGGAGCTGACTTGGGTTAAACCAAAGACCTTTACAATAACAAGATGCATTACGTCCATATATTTTAATTGTGAAATACAAGAAATATTTCTCACCATCTAAAATCTAGAACTATAAATCGCTTCCAAGTATGACATAGATCTAGAATGCTGTAGAGCAACTGACTCTAAATAGCTCTCTTGCTGCAATTTTTTAGCCAAAGTTTAAGAGATCCTTAAGACAGCTCAAAATATTTTAGTCCAACAAAAATTGTATGGCGTTACTCATCTTGTTAGTTTACAAAGTCTTTGGTTGGACTGTGTATGTAAGACATGTAGTATAAATGGTAATCATCTTCTGGTTTTGCACTTTATTTTTTATTTGGTTTTTGTACACATGCGTGAAATTCTAGAGAGAATGCCATACGGGGGTTAGGGCAAGGTGTGACTTGATAGTACAGTTGAGTGTGTTGTTAGCTGGCTAGTGTTGTTCTTTAAGAGTTTACAGTTAGTTCCTAGTTAACAAGTGAGGTTCGGTTGAAATCTTTCATTAATATATAGGTATTTTTTCCGTAGGTATGCAGCTCTATCGTTTGGTGCCTGCCATGCAATTTCCAAGACATTTACATAGCTTTAAATTGATTAATTCTTTCGTTATATCCATATAAATAATAAAGCATTCCAATCAGTATAATCAGTATCTTCAAAAAATAGAATATTAATGCCCCTATATATGTGTGTGTGTGTGCTTAAAGCATCAATATTGATGAAAATGTACACTTCAAATGCCTCGCTCTGGTTCGCTTACAAAACATAAAAGAAATGCAATATTAACCACATATTGGCCTCCCCTTGAAAGCATGGTCTTTACACATGCCTCTTAGTCAGTTTCAGTTGGAAGGAATATTTGGTTCAGAGGTGTGTGTGTAAATCGGCAGTTGGATAGCAAAAACAAGATTACAAAAAATATCGACTTCTCTTTTGGTTTATGAAACACGAAACAAATCTTAAGCTTTATCTTACGAGCGTAATCAGCGAAAATCAAAAACAATTGATTCCTTACACAATACATAAAACATAATTCGCCTGCATTCCATATACATATATATATATATCCATCATGTACATACAGTTCTCGCATTTATCTTAAACATATACACTCAAATATATAGCATATATACTTGATTCTTGCTTGTTCTTTAAATTATTATTAAGTTTTTAAAAATGGCATGTGGTGACATGTATTACAATACACATTATACATATATATGGTACATACATTTATATTTAATATCGATTTCCAAGTTGGTATAAAATAATGCATGCAAGTCGAGCGAAGGACCCGATCGCACATCCCTCATATTTTGGTTAAGCTTCCACTGCTCTCACTTTGTTCCAGGTTGGTGTTGGTTTGCTTTTGGGTGGGTGAACAAAAAAAGAGCGAGTGAACATGTTCATTCCAATTGGACTTTTTCCTTTTGCTCAAGGAAATATGATCTCCCAAGAAGCATCCTTCGGTCATCCTTCCTCAGTGTGTCCTAGGTTTAAGTTATTACATATACATTCATGGGGTTTTGGGATTCTCGAATCACTGCACGTATAGCATGACAGCATGTTGTTTCACACAATGCTCCATATTTCGACTAACGACTAATACTAGGTATATATAGCTAGAGATCCTAAGCTACAATTTTTGCCTAAGACTGTTCCGGGGGTGTATTATGTTAAGCGGGCGCCTCACTTGGCCAGTGGCTCCAGATAACACCGGACCGTGTTGTTCTCGTCCAGCATGGCCGACAGGTGGCGCTGCTGATGGTGCGGGGGATGCTGATGCTGATGCGAATGGGATAGTGGATGCGGGGTGCTGTGTGATGTATGCGACGACGATGATGTGGTGGACTGCGGTGACAGTTTCTGTAGCTGCTGACGCTTCTGCGCGGGCGTTTGATTGGCCGGAGGCAGCGGGGGTCCGGCATTGACCTGACCGAATAGCTCATTCACCGCCAGACGGGCGCCTGGCGATTTGGCATTCTGCTGTTGTTGTTGTTGTTGCTGCTGCTGCTGCCGGAATGCGCCACGCATGGAGCCCTCACCAACGCCGCCGCTAACCCCAAAAACCGCACCGTTGTGCTCGGGGTGTGGCGCTGATCCCGGTGGCATGGCCCCATAATCAATGGGCGCTCCACGCTTGCGCTGTTCACTTCTGACGGGGGAAATGCAATATTACAAAAACAAATCTTTGGATGACAAAGCCATTAACTACTTACTGAAACCGCCGCTTGAACTCCTCGTCCTGTATCGCCATCAACCGTTCCATACGCTCAACGCTCTGGGGTGGCAATCCATGGGGATCGTCCTCCAAATCGCTTTCTTCCTCCTCATCATCATCACAGTATCTGCCGTGCAACTGCTCTGCAGCAGTAGCCTCCTCATCCTCCTCCTCGTCGTCGTCGTCATCATCATCATCGTCAGCCGTGCAGCGACGACCCAATCTCTGCTGCGCCAGCGACTGTTGTTGCTGCTGCTGCTGCTGCAGATGCTTCTGCAACTGTTGCTGCTGTTGGCTCCTGGATGAGACACTGCCACCGCTTAGGCTGCCGCCGCCGTAGCGACTTCCGCCAGCGGCCACTGCCGCTCGCATATTGTTAAAGACGCCTGTGCCAACGCTGTTGTTGTACACCTCGTCCACATCAAAGTCCCCCACCTCGTAGTGCTGCACATCCGAGTTGCGGTTGCTGAGGATCTCCTCGTACACCGGCCCGGCATCTGCGCCGCCGACGCTGCCCTGGTTGTAGTAGGCATCGTTCATGCCCAGATCACAGTTGGAATGCTTATTTCTAAGCTGGCGCTGCATGAACTCCAGCTGGTACTGCGCCATGTGCGGCGGCGGAGCGGGTAGCTGTTGCTGGCTACCAGCGCGTCGCTGCTGCTGCAGCTGCTGTTGTTGTTGCTGGTTTTGCAAATGCAACAGGTGTGCATGCTGCTCGCTCTGTTCCTCGTCCGAGGACAATTGCTGCTGCTGCTGCTGCTGTTGACGACGCATTTGTTGCTGCTGCTGATAGTAGGCAGCCGCATTGCCAATGGTTTGAGGGGGATCCAGGGCTTCCGCATAATGCGGATAGCCGGGCTTGGTCTTTTTATACGAGGGATAGAACACCTGGGAGACGGCAGCGTTGCGGCTGTGCAGGGATCCGCTGGGGGAGGCGGGCACTCCGCCGGCACCGCGCTTCTTTTTACCATGCTGGCTGTTTGGCTTCTGGGTCCAGTAGAACACTTCGTGCGCCTGTTGCGGCGACAAGGCGGCTGCCCCAGCATTGTTGAAGTACTCGCGCTGGGCCTTTAATGCTGCCGTGCCGGCTGGAGGCTGTTTCAGGCTGTAGTAGTCCGGCTGGTGGTAATAGGACTCGCCCAGGGGCTGCTGCTGCTGCTTGTGGGCAAAGATGTGATGGGTGGACCCCGCCGAGCTGGTGGGCGAGGCGTGTCCGGTGGAGCGCAGTGTGCTGTTTCTTTCCAACACCACTTGGTTTCCCAGTGGCTGGGCAGGTGCCTGCAAAGTGCCAGTCATCAGGCCGCTCTTCAGCGTTCTCCTCTGTTGGGCTTCGTTCAGTTCGGTGTCGGAGCTAGCTCCTATTATGATATCCTCGGTGGCGGTCACACCCGCTGGCGTCATCTGTTCATCATGATGTCCCTCTTCACCCATCGCACCTATGGGAAGCTTGGGCTTTTTGGCAGTTGAGACACTGCACAGAGTTCCGGCAGTTGGTCCGCCGCCACCCGCCACTATGCCCGAGGAAATTGAGGTCTTCGAGCAGCGCAGGCACTTGGGCAGCCAGGCATGCTGCCGCACATACTTGCGATACTCGCGCCGTATCTTCTCGTTCTGGATGCAATGGAACACAAAGATGTAGAGCCCCAGCAGGGTGTTGAAGCAGATGAAGCAGTAGCCATGCACATCGGCCGTGTCCTCGTCCATCTTGGCTCCACGCAGGTAGAAATAGGCGGAGCACCAAACGGCACTGAGTAGCAGCAGGAACACAAAGGAGCAGCGGATGTCGAAGCTAAGGAAGGAAGAAATAAAAACTTACGATGAGCAAATAAGACTTATGACTTATGGCAAGCAGACATACCGAACGCTGGCCAGGCGAGTGTGCTCCTTGGTCTTCAGGCCTGTGCGACTCTTGCGGCACATGATGATCCAGGACAGGAATGTATAGCCAATGGCAGCCTAAAGTAAGTATAAACACATTCCCATTCAGAGCCGAACTAAATTTTGTAACCAACCTGAGCACTTACCACAAAAAAGATGAGCACCGGGGCCACAAAGGTGGCATAAAACAAGGCATTCGCCTCCATCAGAACGCAGTAGTCGCTCTGTGTATAGGTGCTGGGATTGATGACCACCGAGACGGCTACCACAGTCAATGACAGGCCATAGGAGAAGAGGTAATAGCAATTGACCTTGGGCGTCTGATCCACCTCCAGCAGAAGCTCATCAGAGGTGAGGATAGAGTACGAATGGAAGGCTGGACGGAGGAATAAGTTAGCGCTGCAAATTGAAAATCCGAATCGGGGGACATCTTACCTTCGTAGCAGAACCAGGCAGTGCCGGATAGGATGGCACAGTGGAGGAAACAGGTTATGAAGCCGCAAAATGTGCTTGTTTCGGTCTGTTCAATGCCCAGAAGAAAGAGCAGCTCGATGGCCAGCAGGCAGAGGTAGATACTGGTATATATCGAGGTTCGGGCAGACTGGTTGGAAGAGATATAGGTAAAGGGAGAGGGAGAAATAGAGCGAGAGTTGGGATAAATGTCAGAGTTCAGTATATGGTGACTTGTAGGAGGCGAGGCAACCAGCAGTAAGGCGATCAAGGAACGTCATTTTAACCGCAAATTTATGTTGCTTTTAAACTGAATAAACTCGTCCGAAATAATACCCTTAGAAATTGGAGAGTTTATATCAAACATTTCCCTAAAGTTCAGTCCAAAGAAAAGGAAATGAAAATCATGAAAGCCGCCATTCCAGCAGCTCTTTCCCAAAGATAGTTTTAAATTTTGTTAGGCAAACTTAATGTAGAATTTGATTTACAATAATTTTGGTGGGTGGTGGTGAAAGAATCGGAAAAACTACGTAATCAATATTGAATATTAACTAAGAACAATAAACAAGACACGAAACAAGCGCAACGTAAGGCAACAATATATATACAAATGAAATGAACAAACACAAAATGCACAATATTTACAGGACATGGTTAGCAACATTTGTAGATTTTATTATATTAATTAAATACAAAAGGAAATCAAAAGTGTTTTAATGTATTTTCTAAATTAAATTTGTTAAACAATGAATGCACATCGAATCGGGGGGGTTAGGTTCTATTGCAAAAACATGCCAGAATAACGATGAACGATGAACGAAAAGGGGATAAAAGTGAGCTAAACTTAGACTATGACAAATAACTACGATACATAAATATATAAAGATACATATATAACCGAAGAGTCTTTGCGGAGGCAACCGAGATATATCCATCGCTCTTCCCGTTGCAGCCCTCGAGTCTTATGTCTGAATCCTATTACTAAAAGAGAGCAGTTCCATTAACAATTTGAGTTACTTAAGCATTATATCACATGGGTCTCTTCTGATCATAAATACACAAGTCTATGTGGAGAGCCTAGCCTAGCCTAAAGTTCGTGTTTGTTTTTCTGTTATTTCACCACCACCACCACTTATATTGTAAGTCATCCATGTTCGCCTGCATGATGATGTTGTTGGTGTTGGTATCCAGGTTGGGATTGTGATGCGGATGCTGCAACTGCTGCTGCTGCTGCTGGTAGTTGTGACTGATGTTGAGGTTGTTGCTGGCGTGCTGCTGGAGGGCAGCAGCAATTGAGGCAGCAGCAGCTGCCGCCGCCGCCGTTTGCTGACCATGCTGATGCAGATTCAAATTCAGATTGTTCATGGCATGCTGCATGTTGCGTTGCGGCTGATTTGATAAAACCACAGCAGCTGCAGCTGCTGCAACTACTTGTTGCTGCTGCTGCTGTTGTTGCTGCTGCTGCACATTGTAGTTCAGATTGTTGCGATGCGAGTTGCGTATGGAATTGTGCTGGATAAAGTTCGTATTACCGTGACTGGGGCCCGACATAGTGGTCTGGCTGCTGGGAGCGGTCAGGGTCAGGGACTCATGGGTCTGGTCGCGTATATTGTTCTGCTGGCGCCTGCTGCTGCCCGCCCGCTGATGGGGCAGCGACCCGGTGGTGTTTCTTACCTTCACAAAGACCCCATTGAACAGCTTAAGCGTGAGCAAGGCAATCACTATGAACACCACGCAGATGGCTATGCTGATGTAGATGAATATCCTCATATTTCCGTCAAACATGGTGAACAGCGAATGCTGGTGCTCGTCTACCACGTCCATGAGGATGGCAAAGTTGGTCAGATGATTGCAACTGCACACGCTGTGCGTCCGGTTCGTGGACTCCAGGCTGCAGCCATTGGCAGACCAGGCACTGAAACGATTTCAAAAATTGAAGAAAAATCATGGCAAAAGGAGGTTATGTTTCCGCCATACTGGTCAATGTAGTTCCAAAACACGCAAGTGGGATTCGTCACATTCTCCGTCTTCAGATGCTGCAGCGTCAGGGTTATGGGCTGCGAGAGCTGGATGTGTCGCCCCTTGCCCAAGCTGGCCGAGATCACCTTGCTGTTGAGTATCCGCATTCGCTGCTGCATCTCTCCCGCATTGGCATCACTGTCATTGGCCAGGATTGCAGTGTTGCGAACTAGAAGAAAAGATTTAAGTCTACTTTCCTTCCGGTTAAGCATTCTCCAAGACACTCACCATAGCTGCGCGAGCTCTTCAAATCAAAGTGATCATAGCTGGGCTTAAGGATGGACTCCAGGCGATCAAAGGCGGCGAATACAATGCGCACCAGGCCACCTTCGCTGTTATCGATCAGAGCTGCGCGTGGCAGCTCAATGCGGTCGGAACTTAGGGGCCACTGATCCGAGTCCGGAAAGACCACGCTCGACTGGATGGTCTTCGTTTCCAGAACGCGAACAGTCAACACTGTAAGGGATTTGGATGAGTCTTGCGACAAACCTCACCGGTTTAAAATTTACTCACATATATTCTTGACCTTCTGCACCACACTCCGCTCCCTGATTATCGTATCGGCCAGCAGGAAGGCATTGTACTCCAGCCCCGTTAGCAGGGATGTGGCCACACGCATCTGGTCCTCCGGATTGAGATCCAACCAAGAAGACAGCTGCGACTCATCCAAAAGATTGGAGCCCGTCTTGACCACGTTGAGCAAGAGCTCCGATATCATGGCCTCTCGTTGCCGCTGATCGGGGAACGTCTCCTTGTCGTGCATCATTTTCTCGGAAACCGTTTGAATGATCTTCGTGGTGACCAACATATCGCCGCCGTATAGCGTCTTGCTGCTGGTCACCTCGGACATATCGTTGGCAATGGAAATGAGCGAGGAGTCGCGTTGGTTCACTCGCATCTCCAGGTTGTTCAGCCAAATGCTGCGGCACTGGGTCAGATCGGGGGTCATGGGATGCCAGGTGGGCTCAAAGTTGCGCAGTCGCTGGTTCACCTTGTGGGCCATGCTCACCGGCGGCTCACAGCTGCTGCTGTTGTGCAGGCAATCGCCTCCACTGGGCGCCGGTGTTGTGGTACTTGGTTCGTCGTCGTACTCATCGAATCCAGAGTCGGGCATTCGCTTCATTAGCACACATCGCCACTTGGCTATGCCGGCTGCTCCGCCCGGACAGGGCTGAACGTTTACATCGCCCACGCGGGTCATGTTCCAGAAGAGATTGCGGGCATGGGTGGGTCCGCAGAACAGCTTGCTCTCATCATCCGCTCCGGACATTCCGGCAGCATTCAAATTGATGTTGTTAATGGTACGCACAACACTGCCGTTTCCGGAGACAGGAGATCCATTTGTAGCCGTCCCCGGCGGCCTGTTGGGGGAGCTCTTGGTGGTCAGCAGGGTTCCATCGTCGGTACCCGAGCCCCCGACGCCGGTAAGGATGCGGGTATTCGATGGAGCTGTGGCATTGCCCACAGCCGGAAGCTTGCTGCTGGCTTTGGTGGGTGCGGCGACCTCCTCACCGCCATGGTGATTGTGATGGTGATGCAGTTGTGGAGGTGGCGGCAGACCATCGTGCCGACCAGCCGGATGCTTGGTGGTCGTTGTGGAGGTGGCCACACCCTTATTTCGACCAGCGCCGACAGCAGCCGTGCTGCTGGAAGGCGTCGAGTGGGTGACGGCTGTATGTTGAGGTGGCACATTGAATAGTCCGGTATTCCCACTGATACCCACCACGCCGGGTAGCGTTGGTAGTCGCGGGGGCGGTTGCGGGGCACCCGATCCCACGCCAGGCGGATGGATCAGGCCACTGCCATTGCCAAAGATGGGTGGGCCATTATTGAGTACCCATGGCGGCGGGCTGGGCCTCTTGGTTGTCGTCGAGGTCTGGGCGGCACTGATACACTGATAGTGCGCCTCCAGATACTTGTGGGTTCCGGGGCAGGGATCCCCGAACATGCTCGTGGCTGCCAGAACACTGCAGCTCTGTTTGTGGGCACATCTGGATGGAAGGGGGAACTTACGCTTAGTCTAAATTGTTTGACTTATAAAGGAAACTATTAACTAATAAATAATTATATATTAGCAAACAAATTAAATCTTAATTAAGATGAAAATTCTTTGTAAATCGTATAGATTTAAATAAAGCGAATCCTACCTTGAGTTCAGTACGGTGAGTGACTTGGGAAACATGCAATTGACACTCCACTCCACATTGCCATGGTCATTGCAGATGGTGATCGAGAAGCGGCCATAGTTGGCCCGAATTAGATTGATCACATCCCCAGGATCACACTCGATGGTCAGTTTCTTACCTTCGCAGGCGTAGGCGGTTTGGTACTTGGAAACTGCAAGGCGAACGATTTATAAGTCGTGGGGATAATGGGTATTGGTATTTGGGATACAAATATATAGATTTATGACATATATTGAGAAAGAAATGATATTAGTGGCGTTGAGCTGGTTGTTGTAGTTTGGTTTGGTTTGGTTTTGGTGATGAACCTGCAAAGACACTTACGCTCTAACGATATATATGCACATAGGATATAGAAGAAAACATGGTTGGTAGCATGATACTCTTTTACACTGCCTGGGATATACTTAGTATATGTGGTGGTGGTTGTTTTGTGGAGTTTGGTGGGTCGTTAGCGATGGATGCGCTTGGTAGCAAGTAGAATAGTAGTCATAAATACCAAATCCTGCCGGCCCAGCTCACAGAACGTCCTCGGTCGTCCATCATTGGTCTGCTATAGGAGTATCTTAACTGCAAGGAAGAGTTAAAACGTTTCTGTTAGGAATCATGAATAATAAGTGAATATCTACATATATCTTAACAATATTATTGAAATATACCTACCCTTGCAGGTAACAATTAAAATATATCATAACTAAGCCAAAAATGCATTAATTTCGATTCGGAAAGCAGTTTTGTGTTAGTTTTTATTAATTTAAAAAAACTGCATACCAAATTTAAAATTTTAAGAAATACAAATTTTTGGCCATTTTTGCTAATTTTAATGATGTAACCCCTTATAAAATTTCGCAAAAATTGCCAAAAAAATCGATTTCTTCCGGACATGTCTAGAAAGATTCCCCTGTTGATGCTGATCAAGAATATATATGGTTTATGGGGTCGGAAATGATTCCTTGACTTAGAAAAATACTATTTTGCAGTATAAAATCTGATTTTTTATATTAAAAAACTTCTTGATTTTTTTAAAATTAAAAATATCTTAACCTGGCCAAAAGAGCATTAATTTTAAATCGGAAAACTGTTCTGTGCAAGATTTTCTACAGTTAATAAATCTGCATACTTCATTTAAAAATTTTGAAAATTCAATTTTTTATCAAAATCAAAAATTTTAATGATGATAACCCCTTATAAAATATTGCGAAAATGGCCAAAAAATCGATTTCTTCCGGAGATATCTAGAAAGATTCCCCTGTTGATGCTGATCAAGAATATATATACTTTATAGGGTCGGAAACGTCCCCTTCACTGCGTTGCAAACTTCTGACTGAAATTATAATACCCTGCAAGGGTATAATAAATAACTAAGAATAATTTGTATTAAAACTTTTTAAAGGAAAAAATATTTCAAATATCTCTACAATATGGTAATTTTCAATCTAAATAAGCTATTTACATATGTCACCACAAAGGTGACCTATTTTGAGGTCAAGTAATGGAAAATCAATGAAAACTAGAAAATAAATAAAAATAGTCTATTTTATGAATCGCATAGATTTTAACTGCAGGTTTTTATTTCCGGTCAATCACTACTTACCTTATTTTTCCAATATTCCTCTTCTAGTTTATCCACAACGCTGGAAATCCGGGATAAGAAATTCCTGAAAGAAGGGAGAAAGAAGCCATAAGATAATTGTTTACATATTGAACACACACACACGCACAATGGCAAACATGAACAGGCAGGCAGACGACAAACAGATAAGAAAAAGGGGGAGAGAGACTAAAAATACACACCCTTCTTGGATTCGAGTTGGTGCATCGCCATCGCCATCGATTTGTTGGAAGAACAAAGACTCGTTTTCTTTGTACACCCCGACTGCATGTGTGTACATACATATCTTCACATATAGAGAAAAGTTGCTGCAGCTGCGCTTCAAGTTTCGTCTGGAGCTGCAACTTGCCCCGCGGAGCCCCACTTTCGGGGGCTTTCTTTGTTCTGCCACGCACTATCCATTGTGAAATTTGAAGATATTTGCCGATTTTCTTGGAAATCACACACATTAGCACCTGGGAAAGGCATTTTTCTTGTTGATATTGATTGTTAATTGGGGTTTTCCACTTTGGTTTGATGACGTAGCACAAGAAACAAGAACAGACGCCCGAAAGCTGGGCTTGAATGGCACTTTTCTTTATTCTGTCTTTTAATTATTGTTCTTTTATTATAATATTTTATTTAATTTGCAGAAATTGCGTATCACTGCAGACCGTGCGTTTTGGTTGAGAGTTCAATTTAAACTTTCTTTTCTTTCAGAAAAATTCTGTATACTTGAATGTCTGGTTCAAGCAATCGGAACATATCGAACATCGATTTTTTCCCGCAATCGCACTTAAAAAAAAGCTAAATTTGACGGGAAAAAAGCGGGAATGACATCACTGCATGGTACAGAGAACGTAAGGTGGTCTAAACAAGCGTTCGTTAACCCACGGTTATTATAAGCTAGGTTTGTAATTTTAATTCTTGTAACTTCAAGTTTACATTTAACGAGGAGGCCTTAAAATCACAAAATGTTGGATAATTCCTTAATATTTAATATTTTAATATTTAATGTTTGTTAAGTTAATTTTCGAAAGTATTAATACTTTAAATTAAATAGTAATAAGAATTCAAGTTAACTTAAATGACGATTTCGACAAAATAATAGACTCTTTGAAACTAGACAAATTGTCGTGCTTAAAACTAATAGATGCCACCGACACCTACGGATCCTTTAAAGATGCCAAAGCCAGTTTCCAGCAGAGCGATTCTAAACGAAAAATAAAATAAGTTTAAGGAAAAGTGTTAAATAAGGTTTAAAACTCACTTGTTCTTATTATCCGGATACTGCCATCGCGCGCACAGGGCACTATGGCATCACTCAGTCATGTCAGTGATTCAGACCATCCTGACTTCATTCTCATAAGTGGTGGCCAGCAGAGTATCGGGGCGTGTTTTGGTACTGCCAGCAGAATGGATTTTGAGATTGCTCGACAGCTGGGTGAACCTCTGTCTGGTGGTAAATGTTTTGCAGCACTTTGGGCTTGGGATTTGTAGCTGCTTCTTTGGCTTGGGCTTCTCCTCCTCTACCATGAAGCTGCGCCACTGCTTAGTTCTTGGAGACAGTTTAGTGAGGTTCTCCACCCAGGGAAGCGCGCACCTGGGATGGACGCCTTGTGGCTAGTTAACTTATAGACGAAGATGTCCTTCTTGAGCAAGATGGTGAGAACGTTTCCATGACAGTTGTTGGGGCAAATATGGGTTATAAAATATTAATATAAATGAAACATAAAATTGCGACTTCAAGAAACCAACGGCTTTCTGCAATTGTAAAATTAAACACAAAATTTAACATTTTTTAGTATGTACATATGTATATACATATAGTACTTTTGTGTTGTACTTACCTACTGGTTGACAAATGTATTTATTCTTCCGCCTCGACGGCGGCCCCTGCAGGAGCGGCAGTGCTGTCATCGGCCACCTGGTTGGCCCCATGATCATCGGCCTCCATGTACTCGAGCTCGGCCTCCTCCTGATCAGCCTTCTCATGCACAGGCTCTTCCTGCTCGCGTTCCTCGTGCTCCTTGGCCTCGTCCAGAATCTTATACTCCCGAGCCAGCATATTCAGCTGCTCCATATAGATGACCAGGATTTCGAATGCCTCTGCCTTTAAAAACGTCAGCCTCCGGGCTTCTTCGGGGCCGACAGCCCTACCCCTACTGATGTTTCTAATTGACCGCAACAACTGGTAGAAGGCCTTCTCCACATACTCGGAGGCGTCTTCAATATCCTGGGAGGACCTGACAGCGGCGACCAGATCCTCCAAGAGGGCCGTGAAAATGAACACCTTGCGTTTGGAAATATTCAGCACATTCATATTGGCGCGGACTGTTTTGATTGTGAAAAACGGCAAAAGTTTGACAAAAAGTTCTTTCCGCTGAAAACGCCAAATCTCGGAAAATTGGCGCGAGTTCCTGGAAAAATGCACGCTTTCGCAGACTCAAACGGAAAACCATCAGATCGCCCCATCAAAACGGGAGTATTCTTAACTTCACGACAACTGGTCATACTTGTACAGGAAGTGCTGCCAACTTAGGAAACGGAAACTATGCCAGTGGGGAAAAAAACAGAAAAAATACAGAAATATTTGTAATACAAAAATGAGGTAACAATTCATTAACAAATTCCTAGATCAAGCTTATTTTTTCTGTAAATATCAACTAAATAAACATAAAGATAAAAACAAAGCAAAAAGCATACTTTTATCAAGTTCAAGTTCATTCTCTTCAAGTTCAGCTATTCTTATCAGCAGGGCGCTTGGCAGTTAGCTACTACTTCCTGATTCGCTAAGCTAGGGAAATGCAATTCGCTTGCAATTTCAGTTGAATTTTGATTTCACTGCGAAACGGGTCAACAAATTCTACACCCTCGGAATGGAATACTTCCTCGTAATACTAACTCTGCTGTTGGCTTCGGACTGGTCCGTTCAAGTCGTAACCAAACCCAAATCTCCCAAGGAACCCCTGAAGGAGCCATTAAAAAATAAAACGGAAGTAGTCCCCCTTGATGGGACACTAATTGCCACCGTAACAGCCGCACCGGAAAAACTGGCCGAGGTCCACATTGACCAGCACAAAACAATTCGGATTAGCAAGGGAGATCTGGATGATCTGCTGGATGTTTATATGGGGAAGATAGCTGAGAGTGCCGCCACCATAAAGGATAAGGAACACGAGATCAACCAATTGCAGTCCAAGGATCAAACGGACGATGAACTCCTTAAGAGATTCCAGAATCTAACAGAGGCTTGCACTGCCCAGAACGCTTCCTTTACGACCGAGATCACGGAGAAGGACGATAAGATCAAGGAGCTGGAGCAGAAAGTTAAAGTCTACGAGACCCGCCTGAAGAGAAAGCAGCACCTGGTGACAGATCTAAGGAAACAAAACACATCCAACGCCCTGCTAATAGATCATCTCAAGGGAAAGGTAACATATTTTCAAAGGAAATTCCGGGAGAAGAGGGACGACCTTCTGGCAGACTGGGAGGCGGCCACCACTACATGTTTGCCTTATGGTAGCTCGCCCGGGATTCACTTGATTCAACTCCCGGACTTTCTTCCCTTTTTGGTGGCCTGCGAGGGTCAAACCGCCGCCGGACCCGGCTGGATGGCCATCCAGCGAAGGCTGGACGGTTCCGTGAACTTTTACCGCAACTGGGATGCCTATAGCAAGGGTTTTGGCAAGCTGAACGGCGAGTTCTTTATGGGTCTGGAGAAAATCCACCGCCTGACCACATCCCAGCCCCACGAGTTGTACATTAGCTTCAAGAGATTTGGTGGCGAAACGAGTTATGCCCATTACGATGACTTCCTTATCGGCAGCGCAGAGGAAGGCTACGAGCTGACGCTGCTGGGTCACTATCAGGGAAACGCCAGCGATGCCTTGCGCACCCACGACAAGATGAAGTTCTCGACCTTCGACCGGGACAACGATGCCTTTACCCACATGAACTGTGCGGTGCATCATCAAGGAGCTTGGTGGTATGACTTTTGCTCTAGGAGGTAAGGAGAGAAGGTAAAGAATTACCTGCTAATATCTATAGGAACATAGCCTTCTTAAGCTTACTGAAATCTTAAAACAAATCTTTAAAAACTTGTATAACAATCACAAGCTTATATGTATAGTTGTTACTTTGATTTACCCACAGCAACTTAAATGGCAAATACTTCAAGGAGGAGGTGGACAATGCCCAGGCCATTTACTGGGAGCCCTGGTACAGCTTTCGTTCTCTCAAGTCCGTGCAAATGCTCATTCGACCCAAGAGCCAATTGGAGCTGAAGGACTGGGTGTCCAGGACCAAGCGAAGACCCAGGACTCTGTGATAAGGAGCTTCTCCCTCAAATAATGTCTTCTTTTTGCTTAAATATATACATATATACATCTCACTTTGATGCCGACGAACCCATTAATATTTGTTGTTTCACCCGCCATTGACTCGACGCCCCCTTTGGACAAATGATTGGCTTTCGATTTTGTTTTCAGCCTCGCTCTTGGGGTAATTACTTCACGTCACAGTTCACTGGATTTTGCTCTAGACATTTTGTGTTTGCTTTTTGCATTAGAGGTGGGTGCAATTAATTTTCATTTTCTGCTTCGTAATTTGTTCTGTTGCAACAGTTTAATGGAATCTAATTGAGTGTGTGTGTGCGCGAACAAATGAAATAAGTCTGGGAGACGCCGACTCATTTATCACTTGCACTTTCCTCAACTCAATTGGAGTCAATAAACAGGCGCAGAGTCGGTGCAGGCACTTGAATTAATATCGATTTATGACTTTGGGGAAGAGTTCGCGATCAGTTCCAGTCAGTTTTAAGCGATAAATTCTAACTCCGACTGACTGAATCCAGTTCAAGTTTAATAATAAATAAATAAACCATGCATATTAGTTAAATTTTCAAAACAATTTAATATACATATATATAACCTTACAAATAGTTGTATTTTTGGTTTCACTTTCAATGACTTTGGGTTCTGGCTCGTAAACCAGTTACAAGCATTCAACTAATGGCCAGTTAATCGTCCGATTACGGCGATAAAGCTTACAGAACTTGAGAAGCAACACTTGCCAGCTAGTTATCAGACACACTTGGCCTGTAAATAAATACATTATACTTAGGTTAGATCGACGATATGATTCTAGCACGCTAACTCTTTACAATTGACTTGTAAATACTTTCAAGTGCTGGGAGGGAAAAACGCGGTCTACTTCTCGTCCTCCTCCTGCCCCTCGGGGCCGTGCTCCCGCTTCTTGTGCCATCGCAGGCTGGCAAACTGGGCAAAGCGCTTGTGACAGGCACTACACTTGTACTTCTTCACCGTCAGGTGCAGCTCCGTGTGCTTCTTCAGGTTTCCGTAGGTGGTAAAGGTTTTGCCACACACCGTGCACAGGTGCTTACGGATCGCCCAGTGGGAGTTCATGTGATCGGTGAAACGATTCTTCTCGTAGAATCCCTTAGCACAGATCGGGCAGTGGAATGTCGACTGGTTGAGGTGCCGTCGCCGGTGGATATCAAAGAAGGACCAGGTCTTGAAGGACTTGCCGCACAGGTCGCATATGTAGGGTCGCTCTCCGGTGTGGCTGCGCAAGTGGATGGCCACTTCCGTGGATGTGGCAAAGCGCTTGTCGCACTGCTCACAGGCATAGGGGAAATCCCGGCGATGCCGCCGTATATGCACGGTCAGGTTGCACGGCATCTGGAAGCCCTTGCCGCAGAGCGTGCATATGAACGGCTGCGTACCGTCGTGGCCCGAACGGTGAACCTTGTACTGATCACAGGTCTTGACCAATTCCGCGCACACATCGCAGCGAAAGGGTCCGAGGTTCTGCTCCAGGAACTCGGACAGCTTGGCGTGCAGTAGGGGAATGCTGGTGCTAGAGTCAGCGGTGAGTATTTTACGTTTCTGAGCCGAGAAATCTTTGCGGAGATCAAAGAGCGTCTTCTCCAGCTGCTCGGCGGCGTAGGATGTATGAAAGGTGGTGTTCAGCTCATCCAGCATTTGGCCCAGGGCCTGGCTGCGATAGGCATTCGAACGAAAGTCGGGATGGTCCACATCCCACAGGGCCGAGTAGTTGCGGTAGATTTCCACAAACTGCAGCTGATCCTCGACGGTGGCAAATTGTATGGAGCTGGCATCGATAAACTTGGTCTTTTGATTGGTCTCCACCACCCCGACTTTCTGAAATAGTTAACAAATTGAATACTCCTGGATAATTGTAAGCTAATTGTAAGCTTTTTACCTTGCTGATCTTATTGAAGATCTGTTCTTGGAGTATTGGCTGCAGGAACTCCATCTCGTCGTAGCACCACAGCTTGGGCAGGTACAGACCCTTGTGCTTGATCACCATGCGCAGCTCCTTGCGGTAGCGCGTCCTCAGCTTCTGGATCTCCTTGTAGCACTCCTCGCCGCTCAGCTCGTAGCTGAGCTCCTCCTGCAGCTGAACGGATATCTCCCGGTATAGATCCTTCTTGCTGCAACTGGCATAGTCGTAATGCTGCGGATTCCACAGGCACTCCAGTCGCTTGAAGGCGTCCAGTATAAAGCTGAGAACTTCGCGGTAAAGGGTCGACTTGCTGCAGGACTCGGCGTCCGTTTCGCAAGATTTTTCGCTCTCTGTGGTTTCACCAGAAATCTGAGAAATAAATTGAGGATAACCTTTAAAGAACCTAATTAACAATCACTACTTACCTTGGCCTCCCTCTCCGCTCGCTTGTTTTCAATGACGCCCCTGAGGAAGTGCATCCTGTCAAAGTACCACAGCCGTGACTTGTACTTGCCACCAAGGGCATTCAGCTTGCTCAGCTCCCGGCGATATCTACCCCGTAGCTCCTTGAGCACGGCGAAGATTTCGGCGCCGGAGAGCCGCATATGGCAGTGGCATTCCAGCGGAGCAGCCAGCTCTCCGTAGATGCTGCGCTTGGCATTGTATTTGTAGTCCGGGTGCCGGGGATTCCACAGCTTCTCCATGCGTTCATATTCCGTCAGCAGAGAGCCAACAAACTCCCGATTGCGCTCCAGCTCGCGACGGGTTCTCTGGGGGAGAAATAAGAAAATATTGGTTATATATAGTTGTTCCAGATAGATTTATGTGGAATCATTGTGAATAATAAGATTATAAACCACCAAGTGGAGCGAATCATGGAAGTTGTTTACTCACCGTTTGGAAATCCAGGCTGCTTGCCATGCTGCTGGTGGGCGAGGTGGGCGACAGGGGTGTGGGTGGTGTGGCTGGCGGCGTCATTTCCAGAACATTCTTCTCCGGCTGCTCGATCGGGTCCTCCTCTGGCTCTGCCTCCCCTGTCTCCTCCTCCATCTCTAGCTCCTCTATTTGCAGCAGCAGCTCCTCCTCCTCCTCGTCTTCGCCCTCTTTTGCATTCTCGTTTTCAGCCAGACGAAGCTTGCGCTGCATTGCCTGCATAAAGATGTTGAAATATTTCGCATAAATAAATAAATTTGTTACTGTTGCTGTCCGGCGGTGGGATTAGCAGTGCCACATGATCTCGTCCGGGCGTTTTATCGTGTACACACCGCCGGAGAAGTCGTAAACAAAAAGCGAAAGTCCCCACTCCCGGCTCCCTCACTCTCTCTCTCTTTGGGTACTCGATTCTCGAATATCAGCGGCTATTGGCCTTTGTGTCGTCGTCGTCACCGTTCTTATCGCACTTGCATATGGCCAGACCGACTTCCATATTCCCCCCCATATACATATATATTATATGGGTGTCTCTATTTGTTTGTTCGTATTCTATATTGTTTTGGTTTCGCTGGCAAAGAAGAGTACACAATAAACCAATCGGTGCCCCCAGAAATAATTACTCATGTATCGTGTTTCACAATGGAGTGTTCTCCTCAGTTTAACATTTTTGTTTGTACATTTTTCGGAAGTAATAATCCCGAGAGTAAGTAAGAAAGAATTCAAGGGCATAAGCCAAGTATTAAGTGGATCACAGAACCATCTGTGATCCCTCAGAATTATGCAGTGAAAATGAAAATGATGAACATGAATTTTAACTATGGAAATTGAAGTTAATGTTCTAAGTTCCTTCTTTGATTTAATAGGAATTATAATACTAACAGGACAGTATCATAAATTCTATCCTTTAAGCTTTGTTTGATTATTTAATTTATTAGTTGTTTATTACTTTCCACTTTTAGGACTAGAATTCCTAAAATTATCCCTAAAGCAAATCAAAAATTCCAAATTCCAAATTCTATATGTTTATCAATCTTTTTCCCTTTAAAATTCCAAAACAGAACCCGACCTACCCTCATATATTTCAAGTACTTGAGAACCAGCTGCCGATAAGGTTCCACTGGCCTAATTAGGAATTCGCAAGACTCGAAATTAAAAGCGAAACGAAATTTGTTTTCGGCATGCAAATGTTTTTTTCCAACAAACATTGCATATGGGTAACTATATCCCCCATACAATTGAGCAGTTCTAACCAGTTTTCGCCCGATATGCGTACAGCTGAAATGAGGTTTAATATAATGCGTCTAACACTCTTCTTTTCACATAGCCTGTTTTGGTTAAGTCCTTATAAATCCAGGTAATTGGCTACGATTAATCTGTCCAATATAAAATAATTTTTCTTATTCTAAAATTAGTCTTTACCTAAAATAATATTAACCTAAGATAGAACCAATAAACTTTAATAAGAGCATTCGCATTTACGGCTTGAATTTGTCATATTTCCATCAAGTTTTTCGTTTAACCATAATTGGTAATTGAAGTTGTCGCCTGATTGTCTTGAAATTGAGGTGACCACCACAACAGTTGTTGATATTTTAGCCTCTCGATTTGTATTAGAACCAACCCCCTTCAGAACTAGACCACCCACAAAAACATCGATAAGGCTAATGGGCCTCTAGATAAAGTGAAACGTGGCCCAAAGGCATTAAGAGTTATGGCCGATTTCTATTTAATGTGTTATTAATTGCACTAGCTGTTTGTGGGTCAAGTTGTCTTTGAGTAATGTAGGTAATTGAGTTACAGGATATTGTATTTAACATATAAATACTTAGAGAACCTAAGGTAAAGCTGTGACCTTTAAGCAATCTCTTTGAATTGAAGACAGCTGAGCTTTCTTCATCAAGGTGTTCTTTTAAGGTTAATGGCCCTGATTAATCGGTAAGACAACCACCAACCAATCATTCATTCAGGCATCGAACCGGGCCCTGACCTTTTACCAAAACCATGGAAGCTAACTCTACTTTACAGAGCTAATTGAATAACTGAAAAATTTGCAAAAGGGAAAATACGGTGGGGTGAAAAAAAGCCCAAGCCTTGGCCCCAATTAAAAATGCAATTTCAAACGTCGAAATGAAAGTTTCACCCTCCAACCCTTTGCTCCATACTCTCCTCTATCGCTCTCTGTGGCAAAGCGAGCGAAAACATTTTCATTTCGAGCGACTGGAGCGAGACCCAACTGGGGGTCACACCCACTCGACGCCAAGGACCTCGAAGCACTCGGAGCGCGCGCCCATCGGAAAGGTGAGCAGAGTAAACCCATTAAAAGCAACCCCAAACCGGGCTGACCCTGCCATCCTTGACGTTTGTCTGCCTGGCAACAGGAAATAGTTCCATATCGTAGCTGCATTGGATTGCATGGGACTAGACTCCCACATGCGTTCACTCTAGTCCCACATTCACATCCACAACCACACATCCAAATGGTGCAAATGGTTGAACAGCTGTTTTATTTTATATTTTTTTTCATCTATTCTCTTTGTTGAGAGGGTATATTGGAATTTAATATCATTTTTAATTGAGGTTTTTAAATATGATTTTAAAAGTTTTTAATGAGGGTTTTAAGTTATAAAAAGGATAACTTTCTAAAAAATCTTATAAATTATTTTATTTGTCTAAATTTGTCACTGAAACTAAGTATCTTTTAAAACTATCCCTTATCCAGAGCATTCCCTGTTCGCTTCCACCCAAGTAAACTATTTTCTTTTATTATTGTTCATATTGGTGCAACAATAGAGCCAGCAAACAAAGGCAGGGCTGACCAGAGTTTGGGGGTTTCTAGTCCCCCCCCCCTAGTCTGACCCTAGAAATGTGGGGTGTGGCTGTCCAAGAGCCCTGCCTGCCTTGTCCGTCCGGAATTCTCCCTTGCCTGCGTCACGGCTCCGGCTGCGGCTGCGGCGACTGTGTGTTTACCGAACACGCAATTGAAATAATTGATCCAGTTAACAAAATTGCATAAAAATTCAATAAACAACAACAGCAGCAGCAGCAGCAGTGAAGCTTCATATTCCGGGGTGTATTTCGCTCAATATGCGATAGTATATTGAAACCCGATCGCAGAGCAATCTTATTGAGTTAAGTTGAGTGTTCTCCCCCTTTATGTTTATTTATAAATTGCTCAAACGAAGAGGGGGTCGGGTCGCTCGAAACTCGTTAGAACTGTCAGAGTCTTGAAATGTGAATTGAAGATGAGGAAGGGTTCGAAGGAGGGATCATTGCATTGAAGCCATAAATCGATATTCAACCACAGAGAGTAGAAAATGGATTTGTTTGGAGTTCAAATCAATGAAGTTGGGAATGGTTAATAAAAAGACAATGAATGAATATGTCTTCAGTTGTTTGATTAACTCGAAAATGTTAAGGCAGCTAATTGATTTGTAGGAATTAATTGGTTGGAAAGCTTATAAGATTCGTTTTAATTAAGGGTTAATGGTTTCTAGAATAATTTTGGATTGAAAGTTCCTTTATCAGGGACACTTTTAGGGAGTAATTTTGTTTTAAGAGTTAAGTTCTTTGAAGAAAGTTCTTTGGCCTAAAAAAGAACCCACTTGTTCTTTTAAATTCATACTAATTCACAGTTTGTAAGATCTATTTCCTTATTAATCAATGCTATTATAAAATCTGTTCTTCGATTAGCCACACTCTTTCATTACTTTATACATATAAAACTCTGGAATCCATCTCTCAAAATAATGCCAGACTAGACCCATTCCGTGTCCAAGCAGCAGCTGCGTCATCTGGCGGCTCTTCAATTAAAAGCTATTGTTTATTGCATTTGTCACCAAGCGAATAATAATAATAATAATAATAATAATATGCGGGCAGAGCAGCACCAATCAAAAGTTCCTTTGATGATGTTGCGATGCGATTGGGGAGCATCGAATTAATTAATGGAAACTCTCATTTCGATACATTTTCATTCCCACCAAATGCGAATGGTGATTATCAGATCTAGAGCAATTGGACAAGGAATGTGCGAGCTTAGGAACTTTCAGGGTTTTTATTTCTACAAATAAAAGATTCATGGGAAAGCCCATTAATCCGACGCTTAATGCTCGGTACCATTGTAGGGCTTTTTGGCCCCGAAATGGTGTCAACACACGGCCTCTCCTCCGCCGTCTCCGTGTTTGATTTGGCCCAAGGGAGGGCTTTAATTGATCGAACAACGAACAGCGGCATTCGCCGAGTGTCTTGTTTACCATATAGGCTGGGTTTATGGGGTCTCGGGACAAGCTCAGCTCCCATTTTTGTATGCTATATAAAATTATGCCCCCTCAAGCCATATGACAACGACGAACAAAGGCTGGTGGCAGGCGTTTGCGGTGCCACCGGCGACATGCAAAATCCGAGAGAACACGAGACTCAAATGTAAATGTAATAAAGCCAACGTGAGCTAATAAATTATGAAGAATATTTCATTTTTTTTTTTTCACGCAACCCGTGGCCCGGGTTCCGTTTTGTTTTATGGCCAAGCATAAAACTCGTCCACGCCCTTGATGGAAGCCCACGACGAAAACGACGAAAAATAAACCGATGGGAAACCTTATAGAGAACATAACATACAGGAACCAACCGGGAAGCAAACAAAGCGAAAGCCAGATTCAAAGATAATACCGGGGGGCATTAAGTGCAATCAATTTCAGACAAAAAAACAACAACAAAAAACTAAATAAATAAAATGCGCTTAGGCACAAAAACTTTAAACAAATAACTTCTGTCAGTCACAAGGTTGCATTAATTAAATTAGACTGATTATAAAACCCACTCAGCTGATCGATCGGGCCCCGGACTGTAGCGGGTGGTAAGCGACTTAAGCTCCCCAGCTCCTCCTTTCCAGACATGTTTAGCTAAACTTGTTAATTATTTAATAGGCATGGATGTGCCCGATAAAAACAAAAGCATTTGCTGTCAACATGTCCTCGTTTTTCTTACCATGATTAACGTGCACATAAATCGAAAATTCCCCAAACCGTACCCGAGCACCCGGAGATTTTGAAAGGTTGAAAACAAATTATCGCCTGGGAGACGATAATAAACAGAGCGCATTGATACGAGTATTCACCCGTCTTAAGATAAGATTATGGCCGATGATGATATATGGGATGATTTCTCAGTGCACAACTCTGATTTCGAATGGATTAGTGATGATTTAAATGGGTTCTCCAGGAAGCTATCTCTGATAATGTCACAATCTAACTCAAATACCTAATCGATTGTAAACCAGATATTGCTCAGCCTTTTCCAGAAAAGCTTATATGTAGAGGGGGGTTTCTGGAAATGGTATATACTTTCGGTAGCACTTCCAGCCGATCGCTAGTTATATTTCGATTCGTTGTCGTTCAGCACGGACAATGATTTATGGCCTGGGAAGGTTTTTATGGCAGGTGCTCTAAAAATTCCAATTTACAAGTGTTTAAATGAACATTAAAACCTCCTTAGTTATGAGTTACGCGATACTTTCTTATCTCTAAGCCATTTTCAATAGCCGACAAGCATCGACAAAAATCTAAAATTATTTTATTACCCCCTAATAGAGATATTGGCCAACGTGAGACTGACGATGAATTATATGGCATTGGAATGATAATGGTTATGGGCGGGCCTGTCTAGGTCTCACGAACGATCGATAGTTTGGACATATATGTATATTTAATTAGCCAAAGGGTCGAATTGAGGGAGTTAAGTGAAGTGTTTATGGATATAAATCAAAAATTTCCATTTATGTCGTTGCTAAAAATATTCATTTTAAAATTTTCAGTTTTTCTTCATAAAAAACAATTTTGACATTGATATTTATCGATAAATTAAGTCAAGATGATAGATAGTTCACTAGTAAATTTTAGATACAAATATGTACAAAAATAAACACTATGACATTAGGTTCTGAAAAAAAAAACATTATTTTATAATCGATTTTGATCGATTTTTTTCGATTTTAATACTCGGAATAATCGATGTTTTATTTTTTATGCTACATTTTCCTTATTTAGTTTTCTCTTAGAAACTTCAAGTCCCTGCCCCACTGTAGCTTCTACAAATGCTTACCAAATCGAAGCTTAGATAATTTTCCCCTATTTGTTTACCTCTTTGGGGTCTAGATAAAGCCCAGTGTCGGCCGACAAGCTTGCCCAATGTGCGCTGATAGTAGCAAAACCGAAAAAACAACAGAATTACCAATAATGTCTACTGCAAGTGCCCGGAGTCTACGGGCAAATACAATATGATTTTTATCAACATTTCTATTTCTATTTCCGAGAGTTCTGTTATTTCGCCTGGCACCCACCGCTCAATGCCCCGGATATCGGGCCGGCGATAATAATAACCAACATTTTAATGGTCTCCGGTATGCGCAATATACAATATACACACATCCATACACTTTCCCCATAATGCCTTGATGACGACAAATGCATTCACATTACTCATACACACATTTGTCCATACTATTTTCCTTTAATTATTATTAAATTAGCTCGTGTGTGGATTTAATATTTATTGACACTTACATTACGTCAACGAGAGTGTATGATATTTTTGGCCAAAAGAAAAACGAATGAAATAATTTAAGATGCAGGAAAGATTTCCAATAAAAGTGTAGATATTTTAAAATGTTATTATCACCTCTAAACCGTTGACGAACGAATATCTATGAATAGGTTACTTAGAGACAGACTAGAGTGCCTGTCAAGGCTGAGAAAACCATTTAACTCTTTGACAATTGAAGAATAGTTTTTTTTATGTGATTAGTTTAAATATGTTCCCAGCATATTGATTTATTTAGGGAATACAGAATATGTTCTCGTTGAATGTTTTATTTTTAGGGGAATTTAAAATCAAAGAATAATTTTAAATAATTAAAGAAAAATATTCTTATAAATCTGATTGAATTCCAAATATCCTATGTTTTGATCTATATTTGTTTAGAAATATATTTGAGAATACAAATAATTCTTTCTCAAATTCTACTACAATAATAAAAGAAATAATACAATTTATAGATTTAAAAAACCACAAAAAACCTTTTTTTAATCATTTCCAAAAATTCAGTAAAGAAGATATACTAGGCAGACTATACACTCTAGGATATGTGACACCATCCACAAGTTGTGTATCTGTCCGTTGACATAAATAATCATTTTAATTACCATTTAATAGCCATTTATTTTTAAAAATCATCTACAAAGCAAAGGCCTCAGACAAACAAAGAATATTTTGACGGGCAGTTTTCCAAAAAGCACCGAATGTTTGTGTCCCAATTTTCGGGTATTTTTCAGCCTCTTTTACTATACAATTTATATATATACTATATATTTGTTTTAACACGTAAATATCTATGAAAGTACTGGTGTGTGAGCAACAAAAGATATTGTTGTTTTTTCTACCATGTCCACAAAAAATGGAACAAAACAAAAGTGAAAACTCGAAGAAAAAGCTGAAAATTGCGTCGCATTGGAAAAGAAAAAATAGCAAGGCAACAAGACAGACTGACTGACTTACAAACTGACAAAACGCCACCCTGTTTGCCAGTTCCTTCAAAATAAATTAAAACAAAAAATATAAAATATAAGAAAATATAAGAAAAGGCCAGGGACAGCAAACGGGACTTAAAAAGGGGAAGACGACAAGAGAACAAAAGCGAGGCATAAGCGGGCAAAATGCGCGACACACTTTTGCTCAATATTTTGTGTGTTGTGTGCCATTGCGCCGTTATTTTGAAGGTCAAGTGACCAGGGGAAACGAAACCTTCTCCGGAACTGCCTGGGCCCAGCCCGCCCTGCCCCTCACCTTTGCCGGCCGCCCTCCCTCCCTCCCTCCTCCTGACAGCAACGGAAAGCCAATTTTGCATTACAAAATCGAATGAAAGGGGGAAAGGCGAAAACCAAACACAACACAATACAGGGAAAGTTCGCTAAGGGAAACCCTAATAATTTTGTTTAAGTTATATGGAAGTTTAGTCCAATTGTATTTATCCTTATTTAAATTTCTTTTTTAGAATACTTAAATTTAAAGGCATTAAAAAAAATGAATTCCCATAGATTGTTCTTAAACCTTCTATCAAACATTTCCCCAATATAAACCCAACTTATCGAATCCCCACTGTACTTAATAAATTATTAAAATGCTATTTCTGCCCAGAGTCATTTGTCGAGCGGTATTTAAGGAACCACCACAGTGTGTTCACTGTGAGGCCATTGGGTGATTAGCTTACCACGCGTCGTGTCTCATATCGCGGCAGCGGAGGAGTTGTAATTGCCGGGGGAGCAACTCCCTCTGCTAGCGGATTCAAAGGCAAGAGAGTGGGCGGAGTCATAACCACGTCGTGCAGCACGGTGAAGGGATCCAGGTGCAGGGCCTGCAGCTCGTCGCCCGTTGAAATGTCCGCCGATGGCGGCGGCGAGGGTGGCAATGGATTTTCAACGACGTAAACCAAATCTATTTCTGGCGCCACGGCTTCCGTGGTGGTTACATGCAGAGCGGTGGGGGTCGCCGGCGGAAGAAGGCTCATTAGCTGAACGTCCAAGTCGGCCTCCATGGGTTCCCAGGGGCTCCCGCCTCCCGCTTTCTTGTTCTCCAGCGGGAATATCTCCGGGCAGTCCAGCTCCATGATCACCAGATCCGTCTGCGTTTGCTGCTCAGACCGTTCCTCGGCGGCAGTGGCGGCGTCGTAGCGCCGCCTCACCTCCTGGGTGTGCTGCTCCCGGACGTGGTCCATGAACACGGAAAACTGCAGGCAAATGGCCGGACAGAAGGCGCAGTTGAAGCCGAAGCTCTGGACGTCCGGCGAGGCGGTTATTTCCCCGCACTTGTGGAAGTACGCGTAATCCTCCAGCTGCCAGCTCAGGGATTGCGTCGACTCCTGCAGCGGCATCATGTCTGCTCCTAGTTTGCGATCAAATTCCTCTCACTTTTAAACGTTAATTTACACAGTTTTCTATTTGGCGCACTCGCGACGTACGAACGGGCCAAAAACACCGAACCGAGCGCGGAGCTTTCCGATTCAACTTGTGATCCAAACAACCGGCAAATCTGAAATGTGACCGTGGCGGGTAGGGATGCAAAAACATCGATGTCACTATCGATATTTAAAAAAAAATCGATACATCGATATCTTTTTCTGCGGTCATACTTCCAGTATATTCTGGCATTTTTCGCATAGCCCGGGATATTTCTAAAGTACAGTTACGGTCTCACTGAGCAACAAATAATTCCAAGGCAGCGGGCGGTTAAATAGCAAAATATTCGAGTAAATGTTATTGTTTGTTCTATTTTAGTTAATTTAAAACATGGGATTCGTGCTGTCCAAGTTCCGGGTGCGTATGACCTGCCATCGCAGTCCGCCGATTGCCAAAATGCAAATCGGCGAATGGCCGAAAGTATGGCGAAAAAAACACGAAACCAATGCCAAATCTGAATCTAATTATAGAAGGAAAAGTCTACGGAGACGGTGTTGGAGGGGCTGCAGACGCAGATCCAGGCATTGGAGAAGTACATGATCAACACGGAGGAGCGGAAGCGGCGGTTCGTGACGAACTTTGTGGGCTTCACCATCGGTGCCTATATCGTGGGCTTCGGACTCTGGTACTTCTTCTACTTCCCGCCGACGCTGCAGGAGTGCATTGTGTACCTGGTGCCGCTGCTCCTCTTTCCCATACTGTGAGTACCCGAAGCCACCTCACCTCTGTAAGAGTCAATATATTTATACATGTATTTATTGCCCGGATATTGCAGTATCATCTTGCTGCGACGCCTGTTTACGTGGTACTTTCAACGCAAGCTAAACAAAAATGGCGATAAGCTGGCGAAGCTGAAGGAGGAGAAGCGCGTCCTATTGGAGCAGGTCATGGACAAGGAGACCTACAAGGTAAGAGAATCTTTAGTGATGATTAAGAATCTTTAATTTCCATTATTTCCCTTACCCAGGTGGCACTGAATCTCTTGGAGCGCTTTGGCGATAAGAAGCAGCTTCGCCTAGGCAGCGGCCTGCAGACACCCAACCGGCACTCAATGCCGGAACGATCGCCTCAGCCCGCCGCTCGAGCCGCGGCTATCGGTCAGCCGCAGCAGCAGCAGCGATCGCTGACTCCGTACACTAGCGTCTATCGGAACAACAATAACATTAGTAGCACCAGCCTGAACCGCAGCGTCATCAGCTCGCATTCGCAGGCGGTGACGTCAGCAACGCCGCCAGTGCGCGCCGTGCAAGAGCTGCGTCGGCGAACACCCTTTCCCATTGTGGATGAGCGGTCGCGCAGCGCCATGGATCGCATCGTGGACTTTATCGTAGGCGACAGTCCACAGAATCGATTTGGCATGATCTGCAAGGAGTGTTTTGCCCACAATGGTGCGTTATAAGCAATATAGGAGAATTTATTTAGATGAATTATTTGCAATTCCTGATAAGATATTGAAATCAACGACATTCAGGGTGAATGACAGATTTTATACTTAATAATGTGGTATTTTTGTAATACAAAAACAAATTCTATTTGTTTTAGGTTTACAATTATGTTAATAATATTGTAAATTAAATTTAATTCTAAAATCTTATTATTTTCTTATAGGAATGCTGCCCAAGGAGGAGTACGAGTACGCTTCATTCCGGTGTGCTTTTTGCAGTGCACTGAACCAGGCAAGGAAGGAGCGACCTGTGGCACCTCGCCTCTCGCTGGAGGCCCCGACACCGACTAAGCGCAACGAGAGCTCCGAGAGTGAATCATCTGATGACGAGTCAGGTAGCTATTTTATTTTTTTGGGGGGAAAACCACTTTAGGAAGCATTTCATTGCAATTTATCTAAAGGTTGAGGTCATTGAGACTTTAAATAACGTAAATAATATTGTGGTTTTTATTGGAGAGTATTAAAAAGGGGAAAGTAAAAAGGTTTGCTCATTAAATTTAAATCTTTACTTAACATTTTAGTGGTTTTCCCTCTCAAGTTCTAAGAGTACCTTAACTAACAATACTCTATTCCATTTCAGAGAAACAAGCACCAGTTCGAAGAGTCCTGCTGCAGGAAGTGCCATCAAGTCAAGGTGATATTGACGCCTCTTACCTAAAAGAAGACTTGGAAACGGAGGAGAGGGAGCCAGAGATAGAGACACCAGAGACTGGATCTACTGCTGCTGCTGTGGCTGCTGCTGCTGCTGCAAGTGATGACGTCAGCCAAGCTGAAGTGACTGCAACTGGCAGCTCCTGAGCCCAAACACACACACATATACGTCACACATTAATGAAACACCTTTAGGCGCCAGTCAAGCAAAATTCTTGGATTATTTGCTTATTAGTTTACATATTTAATTTTTTAATTGGTAAGCAAATTGAAAATGAATCTGTTATAATGAATTTAAATGGAATGCAAAAATGCTTCGAGTGGCTGCAGCACTTTCTTCTTTGGGTCAGCCACCCCACCTCCGCCCGAGGTGTGGGCGGTCCGGGCGGTTTGGCACCACTCCCCCGTGCAACTGTCAGCATAGAAGGAAGTTGATAATTAAAATCTAGACAAAATACGGCGACAACTAATGGCATAATAATTTAAAGCACGCCGCGGCGTGTGACAAAAAAGGCAAGCCACTACCTGGCGATATCACTCCAGTGGCCGGCGGCAGCGATAGTTTACTTACTTACAAGCGCGAGAACACACACATGCCACTGCGCCGCCGCGACTCCAGACTAACACTGCATTATGCGAATGGTCAACAATTTCAATTTCGCTGGCTTTTATTTTGCTTTATTTAACTTTATTCTGTTTTTATTATTTTTTTCCGGGCCATTGATCAAGGCTAACGAGATCGATCGGCGCTGGCTGGTGGCCTGCCTGGCTGCCTGGCAATCTGGCGGTGCAGCAACGTAACATAACGCATTAGCCGGGCCAACACCAGCACTGCAGCGACCACCAGCGCCCACCTACACAGAGCAGAAATATTAACGAAATTGGCCATACATTTGCTTTTCTTTGTATAGCCAAAAATGTCTAGCTTTTAAATTTAAATATGATATTTCTGATTATTTTAATGATATTTATACAGAGTAGATGAAGTCTGCCTATTTTTTTTTATTTATATTATTGTTTAAAACACCTTTTATATTAACAAAACCCTGAATAAAAGTTTAAAAATTTTGGAATGACTATGAAAACCTTAATAAATATTCCTTACAATCTTACAATATGTAAATTAAAGGATATTTTTATTAAAATTAATGCTGTATTTGCTAAATTTGTTAAATATTATTCTAAAATTTTTTAAAGGTATAAAATAGTTTATTATTTTATTCATCAGGCCTATAAAATGATATAAAACACATTTACAATAACAAAAAATATAATTAATTACTAAAAAAATGTATAAACAATCCTGATTTACAAAATGCTTATAAGATACCAAGTTCTAATTCATTATTTTAATTATTTAATGGAAGTTCAATGATTTATTTCAATTTCATCTTATATTTTTAATACATTTTCAATACAATTACTTACAAATAATTTAATAAATAATTAATTTTAGTTTATATATCATTTCGAGCTGTGTATCACTAGGTGAGGGTGGTGCGACGGCTGCAGGAATGGGGATTGTGTGGATTGGACGGTGCCGCGCCCGCGCAAATTCCTGCCAATGGCTGGCGGCAAACACAAATTATAAGAATTAAACTAAATCTGTTACACCGTTGCCAACAATTGGGCACGTCTGTCCCCGAATCTAACATGTTCATATATGTGGTAGATATGTATGTTGGCCAGTCGTGTGCCGGCGACCCGGGGGCGCTGGGCGCTGCCTGATTATCTCATAATTTGTGTGTGTCTGTGCCAGTGCGATTTTCGCTCTTTTCCACGTAATTGAATTTCCCAACTGCCCCCAGGAAGTCGTCGTCGTCGTCGTCATTGTCTCTTGCTCTAGTGCGTAAGGCGGTTTTAATTTCAGTTTCACTGGCAAGCTGCGTGGTCTGCGGTCTGTATGGAGTGTGTGTGTGTGTGTGTGTGTGTGTATGTGGTGTGTGTTGGCCGATCTGAACGGCCGTCAACCTATACCGGGTTATCGGAAATAAAACTTGCAACGGAAAAATCTAAAACTAGGGACGGAATAACTAGAAATTAAATTCTAAAAGGAATTTTACAAAATTTTAGAAAATTAATTGAATCAAATAAAGATGTCACTTTCTTTTGAGAACCTTTAAAAAACCAAAAACGAATCGTTTTACTTATAAAAGGAGCAGCTAATTCGCTTTTCCCTATGAAAACTCATCAGTAAACTAGCTTTTATGATTCCTTCTCTGATTTATTTTAAAATAAACATGTGTTATAGATAGCGTTTATTATATATTTTTTCCCTGCCTCAACTTCGAACTTTATCTGCCTTTAACCCAGCCCTAGAACCTAGAAGTAAACCTCGGGCCGCCGCCTCTCGAATGCAATGGGATCTAGTGCAAGTTCGCTGCACCGAAACCCGTTTGCAATGACTCGGAGCACCGCTGCCTTCCGGGCAGGCAGACCGACGACGACGACATGTGGCAGTGGCATGCCAAGGCGATGCTTGGTGTTGCCAAGATCCGATGGCGACCTGTGTGTGCCTCTTACACGAACCAAACCGATCCTATTCAGTGCGAGCCAAGTGATTCACGAACTGATCCCCCTTGCTGGCTGGGCGGCTGGAAATCGAAAATTGGCCAAACGCCAACGCGGCTTTGTCAAAAAAACACACACCATATATAAGAGATTTCTATATATTTCTTTTTTGTCTTTTTTATTTCTGGCCAAAATGCAAGTTGGGGGCTTAGTTCATTGCTAATGACGGCATGTCGGTAACTCGATATAAGTGCACAGTCGTCTGTGTGTTTGCATAGTTGGGTGTTTAAGCATATTACCCCGTATATGTATATATATCTACATATATGACTTGGGTGTCTGTCTGTCTGTCCGCCGGCCCCGTTCGATTTATTTGTCCGCGCGCTCCGCAACAAAGACTCATAATAATCTGTTGGGCCAATCAAGTAAAATATGCGCGAGATCAGTCAACTACAAAAACAAAAGCAAAAGTCAAGCAAAGTAAAGCAACTGCAGCAGCAGCAGCAGCAGCAGCAGCAAAAGCAACAACCAAGGCAGCAGCAGCAGCAGCAACACCAAGAGCAATGAAAGTGAAACCGAGAGACTCTGACTGAGATTGAGACCTGGCCAAGAGTTGACTCGGTTCTAGCCAGCATTTCAGGCCAGCTATATAAGCTAGATGGCCGGGCTCGGCAGCAGCAGTGCAGCGCTGACCAGGAACCCAATTGGAAGTTTGAGCTACGACTTCATAGTCCAATTTGGCCAAGGATTACCATTACCACCCAAAACAGACCAACTCTAGCAACACCTGTACCCACTCAGCAACATGTTCTTTAAGCTGGTAAGTGGCCTTAGAGCCAGGCTCGGATCAAGGCTAACATCTCCTTCTTAAAGTCTAAACTCAAAAGTTATTTAAATATTTTTTAATTGGAGTAATTATTATAGAACAAGCAATGTTTTCAAGTGAACTAATTTGGAGGATATAAGTTTATGATGTTTAACCATATGTTAACCTTGCATAAGTTATATTCATAAATCCCTAGATAATCTTTTATTCTAATAATTTCCCCTTACTTCAGCTCCTCGCTACCCTCGTGGCTCTGGCTGTGGCCAAGCCTCAGCACCAACAGGCTGCCCAGTATCCGGCTGGTGTTAATCCCCAGGACTGCCCCGGTTTCCCCATCTGTGATAACGAGCGCCTGCACAATCCCCGGCCACAGTGGGGCGCCCCGCAGCCGCAGTGGAACCCCCAGCCGCAGCAGTGGAATCCTCAGCCACAGTGGAATCCCCAGCCCCAGCATCAGTGGAATCCCCAGCCTCAGCCCCAGTGGCAGCCGCAGCCCTCGTGGAATGCTGCTCCGGCTCCTGCTGCCGGCGGTGATAAGTATCCGGCTGGCATCAATCCTCAGACCTGTCCCAACTATCCGTACTGCGATGTGAATGCCGGACATGCCGGTGCCCCGGTGGCTGCTCCTCCACTACCGGGCTGGACAGAGCGTCTGTATCCCGCTGGAGTGTCGCCCCATGAGTGCCCCAACTTCCCGTACTGCCACTAGGGTGGGCGCAGCTTCCTCTAACATCATCCCCTTTCCCCCAGTTCTCAATTAGTGAACATTAATTTGAAATTCTTTGTTGTTGGCGCCGAAATAAATGCTAAATGTTGGTAAAAAAAACAAGATTTTAATTGAAATTGAGGGACAATTTAATGAAATTAGCTTACATATTAAATGATCTTCAAGTTTTCTTTCAAGAAAATTTCTAAGAAAAAAGGAAAGATACAGATAATGTTAAACGACCCTGAAATCCTTTCAAGGAAGTCAATCCTCATAAAGATCTTATTTAATTAAGAATTCCGTTTGTTTTAGGACCAGTTTTAAACGTGTTGAACTAGGAACTGCAAGTGGTACTAGTTAGACATGCTCCGCGCGGCGGTCATGCCACGAGAATGTGCCCTGCCACGCCTCTGACTTACAGCATTACGTGTGTGTGGGCCCTGGAGGAGTGGAGCGGATCGGACTGGACCGGATCGGGTCAGAAGGGAGCGGACGGACAGGCGGTCGACCTCAGTCGGAGCTGGTCCAGTGAGTGAGTGCTTTGTGAAAGTCGTTCTTGCAAAACTTCGGCTTAATTGCCGCCTTCGGGTTGGCACGGCACCAAGGTCAAGTGCAACTGCAAATTACAGGCTTGCAATGGGATTAACTAATGGAGCAATGATCCAATCGAAACTATCACATTCCCGGGCCAATTAACCAGTCTGTCCGGTGCGTGCAATCGAAATTGTATTTCATTTATAATCAATATGGCATTGCTCTGATTTTTTTCGGGGTATTATTATTAATTCTTTCGTGGGAAAAATAATATGAAATGGGGTTGTTATTTGGGAAGGTATTACTAAAGGAACTTTTCCGACTTTACATAAGGTAAATATATAAACAAAATTACTTTAAAGAGGTGAAATTGTTGTTAAAATATATGTGGAAATATATAAATAATAGGAGTTACAGGACCAAGGAAGTCATTCAAAAGGATGAAACAAGGAATGAATTGAAGTCCTGTCCTTACTTTCTTTTTAAGATTAATCCTAATCTTTTCTAGACCTAAGAACATCACTACATCTATTCTTAAATTACCCATTTACTAAATAATATAATGTACCATAATATTTCCAATCCTTCTTGTTTCAAAAACAAAACAAAACCGCTTCAGAACTTTTCTGTATACAGTCGAATTGTGATTTTATTTACAATCATTAACTTAGGCATTGTACAATATTTACAGGCTGGTTTTATTCATTGATTTACTGAGTGTGGGTGGGTCTTCAGACTGTGGGACTTACAGGTGGCTTACAGCCAGCCGTGTCCATGGTGGGAGCTCCAGCCATGATGATCGTGATGATCATCAAAGACATGGTGAATGGGCACCTCTTCGTGGTGGACATGATGGACGGGCACAGGAACCTCCTCGTGGTGGACATGATGGACTGGTACCTCCTTGTAGATGGGCACGGGAACGTGCTTTACCACCGGCACATGAATTTTCTGGACATGATGATGATGGACGGTGTGCACCTTGTAGGGAACGTGAATGGTGTGGTGTTCACTGTGGATCGGAAAAGTGAAATCGTTCAGATTATTGGCACCCAAAACACTGGACTTTGTGTGTGTGTGTGTGTGGCATATTAGCTAATCAGTTAGTTGAACTCGACGCCGTCTTGGCAGCCAATCGGAATTGGCAATTAGTCGCACAATTATGCGCGCATTACAAATGAATTAAATGCCAGTCGCAGCCTGTGAAATTCCTGAGGGGCGAGCCGCTGAGCCAAGATCGGCTAAGTTCAATGGTAGAGACTGCGATTGGAACGGTCCGCCGCCGGTCTAAGTGGTGCGAGCGTTTTGATTGCTCAATTCGATCGCATATTTTATATATATGTGTAGATATATATACCCATTGCTCGGCTCAATCGCAGCGTTTAAAAAGCCATGCGACCGCTCGTTAGCTTAGCATAAAGCGGGAAATGGCCATTTTTATCGATTCGCTTGGGTTATTTATGGATCAGTTCAGGTGCCGGAGATCGGTGGGAGATATATCCGTACTACATATCAGTACCTAGACACAAATACTTACTGTTTGCCAAAGAAGCCGGGATGGGGGGCGCAGTAGGCCACGGCAAAGAGGGCAACGAAGATCTGAAAGGGGATAAGGAAGTGTTTAGATCCGATTTAAGAGCCACAAATTAATATATATAATTAAGTTAAATGTGCAGTGAGCCAGATAACTGCGGTTGGTATTCGTTTAAGCTGTGTGGTTAGCTGAATTTATAACATTAAAGTCTTGCCAAGAGGTAATTTTAAATTAATTCTTATTTTAGAGAATTTATTAAGAGTGATTATAATTTTAAAAGGTTTTTGTTTCCCATTTTTAATTGTTTTTACTTGTAAAACATGGCTTTAAGACTTTAAGAGTTAAATATTAATAAGAAAAAACAAATCGAAAACAGTAACTTCTTTTTATCATTGTAAATATTAACTTTGTTGTTGAATGTAAGCTTTACAAATCTTGAATCTTATTTTATTTAAAATAAATCCATAAAGTTGTTAGTTGTTTTTATAAGAAACTCTTTTTAACGACTTGATTTAGCTCAAGTATTTTTTATTAACAAAAATTTTATTATAAGTTTAGTAGTTTTCTAATGTTAGATATTTTGTGATGATTATTTTGAATTATATTTTCAGTTTCTGGAAATTGTAATATTTGGATTATTTGTTGGTTTTTTTTTTGTTATAAAAGCTTTATGCTTTTTATTGTTTAGGTTTCTGTTCACAAAACCCCACTGGAATACAATATTTTTTTCAGTTCCATTCAGATTATTTTTAAAACAATTTTTAACACTTTGTTTTTTAACACCGATATCCTTTTAGCACTTACAAAGGCTTTGAGGGCGGACATTGTGGGCTGGCGTTTGATTTTTCTACACAAAGCAAATAATAAAACCGGAGCACTGTCAGGTGGTGACTGATAACCACAGGCTGCGACTCATCCATTTTATACACGGCGCCAGCACCGATTTTCGCCAACAGTCGACGCCGCTGCAGAAGAAAGACGTGAGCTTGGTGCAGCGGCAACAGCAACATGGCAACAAACACAACAGCAGCAGTAGCAGCAACGCCAACCAATCAACAGCAACGGCCAGCAACGAACAGAAAACAGCAACAGCAAAGCGACAATAACCATAACAGTGGACGTGGCCCGCTGTTGGCCATGTTAATAAACGTGTGTACATGTGGTTGACTCCTCGGTGGCTTCTGTTTACAACTCATCGGGGTTAAGACCCATCGGTTGGCCGAAAGGGGGTATGGTTACACGACAAGAAAATGTATGAAATACTTAAAAAACAGGAATAATATGTGAAATGTTTAATAAATTATATAAATAAATTAAATGAATAAATAAAATAAATTATATTTTATATAAAAACTAATAATAACCCAGTTTGAGGTAAATAAATTATGAGACAGTTATTATAAAATTAATATTCCATTAAAAAAATGTTTATAAAAATTAAAAATGATCAAATGGAAAATACTTTAAATGGTTAAATTCGATTAAAATGTATTAGAAAGGATTAAAATTTTTAATAGGTGTAAGGAAAAAATATTATTTTAAGACAGCAAGAATCAGCTTTGCATGAAAATGCTTTCTTTTGTGATTCTAAATTGTGGAAAAGTTTCGAAAAAATATGTATTATAACATTCTTAGTTCAATTTATAATGAATTCTAGAGATTCTTAATACATTTACATATGTAGCTTTCTTTTTTAGACTTTTGTAAATATCCCAGAACCATTTAAATTAATTTCTTTCTCTAGGTTTTAAAGTAGTTATCTTAATACGTATATTTTCTCCCAGTGCACGGTCAGTCTATGCTTCAGTTGTCTTATGACGCAGACGACAATCGAACTTTGACTCCACCGCAGTGCAGATCTCTGCTTTGTGTAATACAAAACAAATTACATTAATTTCATAATCATAATCACAAGACAACGAGGAGCGGGGCTAAAATCATTCCAAGTGACTGACCAAGTAGCACATATATTATTGCTGAATGGATCACTTAGCGGCCTTCCTCACAGGTAAAAAGTGAACGTGAGCCAAGACAAAGTTGTCACGCTAATAAAAAAAAAAAAAAGAGACATATTTCTGGCCCTTCCATATCGCTCCGAAGACATCTCCGTCGAACGACCTTGAACGGGTTTTCTTTCGGCGGCTGATGGTGTCAATTAATATGGGTCAGCGTTGGAATTGCAGGAGTGAGATGTACCCACAAAAAAAGGAAATTAAATCACGACATGAAATCACGAAACACGTACGCCGTAAATTTGCAATAAAACGCATTTCGGGCAATTACTTAACAGTAACAGCTATGTGCCGGCTCTAATCAAGCAATGCATCACACGATTTTACAGAAATTCGATTTTGATTTGGAATTTGGAGTTTGATTTTGATTTTGTGGGGTTTTTCGGTTGATTCTATAATGCCCCTGACATAACATAAGCCAGCCAGCCAGTCAGCCAGCTGTTACGGTTGCAACTGGTTGTTGCAAGTCCCTGTTAAATCGAGTGTTAAGAGCTCTCAAGACTTTAACCCATTTCAAACTAAAGAGGAGTTTCTTTTATTGTTGTGAGTATTTCTTAATTTATACAGTTTTCGAGAGTTGTTTACACTTAAAGGTAGTATATAAGGCAGAAAGTCTAAGTTTGGTTAGTGTTAGTTGGTTAGTTACTCAAGTTATTTGTGAAATTACTAACTAATTCCAAACAATTAGTCAAGCGAATGATTACTGGGATTATTAATGCTTGAATTTCAACTAAATATTAGCGGATAAGTGATTTTTTTTGTATATCTACTCTTTATTAAAACCTCTTTTTAATTTAATTTTAAGCTATATTAAAAGTTTAGGAAATTAATTAAATTTTTGTCATTTTAAACACTTAACTTTGGTATGCCACACTGCATACTTTTAAAGCTAAACTCAACTTGCTTGCCATATATGGCCTGTAATGGGTTAAACTATCACTATCTCTTTGCTATTTTCACAGTGAGTGTCTTTGTTTATTGGTGTATAAGTAGGCCAGT